CAGCAGCTGTGCCAGCTGGAGTTTGCCAGAAGGATGCTCGAGAAGGTATGGGGACAGCGGCCACTCCGGCCCTGTGCTAGGCAGCCTGGGCTGGTCACTGACGGGGCAGGCTCGGCGGCCTGAGCACTACCGCTCCCTGCCTTCCCTGGTTCTCTCCTCAGCAGCTCTTCCAGGCCGGGAACCACCTCAGAGTCAGGCCCCGGAGACGTCAGTCAGTGCAGTCACAGCTTAGCCGCCGGGCAGTCCGCCCGTGGGGACAGGAGAAAATCCCCCACAAAGTCTTCAGCTTAGGACCAGCCGCGAGGGGCAAGAAGCCACCTGGGTCTCCATCGCTGGGACACAGAGCCTTCTACGGCTCCTGGAGTCTGGCTGAGAGACTTGCCAGCTTTCTCCTGCCCAGCGGAGCACCCCCCCCAGCACCCCCAGAGGAGCGTAGGCCCATACCCCGGAGCCTGGATGGCTGGATGGAAGGGGAGGGGTAAAGCTTTGGAAAGGAGACCCTGTCCTGTGTGCACGCTCCAGTGCAAATGCCGCCTGAACGCTGCCTTGCGTCACGGGGCCGAGGGGTCCTCTCAGAACCCTGCATCCAAGCCCCTCGGGTCTGCAGCCCCTGCTCCCAGAAGCCTCAGGAAGCCTCAGGAAGCAGGGAAGGAGCCTCTGATCTCAGGGTGCGAGGGGGGCGGTAGAAATGGGGCCCCTCCCTTCCTCCCACCCCGCCTCCCCTCCAGGACCCTTCCCCTCCTCCCCTCTCTCTCTGCAGAAGTTGCTCAGTGAGGACAGCCAGGTGGCGCACGCTGCTCGGCAGGGGTGTGAGGGCCCCGCCCGAGCAGGGAAGGAGTCCGAGGCCCTGAGGTCCCAGCTGGAGGAGGAGAGGAAGCGAGTGGCCCAGGTGCGGCACGAGTTGGAGGAGCAGAGGCACCAGCTGCTGCAGCTGAGGACCCAGCGGCCCTTGGAGAGGCTGGAGGAGAAGGAAGTGGTGGAGTTCTACCGGGACCCCCAGCTGGAGAGCGACCTGTCCCGGCTGAGGTCCCAGGTGGAAGACGAGGGCCAGAAGCGGGCCGGCCTGCAGGCGGACCTGGAGGCCGCGGCCCAGCGCGTGGTCCAGCTGGAGAGCAAGCGGCGGGCTGCGCAGCCTCACCTGCTGACCAAGGAGGTCACCCAGATCGAGAGGGACCCTGGCCTGGACAGCCAGGCGGCCCAGCTCAGCAGCGAGATCCAGCAGCTGCGGGGCCAGAACGCCGCCGTCTCGGCCCGGCTGGAGGAGCTCAAGAAGGAGCTGCTGGCCCTGGAGAAGAAGGAGCCGAACGTGAAGGAGAAGGTCGTGGTCAAAGAGGTGGTCAAGGTGGAGAAGGACCTGGAAATGCTCAAGGCGGCCCAGGCCCTGAGGCTGCAGCTGGAGGAGGACACCGCGCGGAGGAAGGGGGCGCAGGAGGCCGTGGCCAAGCTGCGGGCTCGCATTGACGAGCTGGAGCGGGCGATCGGCGCCGTGGAGCCCAAGGTGATCGTGAAGGAGGTGAAGAAGGTGGAGCGGGACCCCGGCCTCCTGGAAGAGGCGTCGAGGCTGAGGAGCCTCCTCGAGGAGACCCGGAGCGAGAACGTGACCCTGGCGCGCGAGCTGGAGGAGCTGCGTGGCAAGCACAGCGCGGCGGCGAAGCAGAAGCCCAAAGTCGAGCTCCAGGAGCACGTCCGCGAGACCTTCCAGGTGGCTCCCGAGACGCAGCAGGAGATGGCGCGGCTCCGGGCCCGGCTGCAGGAGACCGCCGGCCAGAGGAGCCGCGTGGAGAAGGAGGTGGCGGCGCTGCTGCCCGACCTGGCGGCCCTGCGCGCCCAGAAGCCCGCGGTGGAGTACAAGGAGGTGACGCAGGAGGTGGTGAGACACGAGAGGAACCCCGAGGTCCTGCGGGAGATCGACCGCCTGAAGGCGCAGCTCAACGAGCTGGTCAACAGCAGCGGGCGGGCCCAGGAGCAGCTCATCCGGCTGCAGGGGGAGCGCGACCAGTGGAAGCGGGAGCGCGCCAAGGTGGAGACCAAGACGGTGAACAAGGAGGTGGTGCGCCGCGAGAAGGACCCGGTGCTGGAGAAGGAGGCCGAGCGGCTGCGCCAGGAGGTACGAGAAGCCGCGCAGAAGAGGCGGGCGGCCGAGGATGCGGTGTCCGAGCTGCAGAGTAAGTACCTGCTGCTGGAGAGGAGGCGGCCCGAGGAGAAGGTGGTGGTGCAGGAGGTGGTGGTCACCCGCAAGGACCCGCGGCTCCGGGAGGACCACGGCCGGCTGAGCCGGAGCCTGGACGAGGAGGCGGCCCGGCGGCGGCGGCTGGAGCGGGAGGTGCAGCAGCTCCGGGCCGGCGTGCAGGAGAAGGAGGGCCTGCTCGGCTTCCGGGAGGACCGGGGCAAGAAGCTGGCCGCGGAGAGGGAGCTGCGGCAGCTGAGCCTGCGGATCCGGGAGCTGGAGAAGCGGCCGCCCGTGGTGCAAGAGAAGATCATCATGGAGGAGGTGGTCCAGCTGGAGACGGACCCGGACCTAGAGAAGTCCATGGAAGCCCTGCGGCAGGAGCTGGGCCGGGAGAAGGCCCAGGTGACAGGGCTGCATCGGGAGTGCAAGCAGCTGCAGGTGCAGATCGACGTTCTCCAGACGGCCAAATCGCAGGAGAAGACCATCTACAAGGAGGTGATCCGGGTGGAGAAGGACCCGGTGCTGGAGGGCGAGCGGTCCCGGGCGTGGGAGGCGCTCAGCAAGGAGCGCTCGGCGCGGCAGAGCCGGGAGGAGGAGGCGCAGCGCCTGCGCGCGCGCATCGACCAGGCCGAGGCGCTGAGTAAGACGTGGGCCCGGGAGGAGGCCGAGCTGCAGAAGGGCCGGGAGCAGGCGGCCCAGGAGCGCCGGCAGCTGCAGCAGGAGCTGCGGGAGCTGGAGAGGCGGAAGCAGCAGACGGTGCTGCATCTGCAGGAGGAGGCGCAGCTGCTCAGCCAGAGGTCGGAGAGCGAGCGCCAGAAGGCCGCCCAGCGGGGCCAGGAGCTCTCGCAGCTCGAGGCGGCCATCCTCCGTGAGAAGGACCAGATCCACGAGAAGGAGAGGACCCTGAGAGACCTGCACGCCAGGGTGAGCAGGGAGGAGCTCAACCAGGAGACCCAGACGCGCGAGACCAACCTCTCCACCAAGATCTCCATCCTGGAGCCAGAGACGGGGAAGGACATGTCCCCGTACGAGGCCTACAAGAGGGGCATCATCGATCGAGACCAGTACCTCCAGCTACAGGAGCTCGAGTGTGACTGGGAGGAGGTCACCACCTCGGGCCCCTGCGGGGAGGAGTCCGTGCTCCTGGACCGCAAGAGCGGGAAGCAGTACTCCATCGAGGCCGCCCTGCGCTGCCGGCGCATCTCCAAGGAGGAGTACCATCTCTACAAGGACGGCCGCCTCCCCATCTCTGAGTTCGCTCTGCTCGTGGCAGGGGAGACCAAGCCCTGCGCCTCGCTCTCCATTGGCTCCATCATCTCCAAGTCCCCGCTCGCCTCCCCAGCCCCCCAGAGCGCCGGTTTCTTCTCTCCCGGCCTCTCTCTCGGGCTCGGCGATGACAGCTTCCCCATCGCTGGCGTCTACGACACAACCACAGACAACAAATGCACCATCAAGACGGCAGTGGCCAAGAACATGCTGGACCCCATCACCGGGCAGAAGCTACTGGAGGCCCAGGCAGCCACGGGGGGCATCGTAGACCTCCTCAGCCGGGAGCGCTACTCCGTGCACAAGGCTATGGAGAGGGGGCTGGTGGAGAACACCTCAACGCAGAGGCTGCTCAACGCCCAGAAGGCCTTTACGGGCATTGAGGATCCCGTCACCAAGAAGAGGCTGTCGGTGGGTGAGGCCGTCCAGAAGGGCTGGATGCCCTGGGAGAGCGTGCTCCCACACCTGCAGGTGCAGCACCTGACTGGGGGGCTCATCGACCCCAAGAGGACCGGCCGCATCCCGGTCCCGCAGGCCGTGCTCTCCGGAATGATCAGCGAGGAGCTGGCCCAGCTCCTGCTGGATGAGTCTGGCTATGAGAAAGATCTGACAGACCCCATCTCCAAGGAGCGGATCAGCTATAAGGAGGCCATGGGGCGCTGCCGCAGAGACCCCCTGAGTGGCCTGCTGCTGCTCCCAGCTGCCCTGGAAGGGTACCGCTGCTACCGCGCCGCCTCCCCCATGGTACTGCGCTCCCTGCGCTGAGGGGATCCGGGGGAGCGGGCGTGAGGGGGAGGGTGGGACGCGCGCACCCCTCACCCCTGGAACGGCCTCATCCGAGGCGGTGGGTCTTCCGTCTGATCCCTGTGCTATATTATTCAAAAGTTTACGGTGTGGGACCCTCTCCTCTAACTTTGGCGCCCAGTCCATCCCCAGACCCAGCGATCGGTACGTCTGTCTTTCCTCCCTCCTCCCCGACCCAGTGCTTCCAATAAACGAATTCTCCCAGCGTCTAGTTCACGTTTGGGAACGCATGATGGATTTGTCTGAGTCGTAAGCACAAGGGACACTTGATGGGGTCCTTCCCAGGTGGGAAGCAGACCCACCCAACCAGTCTGGCCAAGGGGACGGGTGCTTCCAAGGGGCTTCGGCTCCCTGGACTCTGGGAGGGGTACACTGGTGGGTCCCGGAGAGACCCTGAACAGCCCCTCCCTGCTGCCTCTGCTCTGGGTCTCTGACTTCCGGCCAGGAACAGTCTCCAGCCCAATGTTAACCTCCCCCTTTTCAAATTTTTAAAAAATGTTTTATTTATTTCTGAGAGAGAGAGAAAGCGTGAGCAGGGGAGGGTCAGAGAGAGAGAGGGACACACAGAATCTGAACCAGACTCCAGGTTCTGAGCTGGCTGTCAGCACAGAGCCCAACGCGGGGCTCGAACCCACGAACCGTGAGATTAGGACCTGAGCCGAAGTCAGACGCTTAACCGACTGAGCCCTCCAGGCACCCCAACCTCCCCCCTTGTCAGCAAATCTCTGGTAACCCCCAGAGGAGAAAAACACTGAAAAACTCAGGAATATAGCACTTTTATTTCCTGTTCTTAAGCCAGAGGCAAACAACATAAGCATATCCTAAGTACAAACCAACTACTTAGAACAGCCACACACATACCCTGACCTCCCCTGGGATCAGGAAAATGTCTCTCTCTCTCTCTCTGGCCTTGCTTCCTGTTTAACTTGGACTCTTAAGAATGCAACTCTTCCCCCAAACGTTTTAAAGCCAAAAAGACCAGCAGAGGGCACCCTTTCCCTTGGCGGGTGGCGGGGGGGGGGGGGGGGGGGGGGGGGGGGGGGGGGGGCTGCCGCCACATGGGGGCAGCCTTCCTCCTCTCCTTGGCCACTGTGGTTTCAGGCGCCAGGGGGCCCAGCCTCTAACATACGCCTTGCACAGGGGGCTCCAGTGCCCCCTCTTGAACCGGGACTGTCTAACCCAACAAACAACACAGGAACTCATTAACCTGCGGGCAGGACTACCCCAAACTCAGCCCTCTGGCCGCTGATGCCAAATTCCTCAGAGCTTTGCTCTCTCCCAGATAGGTCCTCTTTCTCGGGACGTGGGTGGGAAGACAGCTGGGGCAGCAGTGGAGAGAGGCTCCGAGGCGGAGGGCCTCACACCCTCTCAGCGGCAGAGATGCTCCAGCACGCACTGGTGGGGGGCCCGGGAGGTCTCGGCGCCCAGGAAGTACGGATGTGCGAGGGCGGCCTTGGCGGAGATCCGCCGGCTGGGGTCATACTGCAGGAGTTGCTGGGGAGGAAGGAGGAGGAAAGAGATGGGAGTCTTGGTGTGGCTGGGCCCCCAAGAGGAGTTACCCTCAGGCCCTAGGTGGCGGGCCCCAAACCCCAGGCCGGGTGCCTTCAAGCCAGACCTGCAGGCGACCACCACTTCCCAGCTCGCAAGCCAGTTCTGGACGCTGTCGGAATCAGGGGACCAAGAATGAGTTCTAGTCCAGCCCTGGGAAACCTTCCCCACCTCCTGCAGACCGGAGGCTGAGTCCATCTGTCTTCTCCCTGTCTAAGGTTCCCAGACCTCAGCCCGCGTCTGGTTGCGGCAGACTTCTCGTTCTGTATGGAGAAGGAGAGGGCCCTCCTGTCCAGGGAGCATACCTGAGGGCAGGGCAGGAACTGAGTCCCTGAGCCCCCGGCCAGGCTGTGGACAGACCCCTTGCCTAGAAGCAACCCGGATGGAATGCTAAGCCACTTGGCCGGAGGTGTATGCTGTCTTGCTGGCATTGGGTTGGTAAAGAGACACACACAGGCCTCTGGAAAGATGAAAATACAGCCCCGCCTTCCTCTGGCCCAACTACCAGATTCAAGAGACAAATGTGGCTCTAAATCTTTGTGGGCAAGAAGAGAGGGTTCCATCTGGGGCCTTCTGAGCAGTCTGGCCTGGGCCCAGCCCGATGGGTCAAGATGGTGTAACAGGGGCCCAGACAGCAGGGAGCACCTCGTACGGAGAGTAACCACCGTGGCAGGAGGCGTGCTCGCTGCCTGGGAGAGCTTACGGAGAAAGGGCAGGTATCGCAGCATAAAAACAAAGCTAGCTAGAAGACTGGAGTTTTAAAAGGAGACACGAACACTGGACTCCTCAGGGGAGGGGCCTCCAGACTGAACCATCAGTACGCACAGAGTCAGGGACAGTCAGGGGTCAGAAAAGAGACTCAGAAAGAGGTAGGGTGACACAAGGCGCTGGCTGACAAAGTGGATATTTCTGGTGGGAGCAGCAGCAGCCTTTCTGGGCCTCCCCTGCCCCCGACAGCTGTACCTACCATGAGCAGGTCCTTGCCCTCTGGTCCCAGACCAGGCACAATCTCCTCCAGCCCCTTCCTGCTCCACTTGGGGAAACTGCCCTTATAGTCAGGCAGCTGGGTGACTCCTGGCCACATGGCTTCACTGGGCGTCCCCAGGGTCCGAAAGATTCGAAAGAGCTGGTCAATCTCAGAGTCACCAGGAAACAGGGCTCTACGGGTCACCTGAAATGAGGACGATGGGGGGTGGGGTCCGCTCCTTTGTTCCGCAGAACCCAATACCAGATAAGATATCCTTCCTGGGGCTGTGCTAAGAATCCCGATCGTTTCTGGAATGGGGCCCCATTTCCTCAGTCCCACAACCAGTCCCAAACACCCCTTAATCCACTTCTAATGGGAGCATCAGTGTCCCCTGTCCCCCCGACCCCCAGCAGGACCCTGCCTGTGGCCTCCCCACGTGGCCATGTCTGTCCCTCTCTCTACCATCTCGGCAAAGATGCAGCCAATGCTCCAGATGTCCACGGCGGTGGAGTAGAACTTGCTGCCCAAGAGGATCTCAGGGGCGCGATACCAAAGTGTCACCACCTGTGGGGGGCAAGAAAGCAGCATCATGCAGGGTGGCTGAGTGTTCAGGTGACGGCCCTTCAGGCGTCCTCTCCCCTCCGTCCTGCGGAACCTCGTGGGTGTAGGTGCGTAGGGGCACCCCGAAGGCTCGCGCCAGTCCGAAGTCGGCCAGCTTGATGGCACCCAACTCATTGATGAGCAGATTCTGGGGCTTCAGGTCTCGGTGGATGACCCGGTGAGAGTGGCAGAAACTGACTCCCTGCAGCAGCTGGAAGAGGTAGCTCTGTAATGGCGAGCATGGGAAAGGGCGGGCTGAGCAGACGTGGGGCTGGTGGAGCGGGGCGGTCCCTGGCCTTCCCCTTCCTTCCCTCGCTACCTTGACCAAGTGCAGGGGGAGCTCGGAGGCCGGCATGGAGTCCATGTACTTCTTCAGGTCCTGGCTGAGATACTCAAACACCAGGTAGAGCTTCTTCTCACTGTGCACCACGTCCAGCAGCCTGGCCGGGGTCCACCGGTCACAACGCAGCTCCCGGCTGGACTGGGACGGGCCCAGCTTCCCCGCCTCCTTCCCCACCTCACCTGACGATGTTGGGGTGCTTAAGCTCTTTGAGCAGGGAGATCTCCCTGATGGCAGTGCTTGGGACTCCCTCAGTTTCCCTACAGGAAAGGAGGGTACTGCAGTGGAGGCAGGGAGCCAAAAAGGCGGGGGGAGGTCACCTATGTGTTCTGTATTCCAGAAGGATGGCCCGGACCCCAGTGCCGGGGCGCTGTGGTCCTCAGCACATACTACCACCAAGACCAAGCCCCGGCAAAGCGTGGCGGGAATGAGGAGGGCTGCACCTCTGAGCACCACCGCCCCCTTCCCGCTGTAACTGCGCACACTCAGAAGTGCAATTGAATGTAAAACCCTGAGGTGAGGGACGGGACAGGGGTCACCCTCGGGGCCAGTGTGTCCCAGGGGCCCTCTGGGCACTCACAAATCCAGCCTGATCTTCTTGAGGGCCACAAGCTGCCCTGTCTCCTTGTTCTTGGCCTTATACACCACCCCATAGGTGCCCTCTCCGATCTTCTCTACCTTCTGGAACACATCCATAGCCGCAGAGCTGCCCAGGAAACAAAGTGCGCCTGGGGCATTCACTGGCACACTCAGCGCCCCCCACTGCCCGTCCAGCCCACCCCTGCCCAGGCCCAGGCCCGCCTCTGCCCCGCTCAGCCCCGGGAGCTCATCCCCAGCCCAGACCTCCCCCGGCCCAGGCAGGAAAGTGTCTGGCTACGGAGTGCAGGAGGGCCCAAACTTCTCAAAAGACCCCCCCCACCCCCACCCCCGGCTTTCCCTGCCAGCCCCAGGCTCTGGGGGCAAAGGCCACCCACAAGGGTGGCCTGAGGGGCCGGGGTCAGCTCAGGGCAGAGGTCGGTGGTCCGAAGGGAGTTCTGAAGCCACAGTCCTGCCCTAGGCCGCAAGGCCAGGGTGAGGGGCTGGGCCTCAACTGTTTGGAGATGCCTGGCCTCCTGTGAGGGCAGAACCTCAGTGGGGACAGCCCCCTTGCATCCCGGGCCCCCCACCCGGGCCCTGGGGGTCCCTAGCACCACCCCCCTGGTAACCCCAGCCCAGAATTCACCAGAAACCCTGCGCTCCTGGAGCTTCACTGCTAACAGGCTGCTGGCTCCCCAGCTCCCCCTCCTGGTCCCCGCCGGCGCTGCACCACGTGCACACAGTACAAGGTCTCCCCCCTCTGGGGTTTTTATTCATGAGGACTTTCCAGAACCCTCCATATTTCCACTCGAGGCTCAGGCCCCAGCACCCCACGGTGCAGCCTCCCGCAGGGTGTCTGGAACAATCCAGTTAGCCACCCCACCCCACCCCCGACCACTTCTCTGCAGCTCCAGACAAAGGCTGTCACTTCCTGGGGAAGGTCCTGCATCTTCTCTGCAGCGGCTCTAGCATCTCAGGGGGCTTGACTCAGGGGCAGGTCTGGGGGGCACAGTTGTCAGGAACTGCCACTTGCTGCTGGCTGCTGTCCCTCTCCTGCTGGTACCTCCTCTGCTCCCGGACGGCTTGTTCTAACAAGGGTAGATTCATTCCTTCCACACAAGTCAGCACCCGGGCCTTCACCACAGAGCCTCCGTCTGAAAGACACCAGCATAAGGCACTAGCAGTGACTGACCCATGTGTCAGCCACACATCTTACAGATGCCTTCCGGCTGTTTCCCTGGCCTTGCTCTCAGGCCCGAGTTTTGACAGGATGAGTTTGAGGGATAGCATGTGGCGTCCCGGTAATTTTCCTACGAGGGCTTCAGAACTGTGGCCCTGCCACACACAGTTAGCACACGTCTGGAACTTAGGGGACAGCCTGAAAGTCCCACTTCTGCATGGAGGAAGGGCCAGGTAGATGTACCACCCTCTGCTTCCCTCCTTGGTTGTCGGTTTTGTTTTTATTTTGTTTTTTTTTTAAAGTAGGCTCCACAGCCAGCATGATGCCCAGTGTGGGGCTTGAACTCACGACCCTGAGATCAAGCCCTGAGCTGAGATCAAGATTCAGATGCTTAACCGACTGAGCCACTCAGGTGCCCCACCTTTGTCGTCTTAATTCCTGCCACCTTCTCTGTAAGACCCACGTGCCTGGGGTTGAGGAGGGTCTCAGTCACCCTCCTAGTTTTCCATTTGTCCTAAGGGAAGGGCCCCCGTGGTATACTGGGCCCACTGGCATTGGAAATTGGGGCAAAGAGAACCCCATAATTAGTCAATCCAAGGGATTACACTTGGCCTTATAGGGTCAGGTTATCCCACCCTGGATGAGGGGCTGGGAGGTACTCCTAGCATAGGCTGTTGACCTGATGGAAAGATGTTGGCATGCAGGTGACATCAAGCAGGAAAGACACGTGGGGTTTACCCTAACAGTTTCTTTTTTTCATCCATTTTTTTTTTATGCTCTCTGGGCACGTCATGAATACATTCAATGTTCTAGGACATTATCCTGTCTTCTTCTGATGCAGTTTTGAGGTAGAGGCTCTCTGGTTAGATAAGTCTATGCCTAGGCTTCCTTCTAGTCTAGACCACTTTCTCTTTTTTTTTTCCCCTCTTTCTCCTTCCTTCCTTCCTTCCTTCCGGCTCTGCTCTCAATGTGGGGCTTGAACTCACAACTCCGAGATCAAGAATTGCACACTGTAGGGGCACCTGGGTGGCTTAGTCGGTTAAGCGTCTGACTTTCGCTTTGGTCATGATCTCTCTGTTTGTGGGTTCGAGCCCCGCTTCGGGCTCTGTGCTGACTGCCAGCTCAGAGCCTGGAGCCTGTTTCAGTCTGTGACTCCGTCTCTCTCTGACCCTCCCCTGCTCACGCTGTCTCTCTCTCTCTCTCCTAGAAATAAATAAAACATTAAAAAAAAAAAAGAATTGCACACTGTACCGACTGAGCCAGCCAGGCACCCCTAGACCACCTTAAAAAAAAAAACTTGTTTAATGTTTACTTATTTTTGAGAGAGACAGAACGAGAAAGAGACAGCACTAGCAGAAGTAGGGCAGAGAACGAAGGAGACACAGAATCCGAAAAAGGCTCCAGGCTCTGAGCTGTTAGCACAGAGCCCGACGCGGGGCTCGAACCCACAAACCGTGAGATCATGACCTGAATGGACGTCCGACGCCTAACAGACTGAGCCACTCAAGCACCCCCTAGACCATTTTCTTGATTTAACATAGACTGGGGGGCAGAATTCAGAATGTTGGACTGTCTAAATTCCAGCCTTCAGGACCGGAAGATGAACTTGTTTGGAACAGGAGGCTGCCTGTGTGTCCTCAGCTTCTACTGGCCCCGGTGCTGGGCAGCAGACAGGACGCAGCCTGAAGAGCAGCGGGCGTGTGGCACTGTCTGGATCTCTCCATCGCTGTAGATGGCTTATACCCATCACTTGGGCCTCTTCAGGAATAGGTGGGTGACAGATACTGATCAACCAAACAGGACATCTGCCAAAATGTCACCTGGCACCGAAAGTCTAGGCCTTTTCTTGTGACACGTGTAGCCCGTACAGGTATCACAGAGCAGAACAAGAACAAAATCTTGTTGGAACAAGAACAAAATCTTGTTGAAACAAGAACAAAACCACAGACCTCATTTACAATTAAAACTACCTGTACCAAGATGTTCTTAGTTATTTGACATGATTTCGCAAGACCTTTTTTTTTTAATAGTTTGTTTATTTTTGAGACAGAAAGAAACAGAGCATGTTGGGGAGGGCAGAGAGAGAGACACAGAATCTGAAACAGGCTCCAGGCTCTGAGCTGTCAGCAAAGAACCTGATGCGGGGCTTGAACCCACGAACCGTGAGATCAGGACCTGAGCCTAAGTCAGACGCTTAACCGACTGAGCCCCCCAGGCGCCCCTTGCAGGACTTTTCTTACAGGAAGCCCATGAGCCCTTTCCTCCCGTCAGCCTGGGGCAACCCTTCCTTCCCTATTTATAGTGAGGAACATGTTGTTTCTCCCTGTGAATGAAAAATGTTATTAAACATGGAAGTGACCTTTAGAAAGATGATTATCACAAAGGACACACTGGGAAAGTCTGTCAGTCCATCTGTGTCAGCCCATCTGCAGAAGGTCTCTGTAACTGGGGTAAAAGCCTTTGAAGAAATGCCGTAGGGAGGGGAGAATAGCGTTTACAAACAAGATGGCCAGGGAGAGAGTCATTTAGGGGAAGTTCCTGGAAGCATAACGAACCCAGAGCAACAGAGACTGGATGCCAAGAACAGTTGGAATGCAGTGGGTGGAGGCATGGGTAGAAAGAAGGGTGATATGAAGAACAGACCTTCTTTCTTTTAAGTGTATTTATTTTGAGAGAGAGTGAGCCTGAGCAGGGAAGGGGTGGAGAGAGAGAATCCCAAGCAGGCTCTGCGCTCTGTGGGGCTCGAACCCTTGCACCGTGAGATCACAACCTGAGCCGAAACCAAGAGCCGGACGCTTAACCGACTGAGCTGCCCAGGCGGCCCAAGAAGAGACCTGCTTTTAGGAAGTTTGCCCAGGCATAGGGCGCCTGGGTGGCTTAGTCGGTTAAGCGTCCGACTTTCGCTTAGGGCATGATCTCGCGGTTCGTGGGTTCGAGCCCCGCGTCGGGCTCTGTGCTGACTGCCAGCTCAGAGCCTGGAGCCTGTTTCAGTCTGTGACTCCCTCTCTCTCTGACTCTCCTCTGTTCACGCTGTCTCTCTCTCCTAGAAATAAATAAAACATTAAAAAAAAAAAAAAAAAAAAGGAAGTTTGCCCAGGCAGAGAAAGAAGGTCACAGCGAGGCAGGGATACAGAGCAGAGGAGAACACTGTTATTTTAATGGAGAAGAAGCTTGAGTGATTTATATGCTGACAGGGAAGAAGCAGTGGGAACAGGTTAGGGATTCAGTTGGGAGAGCAAAGTCCCCACGGAGGGCAGGCTGTTGTCACAGCACAGGGGCTGAGCCGCAGGGAGGTCGGACCCTTCTCCCTCGCAGATAAGAAAGAAACATCTGTGGGTGTGTACGCAGGTAATTTAAGATTTCACCCTTGACACAAGAGGTAAGGTAATCTGCCAAAGAAGCCTGGAGGTGATGAAGTAGACGTGTGACAGGGAGTGGCTGAAGCAGCTGTGGTGGATCACGATCACGGGGGCGGTGTTGCTGATTGGGACGCGCGGAAGACCCAGCGCAGTGAGACACCTCGAAATCGTCATGCTGGGATCCACGGAGTGGGCGAACCTGCTCCATCAGCCGTCGGTGGGACCCTAGAGGGCGGAGGTTGGGGGTTGGTCAGGCCGCTGTGATGGAAGCGTGGGCAGGGAAACTTCTGCCAGCGGAGGAGGGGCTGCCCTCAGCATGAGGCGGGGCTCGAGTGGGGGGGAGGGGGTGGGAGAAAAGGCATGAGTCCCAAGTCCACAGGTCCTGTGGCACTGCAGGGGCGAGAGCAGCAGACAGATACCAGGCCGCCCAGCCCGGCCGCAGGGGTGTGGCCATGGGAGGCAGAAGTGGGGCAAGAGGCGCCTGCGAGCAGAACTGGTCGTCCATCTGTCCTGTCTTTCCTCAGAGAAGGATAAAGTTTCACAATGGCAAACCCAAGCCCCACGCCTCCGGGTCTGGTGGTGGGAGGGACCTGGGAGGCAGACGACGCGCCACACGGGGACCGGAGGAGAGCTAGAGTCCTGGGGAGGAGCTGGGTTCCAGGCAAGTCCCAGTGAAGGTGAGAGCATAAAAAGGAGTCTTTCAGGGAGGAGAGAAGGTTCTAGAGAACACAGCAGGAAGGCTTGTAAGGGAACTACGGTCAGCTGGAAAAAAAAACCAGGCAGGTGGAGTTTATGGGGTTTAGGGCGAGGGCCCTAGGGCAGCGCTCTCGCTGCAGGCGAGGTCACGGGCAGCCTAGGAATTCTAGGGACTCTGGAGCAGCACTGGGGGAAAGCCTGCATCCCCAAGCCTCAATCCCCGGGCAGGACGCCTTTGGGCCCTTAGATGGTGTCCAAAGGACATGTCCCAGCCAGCGGGTTTCTGATGTGGCTTCACCTTTCGGTTCTCCTTGGCTAGCTAGCTACGTGTACAAATTTCAGAACGTGGACTTAGGTAACCTCTCGTCTGTCCTTGGAACAGCTAAGCTTGCCAAAGAGCATATCTTGTGTCTAGTTGATCTTTGTGGCCCCAAGAACTTGGAATCTGGCCAGGACAGGGCATACAGAGGAGGTTTGAAAGCAGCCACACAGGAACGTCGCCATCTATGTGGATCAGCGGGCACCTCCAGGCTCGGCCAACACTCTGCCCCTCCCTCCTCACCGCTGTCTTTCCTTCTGTGTGTCCGTTGCAAATGGGGAGCATGTTTTATTCAGAAATTAGAAATTTAGGGGAAGCTTAAAAATTTTTTTTTAATGTTCATTAATTTTTGAGAGACTGAGAGACAGAGTGCAAGCAGGAGAGGGGCAGAGAGAGAGGGAGACACAGAATCCGAAGCAGGTTGCAGGTTCTGAGCTGTCAGCACGGAGCCCGATGCGGGGCTTGAACCCACGAGCGCGAGCTCATGACCTGAGCCGAAGTAGGATACTTAACTGATTGAGCCACCCAGGTGCCCTGAAACATGAAGCAGTAAAGTAGCCAGAGCTTAGGGAGATTGCTGGTTGATCTGAGATCTGATTATTCAGGTTCCATTTTGGGGAGCGGGGGACAAAGACACTGAGAGTGGTACTGTCTGTGCCTTCAAAGTGCGTCACAGCGCAGGTGTGAGACTGACCAATCTGCTTCCACTGAGTCGGGCTTATGGGGCAGGTCTGGGTGCTGCTGGCTGACTCCAGCTTTGCAAGGTTCAACGGGAGCAGCCAGTGATAAGATCGACTGATCATTGCCTGGATTCGTTATTTCATCAGGGCTTTCAAAGAGGTGCCTCTCGAAGTTTCCTGCGTTTATTGACTGTGATTCTTCCCTAAAGAACCTTTTCTTCTCTTCGACCCTGTGCTGTCCCTGAACTACACTCAGGAAAAGGCAGGAAACAGAAGGTTTAATGCAACCAGGAGGAAACAATCGGCCAATTCCAGACCCGAGTTCTCTAATAAATGACATTTAAAAAAGACAACTATTACAAGAGACTTGGGGTATGTAACCCAAATGCAATATACAGACTTGGGATCTTGATCTGAACTAACCGATTTTAAACTGAGAAGAACAGATACTACACTTGATCTTAGCCAAAAGGCTGAGAAGCGATGAACTAAGCAATTTTAAAAAGCCAATAAGGGGCGCCTGGGTGGCTCAGTCGCTTAAAGCGTCTGACTTCGGCTCAGGTCAAGATCTCGTGGTTCATGAGTTCAGGCCCTGTGTCAGGCTCTTCACTCTCACTGAGGAGCTGGCTTCACATCCTCTGTCTCTCCCTTTCTCTCTCTCAAAAATAAACATTAAAAAAAAAAAAAAGCCATGGAGAGGAGGAGAGTGAACACGGACAAACAGATATCAAGGAACAGCTATTTTGTTGAGTATGATTGTGGTAATGTTGGAGACGTAGGAGGTGTTTCTGGGTACACAAAATAACAGATTTGCTCTACCAGACACCAACAGAACGAATAAATAAATGCAGGCAGTGTAGTATAAATGCAGAAAGAGTAGACTACGGATTCCTGCTGAATCTGGGTGATGGGCACAGACAGGGAGGTCCATTCTACCATTTCACTTGTGCACATTTGATTTGAAAATATTAAATTTAAAAAATTATATGGGTTGAACTTACACACGGTTTTTTTCCATTTTTCTTCCTGCAAGTAATTCTAAATATCCACGCCAGCTCCTGCTCTCATCCTGGCCTGCCATCCTGAGTTTCAACCCCTCTCCGGATTTGCAATCAGGCCTTAGCACCCCAGACCCTGGGTGGTGGGCTCCTGACAGCTCCCAGGATTCACTGCAGGGCCGGGGGTACAGGGAAAAGCCTCAGGTGATCCAGGACTGCAGTCAAAGTGGAAATCATTTGTGCAAAAGCCCTTTGTACCTATTCGCAGGCCCCTCCTGATGCCTCTCTCAAATCAACAGGAGGGAAGGAGCTCTGTGAGCTCAAAGGCTTAAGCCTGAGTAAAGATTAACTATTATGAAATCAAAGATAATTAAAGTAAACACCATTAAATAACATTTCTTCTAGTATATTTCATCCAGAGTTAAAAACCACCGTGACTTTTAGAAAGAAAGTTGATGGTGTAAAGCAAGAAACATACATGTTTGTATCCTTTGATAGAGCAATTCTACGTTCAGGAAACTATTTTGAAGAAATACTCAGAAAATGGATAAAGATTAGTGCCGAAAGGCATTAACTGTAGCATTTTTAATATGTCTCAATATAGATAGATTTTTTAAAAATTATTTTTACCCCTCTGGCTATAAAAACATACATTTTTGGGGTATCTGGATGGCTCAGTAGGTTAAGCATGTGACCCCTTTTTTTTTTTTAACTTTTTAAAAACTATTTATTTATTTTTGAGAGAAAGACAGTGTGAGCTTAGTAGGGGCAGAGGGAAGGAGACAGAATAAAGCAGGCTCCAAGCTCTGAGATGTCAGCACAGAGCCTGACACAGGCCTAGAACTCACAAATCATGAGGTCATGACCTGAGCCAAAGTTAGACCTGAGCCAAAGTTAGGCGCTTAACCAACTAAGCCGCCCATGCGCCCCCGACTCTTGGTTTCAGCCCAGGTCTTAATCTCGCAGTTCATGGATTTGAGCCATGTGCTCACATCACAGAGCCTGCTTGGGATTTTCCCTTTCTTTCTTTGCCTTTCCCCCACTCACGCTTGCGCTCTCTCTCTCTCTCAAAATATTCAATTAAAAACAGTTTTAAAGGAAGATGAAATAAAAGCAATATGTTTTCACTGTAAAATGCTAATACAAATACAAAGAACCCCACAATCCTACCGCTCAGAAAAACTACTATTAACATTTCGATGAATAATTTTTCAAACTTCCATGTATACAAAAAAATGTATATTGGGGTGCCTGGCTGGCTCAGTTGGTAGAGCAGGTGACTCTTGACCTCAGGGTTGTAAGTTCGAGCCTCATGTTGGATATAGAGATTAGTTAAAAATAAAATCTTTCTTTAAAAAAAGGGCTCTTACAATACATACTGTTTTGTAAACTGCTTTTTCTTAGTAAGATACTATGAACATCTCTTCATGTCAATTGATGAAGATTTACAGCACCATTTAAAACATTTTTTTAACGTTCATTCATTTTTGAGAGACAGAGACAGAGCATGAGTGGGAGAGGGGCAGAGAGAGAGAGGAAGACACAGAATCTGAAGCAGGCTCCAGGCGGACATGGGGCTCGAACTCACAAACTGTGAGATCATGACCTGAGCCGAGGTCAGACGCTTAACCGCCTGAGCCACCCAGGTGCCTCTACAACACCATTTTTAATAGCTGCATAATATCCCACTGACAATATACTATAATTTCTTTAACCAGTCAATGTACAGGATATTTATAAGAGCAAAAAATGGAAACAATATGCATGTTCAATGATCATGTGAATCAAGATACACATCTAATCTATCTATAAAATACAGCTATCAAGTACTATGTCTACACAAATTTTAAAAACATGGGGAAATGTTTATGATGTACGTGAAGCCAAAATAACCAGATACAACATTATGTAGCATGATATCAACTGCGTAAAGGAAGGTGGCATAGGGATGGCCAGAGGGCAAAGCAAAGAATCCATTCAGGTACCTAGGTTTTAAAGAGCAACTTTTGGGGCGCCTGGGTGGCTCAGTCGGTTGAGTGTCCGACTTGGGCTCAGGTCATGATCATATGGTTGGTGGATTCGAGCCCCGCACTGGGCTCTCTGCCGGCAGCACACAGCCTGCTTTGGATCCTCTGTCCCCCTCTCTCTGCCCCTCCCCCACTCTTGTGTGGGTACGCTCGCTCGCTCTCTCTCCCTTTCAAAAATAAACATTAAAAAAAAAAAAAAGAGCAACCTTCAACTCTTGATGCCAGAGAGACTCTCCCCGGTTGCTGATATTCCTTCCTTTCTATTCATCTTAGAAACAGACTTGCTGGGGGGCACCTGGGTGGCTTAGTCGGTTAAGCGTCCGACTCTCGCTTAGGTCATGATCTTGCGGTTCGTGGGTTCGAGCCCTGCGTCGGGCTCTGTGCTGACTGCCAGCTCGGAGCCTGGAGCCTATTTCAGAGTCTGTATCTCCCTCTCTCTCTGACCCTCCCCTGCTCACACTGTCTCTCTCTCTCTCCTAGAAATAAATAAAAAAATATTAAAAAAAAAAAAAAAAGAAATAGACTTGCTGGCCTGTTATTCCAGCTGCATCCTCCCTGAGCCTGGGCTTCCTCATCTGTGAAACAGCAGCAGTAAGACTCAGTGGAAGACCCGGTGGACAGATTCACAAAGATTTAAGCAAACTGTCTAGTACCAGGCCTAGCACGAGGTAAGCCTTCGGAGATGAATGGCTTCTCTCCCCACTCACTTCCCTAGGGCAGGTCCACTGAGCCGGATCACATCCGTTGCCCATGACTCTTGAACTTGTGGGCTGCTTTGGAAGGAAAGTTAACCCCAGTTGAGGGCCCCCACCGTCCTAACTGGAGACTGTCCCGCTCAGGCCCCACAGTGAAGAGAGCATGGGAGGCCACGGCTTACCCTGGCGCTCCAGCTCCCCGAGGACAAGGTACATGGAGTCCAGCTGGGCTTGGAATGGCTCCACCAACTTGGTACAGACCAGGATCTGGTGCTCGTCAGACCCGTGCTGGGCCCTCAAGGTGACTCGGGACTGTGCCATGTCATAGAGGCATAACCTGCAGGTCAGGAAAGGCGTGGTCATTGGTATCCACACACAGAACAAACACAAAGAGTTCAAACAGTTCCAGGAGCCCAGTGAACCCAGGGGACTCTGATCAGAGAAATAAAAATGGCAGCAACAAGTGAGAAAAATTGTTTTCAGTCTGCATTGTTAAGATATCTTTTTAAAAAATTTTTTGTTTATTTATTTATTTTTGAGAGAGAGAGAGAGCAAGCAAGCATGAGCTGGGGAGGGGCACAGAGGGAGAGGGAGACACAGAATGCGAAGCAGGCTCCTGAGCTGTCAGCACAGAGCCCGACGCAGGGCTCGAACCCACAAACCATGAGATCCTGACCTGAACCAAAGTTGGATGCTCAGCCGACTGAGCCCCCCAGGTGCCCCTACATTGTTAAGATATCAATTTTATGCATTACGAGGCACCTGTTTAACGAGTGTTGACAAAAGTATACACTTAATGTAGCCACCACCCTAGTTAAGATTCATCACATTTCGGGGCACCTGGGTGGCTCAGTCAGTTGAGGTCCAACTTCGGCTCTGGTCATGATCTCACCGTTCGTGGGTTCAGGCCCCTCATCAGGCTTTGGGCTGACAACACGGAGCCTGCTTTGGATTCTGTCTCCCGCTCTCTCTGCCCCTCCTCCACTTGTGCGCACGTGCTCTCTCTGTCTCAAAAATAAATATTTTTTAAAAATCCTCTAAAAAAAGATTTGGCACATTTCTATCGCCCCCAAAAGGTCCCTTGTGCCACTATGAAATCAGTCTCCACATCAAGCACCTCATATAAATAGAATCACAGCAATACGTATTCTTTTGTGTCTAGCTTTTCAGTCCGCAGAATGGTTTTGAGGTTCACTTATGCTGTTGGGTAAATCAGTGGTTTATTCCTTTTATTGCTCAGTCAGACTCCGTTGAAATTATTAAAAATAATTTGTTTGGGGTGCCTGGGTGGCTCAGTTGATTAAGCGTCCAGCTCTTGATATCAGCTCAGGTCATGATTCCAGGGTCGTGGGATTGAGTGTGGAACCTGCTTAAGATTCTTTCTCTCTCTCTCTCTCCACACCCCCCACCCCCAACCCCTGCCCTTCTCCCACTTGCACGCACATGCTTTCTCTCTCTCTTAAAAAAAAAAAAAAAAAAAAAAAGTGTAGGGGGACCTGGGTGGCTCAGTTGGTTAAGCGTCCGAATTTGGCTTAGGTCACGATATCGCAGTTCATGGGTTCAAGCCCCGCATCAGGCTCTGTGCTGACAGCTCAGAGCCTGGAGCCTGCTTCGGATTCTGTGTCTCCCTCCCTCTCTGTCCCTCCCCTGCTCGTGCTCTGTCCCTCTCTCTCAAAAATAAAACATTTAAAAAATAATTTAATTATTAATTAAGCATTTAATAAAATAAAATAAAATATGCACAAGTCTTGGTGCAGACATGTTTTCATTTCTCTTGAGTACATATCTAGGAGCGGAATAGCTGGATCATGTAAATGCATGCTTATATACGTATATAATTCGTTTTAATTTAAGTAATTTCTTATACCCAATGTGGGGGTTGAACTCATAACCTTGAGATCCTAAGAGTTTCATGCTCTATGGACTGAGCCAGCCAGACACCCCATTAGAAGTATGTTCACCTTTTAAATCTTTTCTTTCTTTCTTTCTCTTTCTTTCTTTCTTTCTTTCTTTCTTTCTTTCTTTTCTTTCTTTTCTTTCTTTTCTTTCTTTTCTTTCTTTTCTTTCTTTCTTTCTTTCTTTCTTTCTTTCTTTCATTTTATTTTAAAGAGAGAGAGAGAGAGACTGGGAGCAGGAGAGAGGAACAAAGGGAGAGAGGGAGAGAATCTCAAGCAGGTTTCACACTCCGTGTAGAGCCCTATGTGGGGCTTGATCCCATAACCCTGGGATCACGACCTGAGCTGAAATCAGAGTCAGAGGCTCAACCAACTGAGCCACTTAGGAGCCCGTGTCTAGCTTTTAAAGAAACTGCGAACCTGTTTTCCAAAACACTTGTGCCATTTTACATTCCTACCAGGAGTGTGTGGGAGTTCTAGCTGCTCCACACCCTCATCAGCATTTGCTTTTGTTAGTCTGCTTTAAAAATTTTTATAGTTTATTTATTTTTGAGAGAGCGTGAGAAAGAAGGGGAGGGGCAGAGAGAGAAGGAGAGAGAGGGGGAATCCCAAGCAGGCTCCACACTGTCATCAAAGAGTCTGATGTGGGTCTCAATCTCATGAACCATGAGATCATGACCTGTACCGAAATCAAGAGTCAGACACTTGGGGCGCCTGGGTGGCTCAGAAAGTTAAGTGTCTGACTCGACTTCAGCTCAGGCCATGATCTCATGGTCTGTGAATTTGAGCCCTGCATCAGGCTCTGCACTAACAGTGTGGAGCCTGCCTGGGATTCTCTCTCTCTCTCTCTCTCTCTCTCTCTCCCTCCCTCCCCCACTTGCTCTCTCTCTCAAAATAAATTTAAAAAAAAAGAAAAAGAAAAAGAAAGGAAAGCCTTCTCTTTGGAAAAAAAAAAAAAAGTCAGATGCTTAACCGACAGAACCACCCAGGCATCCTTCATCATGGGTTTGAATTTGCATTTCCCTCATGACTAATGATGCTACACAGATTTTGTACGAACACAGAGCCATCCTCATATTCCTGTGAGTACATACATACACATGAAAATGTGTGAAGTAATCACCAAAAGGGTAGCAGTGGCTGTCTAGACAGTGAGATTACACCTGTTTTTGCTTGCTTTCTTCATACTTTTATCAACTGTCTACATTTTTTACAATGAAAACATATTAGATTTTTAGCATTTAGGGGCACCCGGGTGGCTAAGTCGGTTGAGTGTCCGACTTCGGCTCAGGTCATGATCTCACGGCTTGTGGGTTCGAGCCCCGCATCGGGCTCCGTGCCAACAGCTCAGAGCCTGGAGCCTGCTTCAGATTCCATCTCCCTTTCCCTCTGCACCTCCTCTGCTGACTCTCTATCTCTCCCTCTCTCAAAGTAAATAAACAAACATTTAAAAAATTTTTAAATAAAATAACTAAACACGGGGTGCCTGGCCGGCTCAGGTGAACATGCAACTCTTGATACTGAGGTCGTGAGTCTGAGCCACATGTAAGGGGTAGAGATTACTTAAATAAATAAAACTTGTAAACAGTTCAAAAAAATAACTAGAGAAAATTACAATAAAACTATTTTAGTTGTTTTTTTCTGTCTGTGGAGGCGGGTGGGGAATTGAAACATCCCCCCACCTTGTGAAAAGGCCATTCTCACCTTCCGAATGTTCTCAGTGTGCCTCCGTCGGGAACTTGGCCGGCACTGACTTCCCAGGGGAAGTAGTAGGTCCCAGGTTTGGGCAGCATCTCAGAGCGGAGATGGATTTTTGAAGATTCCTGACAAACCCAGCAGAACACAAGACTGAGATTAGCAGATTCCTGAGACCAGCAGCACGGGAAAGGCTAGTCCCAGTGGGTGGCAGTTTAATATATAAAAAAAGATTTTGGGGCGCCTGGGTGGCTCAGTCAGTTGAGCTTCTGACTTCAGCTCAGGTCATGATTACACAGTTCCTGGGTTCAAGCCCCACCGCAGGCTCTGTACTGACAGCTTAGAGTATGGTGCCTGCTTCGGATTCCATACCTCCCTCTCTCTCTCTCTGCCGTTTCCCGGCCCACACTTTGTCTCTCTCTCACAAAAATAAATAAAAACATTTTAGGACACCTGGGTGCCTCAGTCGGTTAAGCGTCCGACTTCGGCTCAGGTCATGATCTCGTGGTCCATAGGTTCGAGTCCCACCTCGGGCTCTGTGCTGACAGCTCAGAGCCTGGAGCCTGTTTCAGATTCTGTGTCTCCCTCTCTCTCTGCTCCTCCCCTACTCACGCTCTATCCCTCTCTCTCATTATTAAAAAAACATTTAAAAATGTTTTTAATAAAAATATTTAAAAAAATTAAAAAACAGGGCCGCCTGGGTGGCTTAGTCAGTTGGGCGTCCGACTTTTGCTTGGGTCATGATCTCGCGGTTCATGGGTTCGAGCCCCGCGTCGGGCTCTGTGCTGACTGCCAGCTCAGAGCCTGGAGCCTGTTTCAGAGTCTGTGTCTCCCTCTCTCTCTGACCCTCCCCTGCTCACGCTGTCTCTCTCTCTCTCTCTCCTAGAAATAAATAAAAACCATTAAAAAAAAAAAAGTAAATATAAGTAGATATTTATTTTCCCTCTATAGTATACATGCTGTTCTGTATCTTGATTTTTTTCACTTGATATATTTTGACATTCTCTCATAGGTGCACATAAAGGAAGACTTCATTTTTTAAAACTCACCTTTCTTATTTATTTATTTTTAATATTTTTGTTTATTTATTTTTGAGACAGAGAGAGACAGAGCACGAACAGGGGAGGGGCAGAGAGAGAGGGAGACACAGAATTCGAAGGAGGCTCTAGGCTCTGAGCTGTCAGCACAGAGCCCAACATGGGGCTCGAACCCATGAACGGTGAGATCATGACCTGAGCCGAAGTCGGACGCTTAACCGACTAAGCCATCCAGGTGCCTCTGAAATCACCTTTTTATTTTAGAATAGTTTTAGATTTATATTAAAACAAACAAACCCGTAGGGGCGCCTGGGTGGCTCAGTCGGTTAGGCGTCTGACTCTTGATATCAGCTCACTTCTGGATCTCAGGGTCTGGAGTTCAAGCTCCACATTGGACTCAGCGCTGGGCGTGGAGCCAACTTAAAAAAAAAGAAAGAAAGGAAAGAAAACCTGTAAAGATGGTACAACTTACCCAGTTTTCCCTATAATTAACATCTTATATTAGTACGACACACTTGCCACAATTAATGAACCTGTATCAATACAACTTGACAGCACACTTTACTTGGATTTTCTTAGTTTTTTCCCTAATTTCCTTTTTCTGTGTCACAGTACCCTCCAGAATGCCGCATTACATTCAGTTGTTATGTCTCTTTAGGCTCCTCTGGGTTATGATAATTTCTCAGACTTTCCTTGCCTTTTGACCTTGAGAATTTTGAGGTATATCGGTCAGGCATTTTGTAGAATGACCTTCAGTTTGGGTTTCGTCTGATGTTTTTTTCATGGTTAGATTAGGGTTACAAGTTTTGGTGAGTAATTTTAAAAAGAGAAAGAGAAGGGCGCCTGGTTGGCTTAGTCGGTTAAGTGTCTGATTTTGGCTCAGGACACGATCTCACGGTTCATGGGTTCGAGCCCCGCATCGGGCTCTGCGCTGATGGCTCAGAGCTTGGAGCCTGCTTCGGATTCTGTGTCTCCCTCTCTCTCTGCCCCTTCCCCAGCCATGCTCTGTGTCTCTCTGTCTCTCGAAAGTAAATAAAAACACAAAAAAAAATTTAAAAAGAGAGAGAAGACCAGTTATATAAGTGATGTAACAACGACACAGTGGACATTCCGCAGCCTGCTTAGGATGATGCGTTATATGTGTTCTCACGGCAAGATCTTCAAGATACACCATCAGGAAAAAAAGTAAGGAGCAGGCATTTCTGTCTAATATGTACATTTATGTGAGCGCAGAAGAACACTCCAGAGTACAATCACATGAGGCTCATGAGGATCAATGATAACAGCATCCTGAAGGTGACAGGCTTCAACTGTTTGATAGGCTACGCCAAGGGACGTGTAAATACAGAAAATGGCAATTAAGTCACCCCAAGTAAGACCGTTGCAAAAACCAGAGGACACAGCTTTAGTGCAGAAGTTTAATGTTACCCAGAAACTTGCACCATTGGTTTCAGGATCGTCTGACATGAAGGCCATTGGGAATGTTGCTGGTCAATGTTCGAAGGTCATATTCAAGACAATGTTCGCCCAACAGCGGTATAGGGGCAACTGGCCAAGGCCCTGTCCTATTTTTCCCTAAATGCAGATGCTCTTCATCGCTGTGACCAGGGAGCAGAGCTGCTCCTGTTCCCAGAAATGAGACAGCCCCCCCCCAAAAAAAAAGAAATGAGACAGCCCCCTAATCATCTTTGGCACGGGAGAGAAGCAAACAAACAAACAAACAAACCAAAACACCCAAAAATCAGCCATGAAGGGGGAAAAAATGTGTTTTCTATTTTGGAATAATGGGGACAATTGTGTCCAATCTAGCAAGAAAGGTGAAAACTTTGAATCTTTTGGAAAAAAGTAACTTTTCTGCTCTCTGACACCATATATACTATAAGTTATAAGTAACTACGTCATTAAACTTATTCTTCTTTTTTTAATTATCATACAGTGGAATTGACTCGGGGCGCGGGCATAGGCTTTTGCAAATTTTAACCTCACTGATTTTTTTTTTTCAAATAAAAGTCGCTATGTGTTTATTAAGACATGTCTGTTAACTTACAAAGTGCAGAGGGCTCACAAATCATTATGTTATCGTCAGACATTTAAAAGAGTTTCTGAGTAGATGTCAGGACTGGCTTTTCTTGTGGCTCAACTGGATTTCAAATAATGTGTTTAGAAGTCTGGGTACTGGTAGAACCTGTACTTGGGAGCCTTGCCCTTTCTATTGCCCAAGGCAAAATATCCATTTCTGGGAGAAAAATCTATGGTATGAAGAAGAGAAATCTTCTTCTCCTTCTCCTTTTTTTTTTTTTTTAACAACTGTCAACTTAGAAAATACCATACAGGAAGGATGGTGACCCAGTGTGACTGCTTCTTTCATTTTTTCTGCTAAGATTTCTGCAGTAGGATTGAAGGTCAGAAGTAACACATGTAACCAAGATCATTACAGCCTTTATCAACTTTGGGTTTCTTTCTAGGGGATAAGAATCTTGACTGTATATGTTTACTACTCTACAGTTGGAAGGCATTACTGGTTTATTATAGAAAGATAAGAGTCAGGAACATCCAGATGGAAGAGATATTTGGCACAAGGTATGTGGGAAGGAGCAGGACCCCTCCCATGCTGTCTCAGAGCACCCCACTGTGCTGGTATCTGGGCTTATTCACCAGCCCTGAAGCGACTCATAAATATTTTTATAGTTACAATTCTTAAAAAAATTTTTTTTATATGTTTTATCTTTATATTTGAGAGAAATAGACAGAGACAGGGCGCAAGCAGGGGAGGGGCAGAGAGATGGAGACAGAATCTGAAGCAGGCTCCAGGCTCCGAGCTGTTAGCATAGAGCCCCACATGGGGCTCGAACTCATGAGCAGTGAGATCGTGATTGGATGCCTAACCGACTGAGCCACCCAGGCGCCCCTAAAGTTACAATTCTTTGTTAGTTTACATTGCACAATGAGCCTTCAACATTAAAACTCAAATTGCACCATGTTATTTGAACTATGGCCTCAAAAGATTCTGTCACATGGCGATTACTACAAATTTTAAATGTAACCTCAACGAAGTGAATTTTACAAAAACTAAAATAAAAGGATTGTGTACTATGTCTTTAAAAGTTCTGGAATTATCAGATGAAGAATCATCAGTGGATATTACATGTACTGGGCAAAAGTCTGATGAGGGACAGGATATTGACTTCGTCTCAACAGATCTGCCCAAAGATTACCTATTAATTACAAAGAAAAAATTGATCTACTTCATAGTAAACGAACTTAGCAAATACTACCTTTGTGTACCGCCTGGATATGAAGCACTCAAACAGACATGTTGTTTTGTGCTATATCTTTCTACAAAAAGTGCATAACCTGAATTGAATCATGAAGAAGTATCAGACTTCTGAATGGAGGGACATTCTACAGAGCAAATGGCTTATATACTTCAAACGTGTCAGTAATAGAAGACAAGTAAATTACTCCAGTTAAAAGAGACTAAAGAGGGGCACCTGGGTGGCTCAGTAGGTTAAGCATCCAACTTCGGCTCAGGTCATGATCTCATGGTCTGTTCAAGCCCCATGTAGGGCTCTGTGCTGACAGCTCAGAGCCTGGAACCTGCTTCGGATTCTGCGTCTCTGTCTCTGACCCTCCCCTGCTCACAGTGTCTCTCTCTCTCTCTCTCTCTCTAAGAAATAAATAAACATTAAAAAAAATTTTTTTTAATTTTTAAAAGAGATTAAAGAGATACATTAACTGTTAGGGGGTAAAATGTGTCCTCTCAAAAAGAGATGTTAGAATCCTAACTCCCAATACCTCAGAATATGACCTTATTTGGAGACAGGGACTTCACAGAGGTAATCAAGTTAAAGTGAGGCCATTAGGATGGGCTCTAATCTGGTGTCCTTGTAAGGAGAGACTCGGACACAGATGTGTGCACAGGGAGAAGGGCCCCGTGAAGGTGAAGACAGAGGTCAGAGTGATGTGCACGGAAGTCAAGGAACACCAAAGGCTGCCAGGAAACCATCAGAAGCTGAGAGAGAAGCACAGAGCAGATTCTCCCCCACAGCCTCAGAAGGATCCAAAGCTGTCTACATCTTGATCTTGGACTTCTGACCTCCAGAATTATAAGACAATAAATGTCTGTTATTTTAAGGCACCCCGTCCGTGGTACTTTGTTACAGCAACCCTAGAAAACTAATACAACTAAATATAAGTCACGAGCCTGGCCTGGATCTGGGTTGCCCGAGAAAAGTATGATGAAGGACATGACTGGACAACTGTCAATCCATACAAAGGTTTGCGATTACAGTATTGTATCAATAGTATTGTTATTTCCTTGATTTGACCACTGCTGTTCTGCTATTCTCGTGGACCATTTAGACGGGTCCTGGGGCGGAGGCGAACTAGACACAGGTAGGTGATGTTTTAACCAGAACCAAGTCCTGTGGCTCTAAAATCACCTCCAGGCCGCACCCCTGTGTCACATGTGCTCTAGCCCAGCAGTCATTCTTGATGTGTCCCTCTTCTCATGGTCTCATCCTACTCGTCACAAGTTTCTGTCAATTCCACCTCAAAATACACACTGAATCCATGCACCTCAGTCCAACCAAGCCACCTCAGTCCAAGCTTTCATCAGCGTTGCCACCGGTCTCTGCTTCCACTGTTTTCCTTCTATGGCTCTCTCTCTTCATAACGGCCAGAGCGATATTTTAAAATGGAAAAATATGCCATAGGGAGTCTTTTTTGCCAGAACCTCAAGTCTGAGTCTAACAATACCTCTAGATACAGCCAACAGCTTACAGAGGAACACAGCAAAGACGCAAAGAGATGGTAAAAATCCAGGTTGTGGGAAATTCAACGTGAAAAATGACCTAGCTTTTTCAATAAATAAGCTGTGGGAAAAAATTGTATAGTGGAAACCTATAAAAGAAGAAGCTTAAGAGTCTTACCTCAACTGACTGCACCCTGTAAACTTTGTTTGGACCCTGATTTGAACAAACTAACTGTAGATAATTTTGTAAAATGTAGTTTAATGTTTTTTATATATTTTAAAAAATTTTTAATGTTTATTTTTGAGAGAGACAGAGCACAAGTGGGGGAGGGGCAGAGAGAGAGGGGAAGACACAGAATCTGAATGGGGCGCCAGGCTCTGAGCTGTCAGCACAGAGCCCAACGCGGGTCTCGAACTCACGAACTGCAAGATCATGACCCAAGCTGAAGTCAGACGCTTAACTGACTGAGCCACCCAGTTACTCCTGCTGTAGACAGTTTTTTGTGAGATATGTGAATACTGATTGCAATGATGACAAGAAATTTATGTTAATATTTCCAAGTATGATAATGGTATTAGGATCATGTTAAAAACAGTTTAAAGATACATATTAAAAGTATTTATAAATGACAGAATATCAGACGTGCTTAAAATTAACGTGGTAGGGAACTGGATGGAGTTATAGTGGATAATTATTGGACCTGGGGGTAAAGTTTATGGGGTTCATTGTATTATTCCTTCTACCTTTGTACATGTTTGAACATTTCCACAATAAAATGTTTAAAAATGTGAATCAGATCATATAACCCCACTGAAAATCTATTAAAAGCTTCCTATTATAAATTCCTGTTAAAATTGAAGATCTTGTATGGAAAGAGCCTAAGTGTCCATCAACAGACGAATGGATCAAGAAGATGTGGTTTATCTATACCATGGAATACTACATGGCAATGAGAAACAATGAAATCTGGCCATGTGTAGCAACACGGATGGACCTTGAGGGTGTTATGCTGAGCGAAATAAGTCAGACAGAGAAGGACAAATATCATATGTTTGCACGTATAGGAGGATTAGGAGGAACTTGACAGAGGACCAAGGGGGAGAAGAAGGGGGAAAATGGTGGGGGAAAGGGAGAGAGGCAAACCATGAGAGACTCTTGAATGCTGACAAAAACTGAGGACTGATGGATGTGGGGGGGGGATGGGCATGGAGGAGGACACTTGTGGGGATGAACACTGGGTGTTATGTGGAAACTAATTTGACAATAAACTATTTGTAAAAAAAAAAAAAAAATTGAAGATCTTGGGGCATCTAGGTGGCTCAGTCAGTTGAGTGCCTAACTCTTGATTTTGGCTGTCATGACCCCAGGGTTGTGGGATTGAGTCCCTCATCAGGATCCTTGCTGAGATTGAGCCTGCTTAAGATTCTCTCTCTCTCTCTCTCTCTCTCTCTCTGCCCCTCGCCCCTGCTCCCACTCACTCTCTAAAAAATAAAGCAAAACCTTGAAAGCCTTTGCATTGGCCCACAATGCCACAGGAGGTCGGCACCTGGCCTACCTTTCTGCCCTTGTTTACCATCACACCCCCTCTAGCTCGCCCTAGAGCCATCACACCCCCTCTGAGCTCTTGCCCTCAGGACCTGCACACTTGCTTTTCCTCAGACTTGAGCAGTCTTCCCCAGACCTTCACGTTGTAACTGATTTTCTTTCCTTACTTTGGACCCAGCTCATCCTCCTCTTCCTCAGCAAGGCCTTCCCTATATACTCTATCTAAATTAGCATTCTCCAAGGGGTGCCTGGGTGGCTTAGTCGGTTAAGTGTCCGACTTTCGCTTAGGTCATGATCTCGCGGTTCGTGGGTTCGAGCCCCACGTCGGGCTCTGTGCTGACTGCCAGCTCAGAGCCTGGAGCCTGTTTCGGAGTCTGTGACTCCTTCTCTCTCTGACCCTCTTCTGCTCACGCTGTCTCTATCTCTCTCTCTCCTAGAAATAAATAAAACATTAAAAAAAAATTTTTAAATTAGCATTCTCCACCACCCCCAGGTACTCTATCCCCTTAGCTTAATTTATTTTCTTTCTTTCTAGTTTACTAAATAATACAATTCCAAATAGGGGGATTTGTTTACTTGCTTAATGCCTCTGTTTGTCACTAGATTAACCAGCTCCATTATTCCTCAGAGTCTCCCCTGTGCCTAACACAGAACCTGGTACGTTATTAAATAGTTATTGAACAGATGAATATATTCATGAAAAAGAGACCATATACCCCCACACCCAACCCGGACACAGAGAACCCAAACCACATCTTACTGCCTACATTAACTGGATTTTGTGGTCCTATGCTTTCATTAGCACTTTTTTTTAATGTTTTTTTTTTATTTATTTCTAGGAGAGAGAGAGAGACAGCGTGAGCAGGGGAGGGTCAGAGAGAGAGGGAGTCACAGACTCTGAAACAGGCTCCAGGCTCTGAGCTGGCTGTCAGCACAGAGCCAGACGGGGCTCGAACCCACGAACTGTGAGATCATGACCTAAGCGAAAGTCGGACGCTTAACCGACTAAGCCACCCAGGCGCCCCCCCACTTTTTTTTAGTAGTTTTCCTGAATGTCCAGCCCATGCAAATAGTTTGACTATCAATAGCCAGTTTTCCCGTTGAGATGATCTGGATTCCCTTGCCTTGATGTTACCACCAATTTTCTACTGTTGTGCATTGGTTCCTATCCAACCCTGAAGTGAAAGACAGGCCTGAAACCAAACTTCCAACTCTCAATAAATTCTGGCCTTACCTTCTCCTGAGACACTACCAAAGCTTTGCCAAGTAGTGCTCTCCCTTACGGGAATAAGCAATCACCTCTTTTTGTCTTACATTGTTACCTTGGTGGTATTAGGAAAGTCAGCTTCTGACAAGAGAAGTAAAATCCAAATACAGTAGCCAAACTAAGTAACAGTTTAATACCTGGAGGAATTAATAACATAGTTAACAGTGCCTAGTCCTGGTATATTGAAATCGAGACAAAACGAAAAATCAGTGACAATGATCTTTCCTTTCTCAATATTGACTTGTGCTCCCTTAAATTGTGTCCCAGGGGAATGCCTCACTTACCTGAACCTATTCCCAGGATTACTAGTAAAAACTGATGTAATAAGTAACAGAGTAGGGAGTGCATAGTTTTGAAACAGTGGATTAGTATGTTGCTTAAAGTTACAAGGATAAATTAGGGGGAGATAAATAAGGGGATGGTGAAGTATGCTAGACCTTCATTTATCGTGGTATGAAATCAAAAGGTAACTAAAACGAACAAATCAAGCACTATCATGTATTTTATTTAGCAACTTTTTAATAATCAGAATTTAAAACACAACTAGTTAAAAGGGGCTGCCTCTGAGGATGGGGAGCTTTCGCATTACAAACTGTCGGACACTAGGTTTCCTAAACGTTTCTTCAGGCGTTTGTTACTTTGATGACGACGATGATAACTGGGAAAGCAAAAAAGTCTAACCTGCCAGCTCGGTCGCACACCCACCCCATAAACAGGGAGCAGCGCTTGCAATCAATCCCACACCCAGCTCCCTGAAGGCAATGCTTCTGTCAGCAAGGATGCCATTATCTTAACAAAAGATAACTCATGTCTCTTCTTCCCAGTGCAACTTTTGTTCTCGTTCCTTTTTTTTCCCCCCAATCTGGGAGGGTTCGGCGAAATCCTACAACAACCCACCCCACCAACGTCGCAAGTCCAACGGACTCAACTCCCGCTCAGAACCCTAGGTCCTCCCCCCCCGTTTCATGTCCGGGTAAGCCTGCACGCAGACCCGGAAGCGGCGGGACAGGCAAGTGCTAAGGCGCAGGCGCACTCCTCCGCAGCCCCGTCGTCCCGCCCCTTCCCAACCCCCTCGCCAACCTGTCAGGGCGTCGCGGGGCCTTGGGTTCCCTCTTTTCGCCCCGCGCGGTCACGTGAGAGTGAGGGGCGGGTTAGCAGGAGCTTCTCGCTTCTTCCTCCAGGGCAATTTCTGGCCCGTCTTCCGGGGTCCCCTCCCCTGGGGGCCGCCCTAGGGCTTCCCTGGAAGAGAGCTGGGGGCTCGTCCGCCCAGCTGCCGGCCGGGGTCACGGAGCCCACGCCGGCGCCGCCTCCGCCTTGGCCGCAGAGGGTGGAGCGCAGACGGGCCGCTGGAAAGGAGAAGGGGCGGGCCGGGGCGGGCCGGGGCGAGCGGGGGCGGGGTCTCGCGCCCTCTTAGGGCGGGGCCCGCGCCGGAGCTGCGGACACCCGTTGTCGCCGTCGCCGCCACCGCCACCGCCACCTCGGCTTCTGCCGCCACCGCCGCTGTCAGTCGTCACCATGAACCAGGATCTTCGCAGGGAGCGGGACGGCGCCAGCTTCAACCCGGAGCTGCTCACGCACGTCCTGGACGGCAGCCCCGAGAACACCCGGCGTCGCCGAGAGATCGGTGAGGGCGGCGGGCGAGGCCTCCCTCCTTCCCCGAGCGCGGCTCGAGACTCCCTCGATGAGGAGTCGTAGAGGGGGCGCTGTAGAGAGTAGGCCGCAGAGCCTGGCCCCGCTGTAGGGGAGCGGGGCCCCCGGTGCCCGGGGCGGCCTGGAGCGGAGTGCTGCGTGTCCGTCCATCCCGAGAGGGGACCTGTGCCCGCCCCCTGAAACCTGCTGGGCTTCAAGGTGTCACGGAGCCCTGATTTTCTGTCTTCCTCCTGATGCCCTTTAACTCCCTTGCAGAGAACCTGATTCTGAATGACCCAGACTTCCAGCACGAGGACTTGAATTTCCTCAGGCGCAGCCAGCGCTACGAGGTGGCTGTTAAGAAGAGCGCCGCCATGGTGAAGAAGATGAGGGAGTTTGGCATCTCAGACCCTGACGAGATCCTGTGGTTTAAAAAGTAGGTATGCCTTCCCGTAGATGAAGTGCCCGGGCCCAAACTACATCTAAACCCGCAGCCTGTGGTGTCCTTTTTCATCGTGCTTAGTGTTTGAAGACTCAAGTTGCACATTCCCCCCCCTCCCACGTTAAAGTTAGGTGCCTGAAAAACAGCGTTTACTTTTGTGTTGAAGTCCTTTAAAGGGATGACATTTGTAGAAGGCTGATTATGAATGAAGATGCTGCAGAGGGTTTGTTTGTTTTTTGTTTTTTCCTTTAGAGGAATCCGTACCAATTTCTTTGGTTCAGGCATCTCAACTTTGAGTGATTTGAGTTGCAAAATGACTTTGCTCCTTGTAAGAAGGAGACTTGTTAAATGTAAAGGCAGAATTTGGAATGATTAAAAAAAATTTTTTTTTTACTGTTATTTGTTTTTGAGAGAGAGAGAGACAAGGTGGGGCAGAGAGGGAGGGAGACACGGAATCCCACGCAGGCTCCAGGCTCTAAGCTGTCAGCACAGAGCGGGACAAGGGGCTGGAACCCACGAACAGGGAGATCAAGACCTGAGTGGAAGTCCAACAGCTGAGCCACCCAGGCGCCTCCTGGAACAATTTTTAGTTCAAGATACTCCAAACAGTATCTTGGAGCAATAACAGATTGTCTTTCCATATGAGAGTGTAGGTCTTGAGTTTAATGGAAAATGTGGGGTGGATGAAGATTTTAGAATTGAATGTAAAGCATTCTAAGAACCCAGCATTCTTAAATCTGTTGGCGCTGGGATTTAAGTGGCTCTTGGCCGTAGGAGACCTCAAAAAAATATGCCTTGGTCCTTATGCTAAAAAGAGCGTGTGCTTTTTCCAGACCATCTGTTTTTGTTCTGTTTTGTTTTTTGATTAGAAATAAAATAAGCACACTTTTTTTTGGCCTTTATCTAAATATTCTATAATTACATGATCTTAGCACAAGATCCTTTCTTTGACCTGTGGCCTCTCTTACGCTTCTTGTTTACTCCTGGGCACTTCATTTTTCAGGTTTCCACATTTTAGAAGGATTCCAGTGTTTTCTGTCAGTAAAGATTAAATGACAAGAATGGTGTATATTCAAGAGCCACGAAGAATGGAACTTGTTACATGTTCTGCTTTTATGTAGTAATGGAAATTTCACCCTTATTCTACTGCCTCTAGTACGTTTGACATCCAGTTATTTTCAGTCTGACCTGGTTATTATTGTGGAGGATGAAATCACTTACTCTGGCCATTAGGACTGCCTGAGAACCCCTTTCCGTTTTAGTCATAAAGTTATGATTTATTTATTTTTGGTAGTCCAAACCAGAGGACTTATTTCCCAGTGTTCTTTTTTCACTTTTGAAGTTTGTATCTCCTCATGGCTGTGGGAACATTGAGGTAGAGTAAACTCCTAGATGATTATGTGCCGGAATTGTTGGGTTTTATGTAAAATTTAAAAATTTAGGAAGACTTTATTTATTTACTTATTTTTGAAGCAACCCAAAAGAAGACGTTTGTTTTGTTTTGCCTTTAAATGGTTGATGCAGCGTGTTTCAGATTTGGTTAGGAAATTTCATAATCAGTCGTGGTTCAGAGCATGTAACCAGAGTGGAGTCACAATAAAGTATAACAAATTCCTTTCTGTGGGTTAAAGAGCAGAGGACACGAGCCAGTTGTTTTGTCTATCAATTTTCGTGACATAGACTTTGCTGTTTAGGGAACGTAGAGTACAAAGTTTAACACACCTTTTGACGTCCTTCTAGTTGCTCTCTGATAGGGCAGGGAGATCAATTTCTGCAAGAAAAGGGGATTGAAAATTAATCTTGGCAGGTACTGAATGCCATGGAGTCTAAGCCTGCCTTCCATTGTAACCCACACCCATGTTTCATGTAAGAAAGAAGTGCCACCAGTTAACTATCACACACTGTTAATTGTGAGAAACACCTGACTTTTTCCATGCCAGAACTGATGAAATATAGTAATATTTCTCTTTCTGGAGATTTTGAGCAATTACTGGTTTCTTTACAGTTATTTCTCCTATCTCAAAATAAAATTCACACATGGGACTATTAAAGTTGATGGAATATTAATAAAATACTGAGTTTTCTCAATTTGAGCAGTGAAAGAAGTGTGGTCTCCAGTCCATGGTGTAAAAACCTTGCTGCCTGGGGAATGTGAAATTTGTTTTCCTAATCTCCTCTCCTATAATTTTGTGTTTTGTAACGACAAAATTACAAAAGACAAAATTTGTTTACTGTTTACTATGAAAACTGTAAAATGTTCTTAAGAGTATTAAATTAAAAAAACATTTTTTTTTTAACATTGATTTATTTTTGAGAGACAGAGAAAGTCAGATCATGAGCAGGGGAGGGGCAGAGAGAGAGGGAGATAGAGAATCTGAAGCAGGCTCCAGGCTCTGAGCTGTCAGCACAGAGCCCAATGCAGGGCTCAAACTCACAAACCACAAGATCATCACCTGAGCTGAAGTCGGACGCCCAATCGACTGAGCCACCCAGGCGCCCCATCTCTCTTTAGGTTTTTAAAGCTGATTCCTTGAAAAGCATTTTCAGGAGGGATTAAACATAATTTAAAAACAAGCACTGGGATTTTGTTCATGAGTTGGTTTTCGGGTATCTTCAAAAGAATCTGTGTCTATTAACATGAACATTGGACAGTCTTTGTCTCAGGTCACATGTTTTTACCTCTGAGTTTCCCAGAATTATACTGTGTCAGTATCATCATTTTACAAACCCACAGCCTCCTCACTTCCCTCCAGGGAATAGGAGTGTCTTATCTTACCACCATTTTTAGCACCTAAATTACTGCTTCTGTTTCTCAGAAACTTTTTTAAGTCCATTTCCTCATTTAGGAAAATATGACTGTTCAGGAATGTGGTAGTGCTCTTACTCTGAGGGAATGATTGCTGCATTTGTCTACCTCCTCAGGCTTTTGACCCTCACTTCAGTGAGGTGGGGTGTTACTTCTCTATTCTCCAACAGCAGAAAACTCCTGTTAATCCAAGTTACTTGGAAGCTAACTCAACTCACTTCTGTTCATACCCTCCTTTTCCTTTTTGTTCTCCATTTAGTTTAAATTGATATTTGATATTGGTGTAAACATTCTAGAACCTCTGTGTTAAAAAGGCATTTCTGATATTCCTTGGATCCAGGCACCCCTTAGATGTTTCCGTCTGTCCCCAGCACCCCTGAAAGGTGATCTTCCAACCTGAAGGTGGAGGGATTGGTTTCAGGGCCTCCCCAAAAGTGAATTGGCAGCCTTCTCCCTCTCTTAATTTATGCTGTCCTCATTGGACACACCAAGAGAAACCGGTGACACTGCTTCCTATTCATTCCTTGCAGAGTTGTGAAGAGCAGTTAGGTGACCCTTGTTTTGTACTTTAAGATAGACAGAGGGGCGCCTGGGTGGCTTAGTCGGTTAAGCGTCCGACTTTCGCTTAGGTCATGATCTCGCGGTTCGTGGGTTCGAGCCCCGCATCGGGCTCTGTGCTGACTGCCAGCTCAGAGCCTGGAGCCTGTTTCAGTCTGTGACTCCCTCTCTCTCTGACCCTCCCCTGCTCACGCTGTCTCTCTCTCTCCTAGAAATAAATAAAAAATATTAAAAAAAAAAAAAAAGAAAAAAAAAAGACAGAAAGGCAGGTAGATAGAACAAAATAGAGCCCTGTAAAATCTTTAACAGCGTAGCCAAGCTGACTAGTTTATGTAAATTGTATTTTAACTACTCCACAGATTCTGTTTTATTATTGATTAATTTTATTTTATTTGAGAGCACGCACACACATGTGCAAGCAGGGGAGGGACAAGGAGAGAGAATCTCAAGCAGGCGTCATCGCAGAGCCAACAAGGGCCTCGGTCTGATGACTGTGAGAGTGTAACCTGAGCCAAAATCAAGAGTCAGATGCTCAAGTGACTAAGCCACCCAGGTGCCCCCATAGATTGTTTTATGAGAAGATAGTTGAAGCCTGAATTTTAGTATGATTGGAATTCCTTTAATCTGGAGGGATTATCAAAACCATCACATTATCTACTTACCCGTCTGTAAACTCAGAAGACCTTTAGAGATATGTGGCTTGGCCCTGGAATATATATTTACTATCCTAGATGTCTGTTTATCTAGGGAAAGATTAAACTATTCTTTAGATGCTTTTGTTAACCGTCCTACAAATAACTGTCCTATGGAGTTCCCTCTGATTTTCAAAACAAGTGAAACCTGAATATAAACACACTCCAAAGAATCCAACCAATCAAACCAACAAATAATACCAACAAAACAAATAAAACACAAAGAGATTTCTAGGCTATAAAACATGGGCAGAATTTGCTTCCTGGATGAAGTGTAGAATTAAAGAGGAATTCTGGCCCCAAAATGACTTGGGCGGGGAGGCGGTAGATACCACCAGATTTGGCCTTTTTGGTGGGAAAATGGTAAATTTCCCATTTAATTTCTTTTTTTTTTTTTTTTTATATTTTTATTTTATTTCTAGGATAGAGAAAGACAGCGTGAACAGGAGAGGGTCAGAGAGAGAGGGAGACACAGACTCTGAAACAGGCTCCAGGCTCTGAGCTGGCAGTCAGCACAGAGCCCGACGCGGGGCTCGAACCCACGAACCGCGAGATCGTGACCTAAGCGAAAGTCGGACGCTTAACCGACTAAGCCACCCAGGCGCCCCCCCATTTAATTTCTTAAGAGAAGGGTTCAAATTGTCCTAACGTCAGTCCCTGAGGGCTATGGCTGTCTGGCAAGAATGGGTAGTAGAATCCAGTTTCTAGAGTAAGGCTGAGATCCCTTTTCTTTTCTCTCCTGTAGACTTCATTTGGTCAATTTTGTGGAACCTGTGGGCATCAATTACTCCATGTTTATTCCTACCTTGCTGAATCAGGGTACCACTGCTCAGCAAGAGAAATGGCTGCTCTCCTCCCAAGGACTCGAGATAATTGGCTCCTACACCCAGACGGAAATGGGCCACGGTTAGTCCACGTTCGAGGGTCCGTGGGTAACCCACCTCAGGACTTAAATTGACAAATGACCCCTGGTGTTCAGTTTTTCCTGCTGCTACCTTTTGGGATTTTGTCTTTAAGCTGTCAAACCTTAAGCAAAAGCCAGCTTCTCGTTTGCTCGTAGGTCATTTCCCATCCAGGACTCTCATCCTCCACTGTTCCTTCTAAAAGTGTTTTTACCCCTGCTTCACATGCCCCATTTTAATGGCTGTTGAGCAGTTTGGAAAGATAGGATTGAAACATGGCAAAATCGTGCTGGTGTCTAATTATACAACATGACTTTGTTGGGAATTCTTGAGAGTGTTAATGCCTTAGCAACATCTGGAAGTTGCCTCTGCTTTAATGAAGCTGAAGATGCGGATTTTCTGGGCAGGGCAGAGAGAGCATTTAAATGTCTTCCTCTTTCTTACATTGCCTGCTGGCAGGGCTATAAGGCAGTTTGGGGAAAAGCTCATGATTCTCTGCCTTGACTACAGCAGTCTTTTTATTATACCTTTTTCCTTTACATGTTTTTGGACTTTGTATTGTCAGTCATTGGTTAGATTGTTCATAAATACCCTACTTTCAAAAAAGTTTTGTGCTTGGTCTTAAGGTGCAGGAGGTTTGTTTTCATAGACAAGGCCATTGGCCAGGTTTGGGGGTTTTGAATTTGAGCTGCCCAGTCTCATTCCTTAATTACCATAATGCTTCCATTGTGTAAGTAAGGAGAAGAGGAAGGGATGCAGATACCATGAAGACTTCATTTTTGTGTTTGATTTGGTGCTTTTTGATTTGTGAAATGTTTGAAGATGTTCTTTATCATAATCCCCGTGAGAGCTGCAGGTGCTGTCGCAATGTCATCCTACAAACACCCGGCCAAGACACCCAGGGCTTTAGCTGCAGGATGGCCAGTACTAAAATAACCTGCCTGAGGGCAGGACTGTAGCACTCATACAGTCTTCCTGGTGGGGGGAGGTGGCGGAGAGAAAGAGGGAGAGTTTTGCAAATTTGAAATAGTTTCGCAGTACAGAACCCTTTGTTTTTGTGTGGATCATTATGGAATTTGACTTCTAGTGATGCTATTTATAGGAGGCATAAAGATATAAATTATTCTGAGGCTAAATGGGCCTGAGACATATATCAGTCTAACCTTTCTGCCTCCGTAAAAGTGCATTGTAAATGTATACTTGCTGTCGATTTTGAAAGAGAGGAAGAAATGGAGACTTGAAGTTTACCTGCTTGAGGAGCCCAGAAATTGGACTGAGATCCTATGTTGTTCTGGGTGAGTTTGCATTTGTTAGTTTTTCTTTCCTTTACTGCTCCTGTTTTCCAGATATTTTCTTGTACTTGAACCAACTTTGTCTTAAATCTGTGCATTTTAGAGAACAGAGTTGCGAGATTAGGTCTTGCTTCTTGCTGGAATCTTGTCCCTTCATATTGGTTTCTTGGGCTTTGTCCACTGCTGTTCTTTTCCAGGGGCACCAGGTTGTCGGTTTGTTTGCATCCTGTGACAGTATAGCCTTGTGTAAGAATAAGTCCTTCAACATCAAAGAGACTGGAAATAGAGCAAATTGTGCAGATCGAGGAAACCATGAGCCTCTGGAACTTCAGTTGGTCAACGATGATTATCTAAAGTATTGTCACAGAATTGGCTGTCACTTCCAGTTTGGGACTCTTTCAGCTCTAGGTGGCTGCTGAGAAGTGAGGAGATGGTATTGCTCAGGCTCATTGCAGGATCCTCAAGAATCTTAAAACTCAGCCCCTTGCATGCAAGTCTTGATCACCTGTTTTCTCCTTTCCCTCCCCTAAATACCCACCTGTCTGTGTAGGGACACAAAACCGTACACACATTTGGTCTGTGACCTTTAATCAAAGGCAGGGGTGTGGGCTGAGGGGTGCGCCCTCTCTGTGGGGTTCTGGTGTTGAAGGGACCGTCTGTGGAACATGGTCCAGTGAGAATCATCCTGGCCATACATTTCTCCGGGTCACAAAGCAGGTGGTATGTTTGGACTTGACAGATACGTGATCATTTCAAGTTCTGGCCACTTTACAGCAGTTCTTGTTTTGTCTCCTGTTATTGTTATTTAGGAAACTAGAACTTGTATAACCCATGGTTACCGTCCTGGAAGATTGGTGAGCTACGCCTGCACCTTCCCGTCTCTAATGCTCAAATATGAACTAAAGCACCTTTCTTCCCCTGACACTTGAGCAATAGATTGTAAACCGGATTGTGTAAGCCACTGGTCTTCTCCACTTGTACTTTCAGTGCTCTGTCTCTTGTCCTCTTTCTTCCGAGCGAGTCTCTTCCCTGTTGGTCTTCTCATGAGACCCGCTCCTGTCGTTTTTGGGCTGTTTCTAATTCCCCGCTATTGTTATCAATAACAACATAAACTTCTTATTAAAAACTGTGTCTTTTGGGGTTGTATCTTTTTCAGATGTAAATCACTGTATTGAAAGGTACATTATGTAGCCTTCATTTCATAGTTTAACACAGAACCCTTTTAAGTGGCTTACTAGCATACTGTGTCTCCGTACACCCCATCAGCATGGTTACTTTACTTTTTTTTTTTTTTTTTTTTGCTACTTTCATATCTAAGAGTTAAAGTTTTAATTTTCCAGTGCCAGATGCCAGTGAGCCTGGATGTTATTACATGTTTTGGCTTACTGTATATGTTTCCTGTGTATAAACTGGTTTTTTCTGAGTATTGATTGAATAGAATCTGTATGTTGATCTTACATGATTATATTGTCGCCTTCCAGCGTTTTTTCTATTGCCTTCTGTTTTGTTAAACATTTTGGCCTTCTGTGTTGAAGGCATCCTTCCCTGAGTAGGTTTAAAATTTTTTCCCCATAGCTTGGATATTCTCTATTTTCTTTTAGTTTGTTTGTTTGATGTTTAATGCTTTGACTTGCATATGGTATAGAGTAATGAATGAACCCCATGCTGATTTTATGTTTTATTAACTAGTTTTTTTTTCCCCATTGTTATATTCTTTCCGGTTCTTCTTAGAGTTTTATAAGAGTTTTGGTTTATCTCCGGAACCTTAAAATATGTTACGTTGATTGGTCCCTTTATTTTTCTCATAAACATCATAAACTTTGGTTCATTATTGCTTTGCAAGATATTTAAAAATCCAGTAAGATATGCCTGTTGTTGTTACATTTTAAGACCCATGTATTTGGTGAATTCTGATCTTAATTTGTCAAAATCTAAGTTATATTCTACAGGAATTTCAAATCCGTGTTACATTAAATCTTTATACTTCCAGGGCGCCTGGGTGGCTTAGTCGGTTAAGCGTCCGGCTTTCGCTTAGGTCACGATCTCGCGGTTCGTGGGTTCGAGCCCCGCGTCGGGCTCTGTGCTTACTGCCGGCTCAGAGCCTGGAGCCTGTTTCAATCTGTGACTCCCTGTCTCTCTGACCCTCCCCTGCTCATGCTGTCTCTCTCTCTCTCTCCTAGAAATAAATAAAACATTAAAAAAAAAAAAATCTTTATACTTCCTTGGGAAGTATTATCTTTATTATAATAAAGGACTGACCTCCTGACCAGGATTTAGCAATTTCTTCTCTGTCATTTATATCTTCTTTTATCTATTCTCCTAGGTATTGATATGTCTTCTTAATTAAGTCTTTAATATCCTGAGCTAAGTTACTTAAAAAATTTTTAATATTTTGATGCTTTTATAAATTGTTTTTCTCTTTACTGATGTATAACGGTCCTAATGGATAAGAATGCAGTGGGTTTTTTTTCCCCTAATAGCCTAGAGCTTTTCTATATTCATTTATTTTTTTTTTTTTAAATACTCATTTATTATTGATGATATTTTGTTGTTGATTCCCTGGCATTAGAGTCATGAAGTACATGGAGATGCTATTTTGAGTTCTTCCTTTCTCATATATTAATCATTTGGTGGAATCATTTTGTCCCCAGCATTGGCTGACAGCCTTTCCAGCCCCGCATCACATGGCGGAGACCAGGCAGGCCTTTTGGTGTTAAGGTTTTAAAAGAATTGACTGCAGCAGTTCACCAAAGTAAAATGTTGGTCCTTTGTAATTTTAAAATAAATTAGTTAAAAATAATATACAGTCTGTATCATGCATAACCAACTTTTTGCAACAAATACTTGATTTAAGTAAAAAAAAATTTTAAACTGTCCAGTTTTTATTTCTCCTTGTAACGTATCTAAATTTCATCCGCTTGTGAATAGTCCTTATTCTTAGTCACAAGAGACATTTTTCTCCTAAAAACGTTCTTCGGTCTCAAAACAGTTTCTGATTACAGTAGTTTGCCCCTGGCCCTACTAAGTGTATTTTCGTAACCTTGGCGTTTGTTACTCCATTGTACCGCACACGGATGCAGACCCCTCCCGTGAGTCTGACGGGGTTCTTCAGACGGGCCCCGCTTTACCAGCAGTGCCCTGGGTTCTGTTAATGCAAGGGAGTCTTTCAGCGCTAAGAGTGGCTGGTCCCAGGCCTCAGTTTTCAGCCCTGGTCCAAAGAGTTTTCTTCTGTCGGATCCTAGGTGTGCATTTATTTTTCTTCCTAGACACCACCCTTTTCAAAACTGGAGACAGTGGCATTCCTGTTTGTGAGTGAAAGCACTCTCTCGTCACATGAATGTGTTTTTCTGAGGATTTCCACTGTTTTTTTAGCTTTTTAGTTTGAAATGATTATAAATTCATAGGAAGTTGCAGAAATAGCACAGGGAGATTCCATTGACCTTTCACCCAGTTGCCACCAGTGCTGACACCTTATGGGATTTCCATTTGGCACTTCCTAGGAGAGCTGCTCCGGTCTGGGCAAGGTTTTCTGGGGTCCTCATCATGGTGCTCAGTCCCAATTGCACTCGGATGAGAACTGCCCCGGTTAGAAGATGTGATTGGGTGGTGGGATTCTTGTCCTCGCTCTGCCATGATCTTGATCCGAAGGCACTTAACTCACCTCAGTCTAATTTCTTTGTAAAATGAGCACGTTGGTCGCGCGTTCTTTGATTTTTATGTGATTGGATAACTGAAAGCCCCACCACCCAATTGGAAGATATAATCGATCAGCCCTCACCTGGGCAGTGTGCCCTGCTTACTTCCCTCCTTACTTTATGAACAAACAAATTTTAAAACTGCAATGTTGTGTGGGTTCATTTCTAAGAAAGCAGTAAGGATTTATTTTCAATAGGAAATAGATTCACACAGAAGTTTAAGGCACCTGCAAATTTTAAATGGAAAAGAATGACTTTAGAAAGTGGATTCCGGGGGTGCTTGGCTGGCTGAGTTGGTAAAGCATGTGACCCTTGATCACAGCATCATGAGCTCAAGCCCCATGCTTGGTGTGGAGCCTACTTTAAAAAAATAAACAAAATAAAAATTTTTGAAAAGTGGGTTCAAAATTACTAAACCTAAGATGTTTGTTATCATTAGTGATATTTCCTGTTTGACCAGCCTGTTATGCATGAATCTGTTGTTTGTAATTATTATTATGGTCTTTACTAGAAATTGCATCTCTTTTTTTTAAATTTCTGCACTTAATTACTGGATGAAGAGCACTGTCCATTTTTGTATTAAATTGTTTCCGGAGGGCATGGCTGCGTATTTGTGATGAATCTGAATGAAACAACCAGATTTACATCAGGGATGTGATCTGTGCTGGGTGTTTTATGGGCCAGCGCAAAGGATGCCAGCCTGGAAGCATTATTGAAAATGCATCTAGGATGGAAACCAACTTGACAATAAACTATATTAAAAAATAAACATAAATTTAAAAAAAGAAAATGCGTCTGGGAGAGCATATTGGCGGTCTGAGAGAACAAAGTTCTCCTGTCTCACCTTCTCAGCAGGGTAGATCATCATACAACTTAAATTCTCCATTCCATACAACCTCTTCACATTTCTTATTTCTTCTGGTTTAATCGCAAGGCTGGGATCCTCTGCCTGATGTGCATATTTCTGTGCCGCATGGGCTTTGGAGTCGGAGGCCAGTCCTCAACCAGATGAATTATTCCAGAGCTGAGTAGCCTAAGAAAAAACTTCTCACCAAATTAAGAAAACTGGAATTTGCCAAGAGTTTATGAAAGTAATACAGAAAGAGGAAGTGCTCCCATCCATGATAAAGTCCACCAAGCTAACTCATACTGAAAAAAAAAATTTTTTTTTCTCCTCTCCCTTACTCTGTTCACATTGCTGATTTCTCTCACACCTGATGACTCTTCTCTCAAATGCCCATCCTTGGTGTTTCTTCGAAGTTTTGTGCACCGAGGGCGGCCCGAGCCTCTGGATCTTCACTTGGGCATGTTCTTGCCTACTTTGCTTCACCAGGCGACCGCAGAACAACAGGAACGGTTCTTCATGCCCGCCTGGAACTTGGAGATCATTGGCACTTATGCCCAGACAGAGATGGGCCATGGTACGGTGCATTCAGTCTACCTTCTGGGTTGGGTGGGGCTCTGCAAGCTCAGCCAATAGGGAGAGCCCACCACATGTTGGCAATGGCATTTCCACATCCTGTGGTCTTTCTGCAGGGTCCAGGTTTTTCACGCACACAAGCCTTGGCGTAGACATTGCTTTGGTCAGGGGAAATGAAAGGTTGTACTATCACAGAGATAGGCTGAGTATTCTTTTTCATGGTTCCCCTTCAGTGGGTCAAGAATTTGTTTACTGAGTGGTTTTTCCAAGTTCACTGGAGTTATGTAGAATTTGTCTGCATGTGGAATCTGAACCCATCTTTTTTCTTCATTACACTCTGTTTACTCTTCTTTACTGCTGTTGCCTTGACCTTGCACAAATTCCAGAAGAAACACAGACTAATAGTACATGTACTCTTTGACTTGCTTCAAGGAAATGAATTGCTTTATATAACCGTAATGTGAGTGTTTTATTTTTATTTATTCTCTTTTTAATTTATTTTTTTAATCTACATCCAAGTTAGTTAGCATAATGGTGTAACAGTGATTTCAAGAGTAGATTCATTTATGCCCCTTACCCATTTAGCCCATCTGCCCTCCCACAACCCCTCCAGTAACCCTCTGTTTGTTCTCCATATTTAAGAGTTTCTTGTGTTTTGTCCCCCTCCTTGTTTTTATATTATTTTTGCTTCCCTTCCCTTATGTTCATCTGTTTCATACCCTAAAGTCCTCCTATGAGTGAAGTCATATATTTGTCTTGCTCTGACTGATTTCACTTAGCATAATACCCTCTAGTTCGATCCATATAGTTGCAAAATGGCAAGATTTCATTCTTTTTGACTGCCGAGTAATACTCCCTTGTATGTATATACACTACATCTTTATCCATCCGTCCATCGATGGACATTTGGGCTCTTCCCATATTTTAGCTATTGTTGATAGTGCTGCTATACACATTGGGGTGCACGTGCCCCTTCAAAACAGCACGCCTGTATCCCTTGGATAAGTACCTAGTAGTGCAGTTGCTGGATCTTAAGGGAGTTCTATTTTTAATTTTTTGAGGAACCTCCATACTCTTTCCCAGAGTGGCTGTACCGGTTTGCATTCCCAAGCATTTTATACTTTTTTTGTGCCTTGATTCAGTAAAGTTCTAAAGTTGGGTTGGCCAAAGATTATTTTAAAAAAATCAGAGAGGCCATACTTGTAGGCAGTTGGTCTTGGAGACAGTGGCTGTCCCTGTTTTCTGGTCTGAATTGGTATCTATGTTTACTATTCATTTCCTTCTGTCTTCTTTTCTCCTACTTAGAGGTTTCTGAACAACTGGTCTAACGTATGTTTGCCACTTGCTCCATCTTTCTGTGCAACTTCATCTTGATTTTGCAGCTAATCTGGAACTTAGTGCTAAGTCATATTTTACAGGATTTTCACAAGACTGAAAGTCGAGTACTGACTGGCTGTGCATTTGCAAACAATTTATCACTATCTGTTCTGTTACCGTATTACTTCTTTTTCTATAAAAACTTCTTTGGTTAAAAAAAATTCTTTGGTGAAATGAGTCTTAGTGTCTGGTTCCTTGATTCACACTCGAGAAGGTTGTGGATAACTCAAAGTGGCCATTTCTGTAATTCAGCTTGGTAGTTTCTAAATGTTTCAAAATTAATTGTTTAATGAGGTCTGTCATTATCAAACCAGTCTGGTAAAAGGCCCTCAGCATTTGCTTCAGGATAGTGTTATTAGAGGGAATGTCACTTAGAACATTTTTACGTAACTGTTTTCAGAGAATTTTGGCACTTTTATATTAGGACCTAAAGCGTGAATCCTTGTCCATCTCCAATAAACGTATGGAACTGGGAACTCTTCCTTGTCACAGTACTGAAGAGTTAAGGCTGGCATTGGACATCACAGGGTGCGCTCACACCTTCTTATTTGACCTTTAGAAATCCAAACAAAAAGTCGCTGTTCCAGGTCCTTTTTCCCCGTGGTGGTTATAGTTTTTTTTAAAGTCTCATTTTCTATTCTAGCCATCCCTCTGAAATAAGTCCTTAATTTACAAGAACTTTGGCCTGAGTATCTTTCTGTCACCTGTTATCTTAGTCTTCGTGAATAGGGGAGTCCAGAATGTTGAACTGGTGCAGTAAACACAATGTAAGTTGACGTTGGCATACTATCTTACAGGTGTTAATTTAAAGGGGCAGTTAGCTTCCCTGTTATGTTCATATCCTGTGATCTTCTGAAAATATGATTCTAAAATGCCTTTACATTTTCTTCTGGGTGATTTAAATAACGTTACAAATCCACTGTCATAGAGGTGAATCAATTCAAGTGTAGAAATAGAACATGCTTGATAATTTATATTTTCAACTTAATAGGAGTTGTCTGGTTTAAGTATAGGATGTTATGGGGATGCCTGGCTGGCTCAGTCATTGAAGCATGTGACTCTTGATCACAGGGTGGTGAGTTCGAGCCCGGTGTTACGATGTAGAGTTTGTTTATTTATTATTTATTTTAATTCTTACGTACGCTCCACACCCAGTGTGAGACTTGAACTCATGACCCTGAGATCAAGGGTTGCAGGCTCCACCAACTGAGGCAACCAGGTACCTCTGTAGAGTTTTCGGGGAAAAAAAAAAAAAAAAAAAGGATAGGAAATTAATGTATCTTGGTTATCAACTGTTTGTAGCTCATCTACAAATATTTTGTTGCAGTTAGATTTTGTTGTTCTCTCAGCTGTTTCTAGAGCCTAAAGGAAGAGGCAGGAGATTTAACCCTGTGCTTGTTTTTGCCTGTATTTTATACAAAGTGAATGTAACTTATTTCCTTAGGAACTCATCTCCGAGGGTTGGAAACCACAGCCACTTATGACCCTGAGACTCAGGAGTTCATTCTCAACAGCCCTACTGTGACCTCCATCAAGTGGTGGCCTGGTGGACGTATGTGACGTTTTTAGCATTTCTTGGATGTTTTGAAGCGTCATTACGAGATTGTGTGTAGAATGTAGAGCTTGTACAAGAAGATCGTTTTGAAATCTGGGAAAAAAACTCTTCGGTCTTAAACTCTTCTGAGCTGTTTCACAGTCTCTTACAGTGCACGTTCTAGGTAGCTTTACATTTACATCACACAGAGAGGACAGCCTCTTTCTTTTCTAATTTTCCTTCCCAACAGTTCTACCATTAGCTCAGTTTCCTTGGTCAATATTTAAAGTAACTTAGTATTCCCTGCTTGATTATACTTAATTTAAATGTAAAGAGCCACATGTGGCTAATGTTCTGGAAAGTACTTCCGAAAGAGAGAAAAAGGAAATGAATTAATGGTTTTTTTTAATATTTTTATTTATTTCTAGGAGAGAGAGAGAGAGACAGCATGAGCAGGAGAGGGCCAGAGAGAGAGGGAGATACAGACTCCGAAATAGGCTCCAGGCTCTGAGCTGGCAGTCATCACAGAGCCCGACGCGGGGCTCAAACCCATGAACCGCGAGATCATGACCCGGGCGAAAGTCGGACGCTTAACCAACTAAGCCACCCAGGCGCCCCAAGAAAAATTTTTTATGTAAACGAATGAGGGGAAAAAGTAGAAAAGAAAACAAAGTCTTTAAAAAAATTTTTTTATGTTTTTATTTATTTCTGAGAGAGAGAGAGACAGCATGTACAGGGGAGGGTCAGAGAGAGAGGGAGATACAGAATCTGAAACAGGCTCCAGGCTCTGAGCTAGCTGTCAGCACAGAGCCCGACGCGGGGCTCAAACCCATGAACCGGGAGTTCATGACCTGAGCCGAAGTCGGATGCTTAACCGACTGAGCCACCCATGTGCCCCAGCAAAGTCTTTTTTAAAATATAGGATTACTATCAAACCAACAGGCTGTACACCTTAAACTTATAAATATGGTAGGTCAATAATATCTCAATAAAATTTGTGTAAAAGCTTTTAACATACACATAAAAACAAAGCATTGCTTTACCAAAATTCAGTACATTTTCATAACTATCCGCTTAAGTGGATTTCTTTCCGAAAACTCGGTGTGGCGTTGTCATAAGACTCTCTGGGGACACTTTATTGACAGAGTCTGGTGTTGAACATGTGGCTTTTCCGCCTTATTTCTATCCTTTGAAAGTGTAAGAATGCCTGTGCTCACTTCTCTGTCTCATTCTCTTTGATGTTGCAGTCGGAAAGACTTCAAATCATGCGATAGTTCTTGCCCAGCTCATCACAAAGGGGAAGTGCTATGGATTACATGCCTTCATCACACCTATTCGTGAAATCGGGACCCATAAGCCTTTACCAGGTTAGAATTGTTCATCTGATGTTGAGGTTAAAAGCTAAACCGTTTCTTCTGCAGAAAGTATAATGCACAGCTGAAGAGGCCAGGGCCAACCAGAGCATAAACACCTTGTGACTTTCATCTCTGATAGGTATTACTGTTGGAGATATCGGCCCCAAATTTGGCTTTGATGAGATAGATAATGGCTACCTGAAGATGGACAATTACCGGATTCCCAGAGAAAACATGCTGATGAAGTATGCCCAGGTATATTGGAGGAGCAGAGGTGTCAGACAAGGGGGCTTCAGCAGCTGTTGATAACCACAGGGTTAGAAAGGTCTGTTCTTTTAGAAGGTAATAACATATTTTTATTTCTGACGCTTCTTTCATTAATGACCATGAAATCGAAAGCAGTTGGCAGGTATAAAGAGCATATTGTAGTTGCTAAACCAGCGGGTCTCAAAACTTAGCATGTGTCAGAATCACCCAGAGGGCTGTTTAAAGTAGATCAGGATGGGGACTGAGATGTTGTATTTCAAGTTCCCAGGAGATGCTGCCATTCTGGGGACCACACTTTGAGAATCACAAGCCCAAACTGTCCATTGGGTTTAACAGAAGGAAGCATCAGTCCCATGTTCTTTGTCCAGGTGAAGCCTGATGGCACGTACGTGAAGCCCGTGAGTAACAAGCTGACCTACGGGACCATGGTGTTCATCAGGTCCTTCCTCGTAGGAGAAGCCGCTCGGTTTCTATCCAAGGCCTGCACCATTGCCATCAGATACAGCGCCGTGAGGCATCAGTCTGAAATCGAGCCAGGGTAAGGGTGGCGTCGGTGCTGAAGACTTGCCTTTGACCCCATTCACATATCCTAATTCCCAGAGGTGACACAGAGAATCCTCACTGGCTATGCCCAATTAGCTAACATGGCAGTGTTACGGGTCTTAGGTGGAAAGATGAGAGTAGCCACCTTATTACTTTTAACCTTCTAAGAAAAACAGTAATATTACTTGAGCTCCACGAATGAAGTGTTTAGAACACTAAAGGCGATTCGAAAATCCTAATTGCTGCTAACAACTGTGAACTGGGTTCGGTGAGAGTGGTGTGAAACTTGACTCCATGTTGTATTCCCAGCCATAGTTCTTACTGCTGCCTTTCCCTTGAGCGTGACCCCCCCGATAACCTCTTTGAATAAAGAAATCAGTAAGAGCTGACCTGCTTAGATGTCAGATACTTCATTCTGTGCATTGAGACTTCTCCCGAATTGTGGTTAAAAGAGTTTATTCACCCATCTAGTGCGTTAGACGTCTTTATCATTGCCTGCCTTCTGCGAAGTTGGCTCTGATCTTGTATGTTGCTGTGAGATGCAGTTTCCTACTGCAAAGACTCAGATACGACCTTTACAGCTAGCAAATTCGGTCACCTAAGCAGTTCAACAGGGTGGTTAGGACCATGGTCTTCTGTAGCCAAACAACTAGATTTAAGTTTAGGCTCTGCCACGCGCGTATTAGCAGCGTGACCTCAGACACGTTTTTCGCCTCTTGCTTGCCCTCTGTAAAATGGAGAAGATAATAGCTACCACAATATATTGAAGTGTTCAGACTAGTCTGGCACATACTAAGTTCTGGGTGAGTGTTTACTTTTTTTTTTTCCCCTTCTCTATCGTTTAGTGAACCAGAACCACATATTTTGGAATTTCAGACCCAGCAGTATAAACTCTTCCCGCTCCTGGCTACTGCCTATGCCTTCCAGTTTGTCGGCGCATACATGAAGGAGACCTATCATCGGATTAACGAGGACATTGGCCAAGGGGACCTGAGTGAACTGCCCGAGGTTTGTGTTTACTCACTCGCTTGTGGGCACCCTTCCATGTGATATTTGCCTGTTGGGATTTCTGTAAGAGAATCCATATATTCTCAAAAGATACAGCCTTTTTTTTTTTTAATTGAAAGTGGGTCACATATGAAGATAATGTAGGTTTTGTTTTTAAGTTTCAGAAGTACTGTACCGTGTTGGTCATTGGTTAACCAAAGGAACATAATCGGTGACTTTTTTTTGCCAAGCAGGACAGTTTGGAAGGGAGCGTGGGAACATTAATTCAGGCCACTGACACGACTGTGCTTCAGCTCACACGCGTGCCAGGCGGTGTTGCGAGTGACCGGCATCAGCCATGTTCTGCGCTTTCCCCTCCAGCTCCACGCGCTCACCGCCGGCCTAAAGGCTTTCACCTCCTGGACCACCAGCGCTGCTATCGAAGCTTGTCGGATGGCTTGCGGCGGCCATGGCTATTCTCACTGCAGTGGCCTTCCAAACATGTATGTCACTTTTACCCCCACCTGCACCTTCGAGGGAGAGAACACTGTCATGATGCTGCAGACGGCGAGGTGAGAACCTGACTCGCGATTTCGCTGTTGTCAGGAACCTTTGAGTTGTCTTCATTGGCTCCTGTTCCCGTGTTTGCTCCTCACGTTGTATTTGTTCCCCTGATCTGTGGTTTGGCTTTCCATCCTGACCCGCCGTTTTCATCTCGTGGTCAGACGAGTAAGAAACACACTGGTCACGCAGCTTGAAGTCATTGCGAGAGTTTGCCTCTGTGTCATGGGAGCGTAGGGGACTAAAGGCACGTGTGCTGGTGACTTTTAGGTTCCTGATGAAAAGTTATGACCAGGTGCACTCAGGAAAGTTGGTATGTGGCATGGTGTCCTACTTGAATGACCTGCCCAGTCAGCGCATCCAGCCACAGCAGGTAGCGGTCTGGCCGACGGTGGTGGACCTCGACAGCCCCGACAGCCTAATGGAAGCCTATAAACTCCGTGCGGCCAGGTGAGCCCACCTTCGGGAGCTGGAATCAGCGGCTGGTGGGGGGAGCTCCGGGGGCTGGGGCCTGACGGAAGGGCAGGCAGCCCGAGTACCGCTCACCCTTGCCCGCAAGCTCCAGTTTTCTTTCATTTCTCAACAGATTAGTAGAAATTGCTGCGAAAAACCTTCAAAAAGAAAAGATTCACAGAAAAAGCAAGGAGGTAGCATGGAACCTAACTTCCGTTGACCTTGTTCGAGCAAGCGAGGTCGGTGGTCCTTCTCCTTCCCTCCCTTCCTCGCTCTCTCCTTCCTTCCTCCCTCCCTCCCTCCGCTCTCCCTCTCCGCCCTTCACCCCACCCCATTCCACCCTGTTTTCATAGTGCAGAAGCCCCTGTTGCTGTGCGTTGCCTCTTTCTCAAAGGTTCTCTGTTCTGTTCTTTTCATCTAGGCACATTGCCACTATGTGGTAGTTAAGCTCTTTTCAGAAAAACTCCTCAAAATCCAAGATAAGTCCATCCACGCTGTCTTGAAGAATTTGTGTCTCTTGTACTGCCTGGATGGGATCAGCCAGAAGGCAGGGGATTTTCTGCAGGTCAGTGTTTGCTGAATTTAAGTCCTTTTCTTTGCTAGAAAACTAATGGTGGTGTGCTTTACAGTTGTGTGCATGCATATGTATACACAGATATATGAGTGTCTGTCTGTATACACGTATGTATGTTTGTCTGCTTGTTTTATTCCTCTCAGGGAAGCATCATGACGGAGTCTCAGATCACCCAAGTAAATCAGCGCATCAAGGAGCTGCTGACTGTGATTCGCCCAGATGCTGTTGCTTTGGTTGATGCGTTTGACTTTCAGGATGTGACACTTGGCTCCGTGCTTGGCCGTTATGATGGGAACGTGTATGAAAATTTATTTGAGTGGGCCAAGAAATCCCCACTGAACCAAACAGAGGTACACAAAACAATGTTTTTTCACCTTTTGAAATTCTTTATGTAAATATTAAGGCAGGAGGGGGACACCTGGGTGGCTCAGTCGGTTAAGCTTCTGACTCTTGATTTCAGCTCAGGTCATCATCTCACAGTTGAAGTCATGTGAAGCCTCACATCGGGCTCTGTGCTGACAGCATGCAGCCTGCCTGGAATTCTTTTTCCCTCTCTCTCTGCACCTCCCCCGCTCACCCACGTGCTTTCTCTCTCTCTCTCAAGATAAATAAGCGTTAAAAAAAAGGTAAAATGTATTAAGGTAGGAAAGACCGTGGAGTGACTCACCTGTGTGAAAGCTTTGGAAGCTCCTGTGGCCACTTGGACAGTCACTTTATTTGAGTAACAGATCCAGAAAGGAACTGGGACGTTCCTTAAGTGTGCAGGTTTTTCATTTCCTTGACTGTTTAATAACTAACTGAAAATTTTCAAACATTCTATTTCAAAAAAATTGAATACGTGGACCCTTTGTCACACTTCAGTGACACACTCATGGCTGATGCGTTTCATCTGAACCCCCCCTCCCGCCACCCACCCTCTCCCCTTGGGATTATTTGGAAACAAATTCAAGATATTCGATAACTTTATCCATAGATGTTTCAGTAGGTATCTCTAAAAGATAAGTTTTTTGAAAACATAACCACAGAACCATTCTTCTGCTTAAACGGATTAGGAATAAATATCATGAACTACCCCATCAGTGTTCAGATTCCCTAATCGACTCCCATTTTTTCTTCCCCTTTAGTTTTTCGAATCAGGATCCAAATAAGGTCCAGATAATTTCTCAGTTAAAAGTATGCTGTTTTACACCGCAAACTCCTTGTCAGTAATTGTTTTCTCTCTCCCTTCCCTGCAGGTCCATGAATCTTATCACAAGTATTTGAAGCCCCTGCAGTCCAAGCTCTGAAGGGTCATGATGAGAAGTTTTATTTGCTCTAGAAAGCAGCTGTCCTCCACTCCCCTTATACTCGGCACACCAAACGGCTTGGAATCTCTATCAAATTCAGAGAGCTCTAGAGCAAATGACAAATTGAGCCCTTTCCTCTTTTTATAAATGAAGAAAAAAAATGAACAAGTTTCAGAGATTAAATGAGAAAAACAGATGTGTTTTAAGTGCAATTAACACTGCAAGAGACGTATCAAGCATCAGAAAAAGCTTTAAGAAACGCAGCATGACTCCTATTTGCAGTGCTGCTGGTCCCAGTAGGCCGTGACTTTTGATAACTAGTAGAATTTAACTACTGAGTAGTTAATTATTTTCACCTCTTCATTGCTAATCCCTGGATATATTAAGTGTTTTTAAGCAAAGGTATTTTTTAAGAGGGGTAGATGCAACCCTTCCCAGCTTTTCTGTTAAACGTCCCCATCATGGGCCCTGGCTCAGAAGCAGGACTGAAGAAAAGGGATTCGGAGAAAGAATCTAATCAAGAAATTTAGCGAGTGAGTCTGTGCCGGACACGTGACATGCCCGCCTGCCCCTCTTTGCCGACCTGTGGTTTCCACCTCACCATTCACAGTAGCATCTTTCCAGCACGAGTTCTTCAGCACAGGCCTAGGATAGGATCACTGTCCCGTGGAATTAGGAGTTAATCTTCCTTCCATTCGAGGGATCCCTAAATTATCGGTACAGTAACATTGCAGCTCTCTTTGTCCCAAAGTTCTTGGGAAAGGGCAAGGAGCGGAATTATCTCTGCATCTGACTTCTGGCAACTGATGGCTCCTCTGGCCTTGGTGTTTCATCTCCCGCCCATTCTCGGTCCTGAAAGAGATGCTACGAAAGGGAAAGGAGGGGTCACAATTCCTTCATAGTAGAATGAGTAGGGGGAGAGCTCTCTCAGTTATGGTCACTGTGACTGTTGTGTCCATAGTAACTGGATACTCTGGAAAAATCTAGATTTTTCAGTAGTCTGTATTGCAGTGCTTGGAGGTTACGTGTTTGGCGTTATAGAGGTATCACTCGGGCCACCTCTTCTACCCAGGGGTAGCACAGAAAACTCCTTTGGCGAACCATGTCTTCAAAATAATCATCGAAACTATGGTGTATGGATAAATGCCAGTTTCACAGAATCTCTTTCTTACTCTACATTGGCTTTCAGTCTGTTCCTAGGAGATTGCTCTGAATTGCAGCAATGTCCTTTGAGCCAAAATCTAATTTACACAATCATTCTGCATTTAAAAGTTAAACATGCACCTCCTGATGAACTTTTTCCTTAAAATCGATGTGAAGCAACACATCACTTGATTTTTGTTTTTTTGTCTTTTTGTTTCTTTGTTTTTTCTTTTACCTGTTAACTGTATCTGGAACTTCTGCCTCATGAATCCAATTGTTCTGTAATCAGTCTTGAGAATGTAGGATAATTCAGGGAAATGTCATTCCTACCTTGGGACGCAACATAGAATCTCTCCCAGTGGAACCAGTTATATGAGACTTTCAGGCCCCACAGAAAGGCTGTTGACAGAAGCCTCAGTCTTTCCACCAGGAGAGCTGATTGGGAATCGTAAGCAGTCTGTTAATTTCATTCAAATAGATCTTGACAGTAGTTCAGATTCTGGGAAATAGCAAAATAGATTTAAATTGCTTAATATCGGCCTGTTATGTGTAGAATTGCTTCAGAACTAGGTTAATTTAAATACCTTGTTCACAGATGATCATCTGTAGTCGGGACCTGATCCAGCCTGCATTGATCTTGGATCAATCTTAGCAGGTCTGAGCAAGCTGTAGACATGATAGCCACCTTCAGTCCAGCACCTTGAGTTTTATTTAAAAGCGAAATCTGATATTTGATACTGTTTTTACTAACATTGAGATTTTTGTCTTGAACTTCTATTCACTGTAATCTAAATGTAGTAAAACCTCTCTAATTTGCACTGTCATGAGGGAAAGAGAGTGCCACATTATTAAACATCAGCTGAAACTATGAAATTTTAAGGTACGGTTTTATGAGGTTATTAGGTTAGGTAACAGACCAAAACGGGAAGGAGTGAGGCCCACCTGAGCAGATGGCTCTAAATCCACCGTCACAGATGCGGTTCCACAGAGGCTATGCGCAATCTCACCGGTGCAGGAGTGCGTGCTTGTCAGCTGCTCTTAAAGGAAGCAGCGTATCCAGTTAGCTCTCCCTAAGAAGCCAGGCTTTGCTACAGATAGGTTTCATTCTGTCTGGTTCTTTGGTGAGCTGTTTTCACAAAAAGTACAAAGCTACGTACTCTTCTCCAAACTGATGATAAATGCTGAAAGAATGGAAGATTTTTCTGTTAGATGCTGATGGAAGCCTTTTTAAAAAAGTACTATGAACAGAACTCAGCATTGCAAATTTGAGGTTTAATAGGATTTTGGTATTTATAACGGATGAAGGTTGACTTCTTCCTAAAGGGTTTGGAGCTCTACTAGATATTTCAGTATTGGCCATTAGTGATCTCAGAGCATAGTTGGTTACAACTGTTGGGGGCCTTCCACGTTCTTGTCTTCAGGACATGGCAGTGCTAGGTACCAGCTTATCTTCAGAACATTGGCTTAATTGTAGCATTAGCTATGTTCACATACTCCCCGGGAGCTCCCTGCCTGTAATTTCAGATCACATATACCTGGAGGCATTTTATAGTTTCTAAAGTTAACGTGTCAGATCTTATTTTTTGGATTTTCTTCAGTGCAGGGCTTTGGCTGGAGAATAACTGTTCAAATTCATGGGGAACAGGAATTCTTTGAATAACTGCAGCTCACCATTCCCTCCTGCCCCTTTCTGAGCCCTTTCCACCTATCTTCCTAGGAGAGAAGAGATTAGATGCAGTCTGCACACATGCTAATCTTTACAGATGTGGGAGGTATGCCCAGGTCACCGGTTGCCTCCAAGCAGTGCCAGGAAATAGGTTCTACATGAGACCAACAAAAGTCTATTGTTGATTCTCCTTACTCAGGATAAAGGTTTTGATCATTTTCATGAAATAGTATGGAGGTCATTTCAGCTAACTAGTACTCCATTCTTGGAGGATTTGACCAAGTCACACTGTAAACTACTAAAATGACTTTTTGTTTTAAAATACCACTAGACTTTTGCTTTTAGATGTACACTAAATTTCTCACTACCTATTCCTGTGCTCCGTGATTGTAAACATAGAAATATGAGGAACCTTTAGAGTTACCAGGTGTTAGCTGTTGCAAACCTGCAAATTCCTAGATCTCGGGTTTTTGTTTCATTTTTACCTTGCTTTACATGTAATTGGACCATTGATTATCTTAGGAGGATCATGAAAAATTGGGGAGTGGTTTTAAGAATTCTGAGCCAAAATAAGTTGTTTTGCCACAATACTGTCGACTGTTTCATAGATTAGGTAGCAAATACATGATCTTCCACATAATGTTCAGACTATTACTTTGTAAACATTTTATTTCCAATCGCTGTGGATTCAAGGAAATTACTTGTATTCTTCAGAGTGTCTAATTACCTGCTACCTATTTCCCTTTTACTGTTAGGGTTTGCATTTGGTTCCTACCTGACAAGATGCAGTTAGCGTGCATTGTTACCCATCCCCGGCGGAACCGGCCAGTAAAGGTGGGAGCACCGAGGAGGTGCAGGGGTCTAGAACTTGTGAACCATGATTAGGCAGCCGTGCCCTGCCAGCCTTGTTTGGCTTGGGCTGCGGGTAAGCCAAACCATAAAACCGCTCTTTCCTTTGTAAAGTTTGACAAGACCCTTAATAAAACCGGTAATTAACACAGAATGCGTTACGTGCCCTTATTGGGTTGTGGTGTTTGGGTTCTATTCTGGCTCCGCACCTTTGATTTTTACATTTGAACCAGGGGGTCATAGCCACTTCCCGAAGTTTCGGGGTGTGTTGTCATTGTTTCACACGTCAATTTTCCAGTCTTAACACATTTTTCACGCCCTCCACTCGGCCACGAGTCAGCCTTCAGATGAGAGCTGAAGGATAAGTGTTCGGTCTTGGAACCCAGGTCCCCGCAGTCCTCCCCGGAGGGCCAAAGGAAGACTCGGATCGGCCTTGGAGCCGGGCGCCCTCCCCAAGTGGCGTGGATGCAGCTCCTAGCAACGCGCAGGGCCGCAAACAGAGGCCTGGCCTCGACTAACGGCCGCGGCGGGCACTCTGGGAAATGTAGTTTATCGACGTCCCCTGCTCCTCTGGCTCCAGCCAGTGAACGGACCCAGGACTACAACTCCCAGGATGCCTCGCGCCTCACCTTTCTCCCGAGGTCCGCGCAACTGAGAGGGTGTTCGCCGGGATCCGGACGAGAGGCCAGAGCGCTCTGGGCTCGAGTCGGGTCCCGACCGGCGGCTGTGACTGGGACAGGTCCCAGCGGCTGCGCCTCTGCGGGGAACGGCGCGTAACCCGGGGATTTGAAGGGCTGGGAGAAGGGTGGGTGGCGCTCGGGGTTGAGCTGGGCTGGGCGCGCGGAGGGGTGGAAGCAGGGAGGGACGCGGAGTCTCCCGACCGAGGAGCGGCTCCCGGCGGGCCCTTGCTGAGGGGCGGGCTCGGGATTTTAAAATGCCTGACACGGAGTTAGCTGAGCGGATGCGATGACGCGATGCTACTCTCTGGCCCTTTGGCCTTTGCAAACCGCTCAGAGATTTACGCGGTCTGGGAGGCTGGGACAGGACCCCGAGGAGATGGAAGAAACCCCTGGATGTGATAGGAGACAAATCGTGTTTGGACTTGTAGGGTCGTGAAAACTGCCATCTCAAAGAAAGAGCAACACAAACATTCAGAGTGACCCCTGTACGTACCCCTAGATGAACTTTGCATTCCGTTAACAGGACCTGCAACTCCAGGGAACTAGAGATGACCCCCTCCGACTCCTTTCTTCTGAGGCATGGGAAGCCTGTCCTGGTAATGATCAGGATGGGGAAGGAGACAGTGACAATCTGAGTCAAAACACTTCCCACTTAAGGGACTAAGTCGGATTTACAGTTAGCCTGAAGGGAAACATTTCTGCCATGGGAGAAAATAGTGTTAGGGAGTAGCCAGCACTCACCTCCACTCTGTGCTGACTGCTGCCTAGAAAGTAGTCATGGGTGTTGCCCCGGAATGCCTATCGGCCATAGTGCAAGGCAGCCACCTTCTTCCTGAGATGGGTACCTCCCGTCTCCTGCATCCTCCTTCAGAATGAGAGATGAGGACCACCCCACTTCCTGTGAGTAATCTCAGAAAGCTCATTAAGTCACCCAGAGCACTTGGCTTCTCATCTAAGTTGCTCTCCCCCTATAGAATTTTTTTTAAATGTTTATTTATTTTGAGAGAGAGAGAAGAGCACAAGCAGGGGAGGGGCAGAGAGAGAGAGGGTGACACAGAATCCCAAGCAGGCTCCAGGCTCCGAGTTGTCAGCACAGAACCCAATGCAGGGCTGGAACCCATGAACCGCGAGATCATGACCCCAGCCGAAGTCGGACACTTAACCGACTGAGCCACCCAGGTGCCCCAAGAATTTTTAATTTATCGAGCTAGATTTTGACCTCTCAAATACGTAAAGAGACAGAAGCCTTTGATAAGCCTTGGGCCTCAGCGCTACTAAAACTACATTATGTTTAAACAACCACTTGAATTTTCTTCATTAGGGAGGATGAGCCTGATGTGGGCAGAATTCAAATGAGCTGGACAGCACTGTGACCAGTCACAAGCAGCTCCCAGAGCCTCGAGATGGTAGGCAGAATGCAGACTCTCAACCCTACTTCCACCCCCAAGGTCTTGACTGCACCGAGGACTTTAGGGGCTGGGTGACAAGGACCAGGATGTGCTCCCCAGAGAAGAATGATGGGGAGGAAAATTGGTATCAGAACTGAGCACGACTTCTGAGCCTCTGCTTGGTCAGCCGGAAGCATTTTTAAGTGTCTCTGGCTGGTGTTAAGAAGTCAGGGACACAGAAGAGGGGAAAGCCTTCCCAGATATTACATCCCCCCTGGGAGGGTTTGCACATGGCATCTGGAAATCAGGGAAAAGGGGAAGACTTCTGGCCGCCACATGGCACCCGCAGTGGCATCCGTTGCTGGTTAGTGGGGGCTCTTTCCATGCTCTGAATGAGTCTATTCTCAGAAACTCTGGGAAAGTATAAAGAGCTTCTGTCTCTAAATGCCATTGTCACTCCTTTTCTGCTGGTGACTTGGCCAAAGGCAAAGCAATTGATTCTCTAGTCTCGGTTTCAGCTATGTTCACTGTTTGATTTGGTTAACGTGATTGGTTATTTCCCATTTTAGGCACCAAAAACCAAGAAGGGATTGAAAGGTGAGTCGAGAGGGGCGCCTGGGTGGCTCAGTTGGTTTAGCGTCCAACTCTTGATTTCAGCTCAGGTCATGATCCTGCTGTTCTGAGTTTGAGCCCCATGTCGGTCTCTGTGCTGACAGCGTGGAAGCTGCTAGGGATTCTCTCTCTCTGCCCCTCCCCTGCACATGCTCTCTCTCTCAAATAAACAAAAAAAGAGAGAGAGAATCCGTGTTATTAAAAACATGGAAGGCAGGGAGGAAGGAAGAAAGGTGAGTGGAGAAATGGAACATCAGCCTTAAGGCAAAAATAATTCCCTCACGTGCCAATTTTGCCATAATTATACAGGTGGTTCTGGTCTGCCTAGGGAACTCCCTGTGCTGCCTGTCGGCCCTCAGAATAATCCAGAAATAAACAAGGGACGGGGCTGGTAGAAAACTCCTTCTTGTCGGGCTCTGTATCCAGAAGTATATGGCTGGGGTTAAAGATGGTAAAGGCACTTAAGCCAGATTCGAGAACTAATTCAGTGCTTGTACTTTGGGTTTCCCCCTCATACCCCTTTCGGGAAGTGGCCAAGGAGATGCACCTTGAGACCAGCTTTGTGGGGAGCGGTCTGGAGGCACATCAGGTGGAAGGATACAAGGAGGCTGTCAGTGTGCAAGGAGCTTGTGTGTGCCTAGAAATCTTGGGACACTTTTTCCAAAGAAGGGCTATGGGCTTTAGTCTGGAAGCCTGCCTCGTTGGCCAGTGCATCCCCTAGAATGTAGGTTCTCCTGAAAACCTTCACCATCGTCCTTTGAGAAAGTGATTTTCAATTTCTTCCCTGGGGTCTTTCAACAAGGCATTGTGGTCTGTCGCCAGAGAATTAGGAAACAACTCGTGGCCACGGAAGAGAGAGTTGGGCCCGGCCCCCAGCATCTGAGCACTCTGGTGTCGAGTCTGAAACTGGGACATTCTTTCCTCCTGAAGTCTTGACGGCTCCTTTTCTGTCCTAGGCTCCATTGATGATGTCCTCGGTGACCTCTTGGGGGATGAGAGTAAGTGCCCCTTTCCCAGAATCCTCTGCTTTATAGGCTTGCTTTTTTTTTTTAATTGAAATCTAATTCGCATAAAATTCATTCCCTTTAAGTATACACTTCACTGGCTTTTAGTATGCTTACAGTTACCCAGCCATCACCACTGTCTTAATTCCAGAACATTGTCATCACCCCATAAAGAAGCTCCATGCCCATTAGCAGCCGCTCCCGTTCTCCCTTCCCCCAATCCCAGCCGACCACTCACTCACTTTCCTTCCCTATGGGTTTGCCTGTTGGAGACACGCTGTAGAAAATGGGATCACACGTGCATGGCTCTGGCATGTGGCTTCACTCACCCACCACGGTGTTCTCGAGATTCGCCTGCTCTGTGCCTGCCATTCCTGTCTCCATTCCTTCCTGTGTCTGGATGGTATTCCAGGGTGTGGACGCACCATGTTTTGCTTATCCGGCCATCAGGTGCCGGACACTTGGATGGTTGCCGCATTTTGGCCTGGTTCTGGTGAATAACGCTCTTAGGGACATTCGTGGACACGTTTTTGTGCAGCCATATATTTTCAGTTCTCTTGGGTGTCTACTGAGGAATGGAATCGCTTACATGGTAACTCTACGTTTAACTGTTTGAGGAGCCACCGGGCCATTTTCCACAGCAGGCGGCACCGTCTTACGTTCCTGCCAGCGGTGTGTGAAGGTTCCAGTGTCTCCATATCCTTGCCCAGAGCTTGTTATTTTCTGTCTTTTTGAGTATGCCCATCCTCATGCGCGAACAGTGGTGTCTCATCGTGGGTTTGATGTCCATGTCCTGATGACTGAGGATCCTGAGCCTGGTTTTCATGGGTTTATTGGCCACTTGCGTGTCCTCTTCGGAAAAAGGTCTAATCAGCTCCTTTTTGAAATTGGGTTGTCTTTTGACTACTGAGTCGTAGGAGTTTCTTACATATTCCGGGTACTGCTTCCTTATCTGGTGTGTTCACATCTGCCCTGAGGGGCAGGGCTTCAGGGTCGGGGAAAGCTCACCGGGGACAGCAAGGCCGGGGCTCCCCGCACCCGGCCCAGAGGGACCCACGGAGCCCCAGCCGCGTGTTCCGGCTGAGAGCTTTGGCTGGCAGAGTGTGTCGCTCTCCCTGCATCGCCTGCAGTGGGGTGGCTTTGGGCCCTTCATCTGCCCCCAGTTGGCATTCAGGGCTGACCTTCCTATAAGAAGGTTTTTCTGGGAGACCTTGGTGGGGAACTCTCAGTCCTTACCATGTGAACTCGAGTTCCCTACCCAAATGGCACCTTTTCCGGTTTTTGGTTTTTGGTTTCCAGTGACGCTGCCTGAGGAACCTGTGAAACTAGCTTCCCGTGCCCGAGATGCAGCCATAACCCGGGTGCTCCCTTCTTCAAGGGCTAGAACAAAGTAAGTGCAGGACTGGCTTGGGTGGCCGTGACCCCTTCGGTCCCAATGCTCCTGCCTCCTCGCCCCCACTTTCCACGCTCTGTGCGCCACTTCTGCTGTCCCTCGTTTCCTCCCTTCTCTCCGCTCCCCATCTGTGAACGAACCTGAGGGGTAGAAAGAGAACTGACCAGGGGTCCAAAGTCCTGGCTGCTAGTCCTACACATACCACTTACTGTGTGGTCTCGGGTGCTGGCTGAACCTCTCTGAGCCTCAATTTTCATATCCCCAGAATAAGAGAATGGGCTTTCAGATTGCTTGCTCTTCTCAAGAGTTCCTGACAATCGAGAGATAGGAGGGGGTTTTGTGAGTTCTCCGTCCTCTACCTCCATGTTGGCCAGGCAATTCTGTTTTTCTCTCCTATCTGTTGCTTTTAACAGTCTGGTGGGTTTTTTTTTTTTCAATCTCGTGGCTATCTTTTTTTTTTTTTTTTTTTAAGTACAGCTGACACACAGTGTTAAAATAGCTTCAAGCGTACCACGTAGTGTCTGGACAAGTCTGTAGTTATCCTCTGCCTGCCACAGGTGTTTTCCAGATGGTCTTGGAAGGGACTGCCCTGCTTTAGAAAAAGGGAGAACCTCTGCCTTAGGAGGCCTCTGAAATTCCTTTGAGCAACACTGTCCTGTTCTCCCGGGGAAGTCTCCCAGGTTCACTGGGGCTCTCTAAGCTACCTTCCTCTCTTGGAATCACTGAGTGCCCTGGGGCTGCAGGTGGGTGCTGATGCCGCGTCTTTGCAGGTCCCTCCTGGAAGACTGTGCCTTCAGCACCACAGCAGGCCTGACAGGACCTGACGCTGAGGTGAGTCTGGCCCACCCTTGCCCCCCGCACCCTCTCTACTCATCCCTAAAGGCAGCGAAATGGGTGTGGTGGCTGGGGGGGGGTGGTTCTCACAGAAGGGCTGCGAAGCCAGTGTGTTCTGATAATAATACCGAAGGGCTGCCAAGTGGACCCCAGTGTGGACCCAACATGCTTTTCTTTTTTACAAGTGAGGTGCTCTGGAGAGTGGAGAGCTCCCGGCAAGTGCCGGAGTCTGAGATGTTGCCCTTCATAACTGGGCTTCCCGTCAAAACTGTGTGATTGGACAGCTGGGAAGTAGCCTAATTGTTTTAAGTTTATTTGTTTAGAGAGAGAGTGTGCAAGCAGGGCACGGGCAGCGGGAGAGAGAGAATCCCAAGCAGGCTTCATGCTCATCACAGAGCCAGACGCAGGGCTCAGTCCCATGAACCATGAGATCCTGACCTGAGCCAAAATCAAGAGTCTGACGCTTAACCGACCTAGCCAGCCAGGCGCCCCTGGGAAGGCCAGAGATGAAAGGGGTGTTTCCAGTTGGGAGGGACAGAAAGCGGCAGGGCTTTCTGGGTCTCCCCACCTGGGTCGCTTTGCCTTCCAACTATACTTAAGTCCCAAGCGAAGGCAGGACCCTCTATCTGTGCGCTGGCCGAGCTGTGCCCTCACAGAAGCGAGGGAACAGGTTGCTAGGACCCTGAGCCTCGCTGGGCCTCAGCTAACACGCGTCCTTACCGTCCTGTGCACTCAGATGTCAGACATCTCAGACGCAGACCCGCAGGCTCTCCTCGAGAACTTGAAGGTAAGGCACCCGCTCGCGCAGCTCCAAAACTGGGGGTGGGACCCGGATGTTCTGTGCCAGGGCTTCCTTCCCCCTCACGGTTCTCCCTCTACAATTTGTGTTTCTGAGCCCTTCCTAGTCAAGAATGGAGCTCCTCCGTGAGCTGCTGCCTTTCCAGTCCCTGTGGAGAGAAATCCGTTTTCCTGGTTTATAGAGATTCGCCCACCAGAGACGCCGTCAGGTGCCAAGCCCCTAGTGCAGTGGGGCCGGCCCCCTCCCCCCGGGCTGCACCCCTGTACCAACACCACCACTGAGGGGAGAGGAGGAGAGACTCCTCTAAGGCTCTTTCTTAACTGTTCCCTGTATTTCTTTCCACATTCCCTGCCAAGTCCCCTTCAGTCTGGCTGTGCTCTCATTGGATCAGGCCCCAAGCTAAGCTCGGCAATGGAATTTTAAGACATAAATTCTGTATGGTCTAGAAGATAATCTTCCAGGGTGCAGGTGACCTAGCCTGAGTCTGAAACCTTAGGTCAGCTCTGCTCCCCATGCTTGTCCGTCGAGCAGCAGCCTCCCGCCGCCCAGCCCACCTGGTTAACCTATGGTCCCGGGCCGAGCTTGCTTTGAGCCTTGGGGAGAAGGGAGGGACTGAAGAATCCAAGTCTGTTTCCTTCTTGACTCCATAGTGAGCCTCCCTAACCTCATCTTGAAATCTGTCTTCCCCAAGGCCAGCCGGCTGGCACCAAACCACCCTCAAGTCCTCTCCCTCCGCTGCCACTGCTGGTGGTGACTCTGTGAGTCTCACACTAGAGCCACAGGCTGGGTCCCCGCCCCCAAGCCCGCTCCACTTACCTTTGGTTCAGTTTTCTCTCCCAACTTGCCTTGTTCCCTCATCGTTTTCTCGTTTCCCTTTGTCCCTCGCACTTCTGCCCCTGGGCTGCCCAGCGTTCTCCCAGATCAAAGTCCTCATCCCATCCCCTCATGAGGATCAGCATTTGGAGAGTCTGTACCAGGGGCCGTGGTGGCCGGGAGGCGCTGGGCTGGGTGTCTGGTGGCTTCTTGCGCCATCACCAGGGAACCTTCACTGACCTGGAACAGCCTCTTCATCACACGCTGCCTCTTCTCACAGCTCGCTCTTGACCTGGGCGGGCTAAGGACTCCTTGACTGTTGCCCCGGGGCCCTTCTCACAGCCCAGGACAGTCCCTTTGAGAGTCTTCAACCCCAGGATCATGCAGTTTTGTTCCCACCGTGAATAGAGCTTCACCGCTTCCTAAGCCTGTGTGAGAAGCGCCAGCAACCGGGTTTCAGTGACCCCGGTAGAAGTGGTGATAGGGGTGCCACCCGAGCCCGGGGAGCTTGTCAGAGACCGAGCCGGTGGAGACTGTGCTTCAGCCTGGCCTCTGGCCCTGTTCTCTGCCTATTAGGGTCCGCTCCCTGTGTGTCCCCGTGGAATATGGGGGAGTGTCACCACCAGGCTGCTCAGAGCATGGGGCCGTTTAGCGGCCACCAGCCGAGCACCTGCAGGGACCCCTCCCTCCTTCCCGCTTTTCCAGGATCTGGACGACATAGACGCCGACTTCTTGGGTCTGAAGAAGCCCAATCTCGCCTCTGGCAAAAGAGCCACAAAGGGCTCTGAGAAAGAAGAGTTACCTAGTCATCCTAAGTCGGCCGGCATATTCACAGCCAGTGAGAAAGGCGAGTGGGAGAGAGCTCCTCATATCTGGACATGCTGGGGCCTTGGCCGATCCTCAGACGGGAGCTCTCACTGCTGTGGGTCTTCTCTGCCTGGGGGCAGAGAGGCCACTTGAAGGTTTGGGGTCGGGGAGGGGCAGCTTCCTCCCTGCCTTGTGGGGTTCCAGCGCCTCTAAGTCCAACGTGGCCGCTCCTGGAAAAACCATCTGAGTTTAATTGGGGGATTCGGGGGCAGCCTGCGTACTTCCCAAGTCCGTGACTCTGCAGTGACGACGTGTGACTGAGGGGCAGGAGGTGGCTTCAGACCACGTTTCCCTGGCAGAAGCCCGTGTGAGAACCGTCTCCACAGCCATGAGCCCTCAGTGTCCCCAGAGAGAAGCGCACGCCACCCCAGGGTCCCAGTCATGGTGTGGCAGGACCTTGGCTGGGAGAGGCCCTGGCCTGTGACCTTGCCTTCTCTTTGCTTCTTGCAGAGGACACCATTCCCGCCAAGAAGCCCCCTCCCTCTCCCAGCAGCTTTGGGCATCAGTACAGGAAGTTTTCCTTCGAAGGTACCATGGGCCCCCTGGTCACGCTTCTGGGTCACTTTGGTTTTAAGCGTGGAGGAACCTGGGTAACGCCGACTTGTTTGCCCGAGGTCCTGTCACCGTGCCAGGCAGAGGAGGAGCAGACAGCCACTGGTTCAGCTCCTCAGGAATTCAGGGAGGGACCGACTGTGTTGTGTTGGCTGGGAGATTGGGGCAACTTATTTGTGAGGACTTTGAAGCCAGACATCAAACTGAGGGTTTTATAAAGTATAAGAATTCCCTTTCCTTTTCTGAACGCACAAACGTTTTATTTACTCCGCTTCTGATGCGCGGGGGACATTTCCAGAAGGCTGTACCGGCAGCAGAGTTGGGGCAGGTGGGGGGTGGGGTGGGGGAGTGATCACGGATAAGAACGGGGCCGCCACGCTAGCCTGCAGGCTGAGAGGCCCTCCAGCTCCTGGTCTTGCTGAGCAGCCTATTCGTGTGTGGGAGCAGCTAGAAATCTCTGCTGGAGCGGCAGCCTCTCCAGCACAGCGCAGGGCTTGCTCTCCTGAACAAAGCGTGCTGTCTGACTCATGCTCTCCCTTCTGGCCATGAGACTCGGAAGACCCATTGGCGGGACTTCTCTCCGATGATGAGGAAGGAACCACCAAGAAGCCACCCAGGACAGAGAGTAAAATGGCTTCCGAAAAGGGCCCAGCCCCAGTCAGAGATCAAGGTAGGGAGCGTGGGCTTGTGACACGGCCTGGGGCAGACGCAGCAGGCAGCAGGCTGGCTGGGCCCTGCAGTGCAGAACCGGCACTGGCCGGGCCGGGACCGCAGGCCTCAGATGCCGGCCCAAGGGGTCCCTCCGAAAGCGGAGGTGGGATGTGTGACCCTGGGTGTGGCAGGCAGGGGCAGTCAGGTCCTAAGGGCAGACAGGACATGTGCAGTCCCTGCTGTCACACCCAGAGGTCGTGTTGCAGAGAAACACTCCCCTCGACCCATTCAGACAGCATGGTTGAGGGCATGGTGGGCCATGGGCATCGTGCCCCATGTTCTGTTCTAGGTCCCTCTATTCCTCTAACTCCTGGGGACACCCCGGTCCGAAAGAAAGAAGAAGTGCTGTTTGATGAGGAGGACGACATCATGGCCACCCTGGGCTTTGCAGACAGCCCCACGGCAGGAAGGAGGCAGGCGGGAGACCAGTAAGGGTCCTTGTGAGCTGAGAAACGCTGGCCACGCTTCAGGTCCAGGGAGAGGCTAGAGAGTGGACAGCGAGGCCCCCCCAGGAGCCCCTCATGTTCACGTGTTCCTGCGTGTGTCCTGTCCTGCAGGGAAGGGCCCCGTCCTGCTCGCTCCAGACTGGATGAGCTGCTGGGTCGGGGCACTGCCCCCAAACTCCTGGCCCGCCCGGGCACTGGGGAGCACAGGGAGCGCCAGCTGGACAAGAAGTTCCAGAGACCACAGGGTGAGGAAGCTCGTGGGGTTGGGGGAGCAAAGTGGGGGACCCCGGCACCGCATTTCTACCACAGCCCATAACAAGAAGTAAGCTTTACAGGGCGCCTGGGTGGCTCAGTCGGTTAAGGGACCAACTTCGGCTCAGGTCGTGATCTCATGGTTTGTAAGTTCAAGCCCCGCATCCGGCTCTCTGCTGTCAGCGTGGAGCCTGCTTCAGATCCTCTGTCCCTCCCCCACCGCTTGTGCACATGCACTTTCTCTGTCTCTCTCTCAAAAATGAATAAACATTTAAAAATTCTTTTAAGCTTTCATCACCCACACATTATTATGACTGAGACGAAAGTGTCACGAAATAGCAACTACTGTGTTCAGCTTTCTGTTATTTTTGTACCTGTGTGCGACTTGATTTATAAACACATTGGTTGTGGGGCACCTGGGAGGCTAAGTCGGTTGGGCGTCCGACTTCGGCTCAGGTCATGATCTCACGGTATGTGGGTTCGAGCCCCACATCGGGCTCTGTGCTGACTGCTAGCTCAGCGCCTGGAGCCTGTTTCGGATTCTGTGTCTCCTTCTCTCTCTGACCCTCCCCTGTTCACACCGTCTCTACTTCTCTCTCAAAAATAAATAAAACTTTAAAAAAAAAAAATAAATAAACACATTGGTTGTGATCCATTACTTTGGATGCTTGCTGGTAGGTAGCAGCTCACAGTTTGAAAACTATTGCCCAGACAGGGTTTCTCAAAGCATCGGCCCACGGGCCATCTGCGGAGAGTCCCCAGGACACCCGCAGCTTCTGGGCGTCATCTACAGGCTGTCTGGGGCAGGCCCCCGCCAGTGCCTGTCACCACTCTCAGATGGTCCCCGGTGTACCAGACACCAAGACACTGGGCTCGCAGCCAGTGCCTCACCCCTGTTTTGTCCCAGACCAGCTTCCCCTGTACTTACTTGACTGACACGTCAAATTGCCAGTTCAGTTGTTTTTTTTTTTTCTAACGTTTATTTAATTTTGAAACAGAGATAGAATGTGAGCATGTGAGAGGCAGAGAGAGAGGGAGACACAAAACTTGAAGCAGGCTCCCACCCAGCACAGCCCGACCCAGGGCTCGAACTCACAGACCATGAGATCATACCCTGAGCCGAAGTGGTACGTTTAACCGACTGAGCCACCCAGGCACCCCTGCCAGTTTTGCAGCCACAAAAGAGTCAGACTCCCTTGCTCAAGATCACAGGCTCCTTCATTTTCAGACAAAGAAGATCCCTGGGGCGATGAGGACTTCACCTTTGGGGCCTATCAGCCCACTGTGGGCTCCAGCGAGGGCCGGCAGTCGCGCCAGCAGTCAGTCAGGTAAGCAGGGCCTGCTGGGATATGGTTTGGGAGGCAGGTGCCCACCGGGAAGGAGGAGTCGCCACAGTTTGGGAACCATGGTATAAGAGGCAGAGGGGTGGTGCCCACACATACTGAAGGGGGAGGGGGTTGCCCCGCCCCACCCGTATAGGCCCATTTCCTTCCGGCCTCCTTGGAGAGAAAAGCAGGAGGGGACCCCAGATCTGCCTGGAACCTTTAGAGCCACATACAGCTGGTGTCAGCAGACCTCCCCGAGGAATGTCCGGTCCCCGGGGTAGTGAGACCGTGGACCTCTGGGGGCTTCTCACACCCTGCTCCCCGGGAACTGCCCTGGGGCCCACCGTGATGCCAGGCAGCAGGCTCACCCCGGTGTGCTGCAGAACGTGAAGTTAGTGGACAGAATTTTCTGAATTTGGAATTTTTGTCCCGGTATAGATTTTAAACTTGGTGCTTTGAAATGATTTCTTTTTTTTTTTCTTTTATTATTTTTTTCTTTTATAGTTTATTGTCAGGTTGTTTCCATATAACACCCAGTGCTCATCCCTACAAGTGCCCTCCTCCGTGCCCGTCACCCCCTTCTCCTCTCCCCCTCCCGCATCAGCCCTCAGTTTGTTCTCAGTATTCCAGAGTCTCTCATGGTTTGCCTCCCTCCCTCTCCCCAACTATTTTCTCCCTTCCCCTCCTCCATGGTCCTCTGTTAAGTTTCTCCTGTTCCGCTTATGAGTGAAAACATGATATCTGCCCTTCTCTGCCTGACTTATTTCATTTAGCATAGCACCCTTGAGTTCCATCCACGTTACTACGAATGGCCAGATTTCATTCTTTCTCATTGCCATGTAGCATTCCATCGTATAGACAAACTACATCTTAGCTTTGAAATGATGTCAGACTGACAGCCAAGTTGTAAGCGCAGTACAGAGCGCTGCCTCCTCCCCCTCGCCCAGACCCAGCAGCTGTTGACGTTATGCCGTGTTGGCTCTGTCAGCGTCTTTCTGTCTAAGTAACCCTCCACACGCACTGACACGTCCCCCAGTCCCCGTGTATTCTCAGACCTTGGAACCCGCTGCCACTGGCCAGTGACACTTCCAGGCAGTGGCCGGATAAATGAACAGGTAACAAAACGTGGATGGGAAACCATCCTTTGGACCAGTGTGCCCACCCTTGTGACTTGGTGCTGTTTGATTGTCCCCCGTTCACGCGGTGGAATTCGGGATGTCTGTGTTTGATGGTGTTCTCTTAATGGCACTCAGCCAGCTGCTGGCCTGCCGCCCAAGCCGTTGTGGGCACTGTGCTCGCGGGGTGTCGGGCTGCCTGCGCAGAGCCCCGGGCGCCTCTGACCCCTCAGTGTGGGCCTCACGGTCGCCCCCAAGCAGCGGAGGGAAAGGCTGGTCAGCGGGCTCTTAGGATGGCCCGCTTGCCCTGCCTTAGACCCCGCCTCTCTGCCTTGAAGTAGGTTCTCAGCAGAAGGTGGTGCGGACCCCAAGGGAGAACCAGCCTCCAAAAGGAGCGCCCCAGTGGCCCCCAGCCCCACCCACCCCAGGAAGGGAGGAGCCGACTGGCTGGGCCTGAAGGACGAGGATCTGCTCCCTCCCTCTCCCTCCAGAGAGGCGCAGAGGGGAGGCTCGGAGGCGCTCCCCACTCCTTCCACGCCCCCTCCCGGGAGCCAGCACTCTGCTCCAGCTGGACTGCCTGCCTCCTCTCCAGGGGCCAAGCCAGCACCCAAGGGTGCAGGTTTCCCTGCCAGAGCCAGCCAGCCTTCAAAGTTGGGGGCATCAGAGGAGAAAGAGGAAGAGGATTGGCTGAGCCAGGCCTTGTCTCGGAAGCAGTCCCGACGTGTGGCCAGAGAGGAGCGCGCTGAGGCCTCAGAAGGCCTGCACGTGGTGGGGGCGGCGGGCAGCCCCCCTGCCGGCAGGTACAGGCGGGCGCTGCTGTCTAGTGGAGGGAGGGCCGGGCAGGGGTGAGGTCCATCCTTGCCCATGTCAGTGCCTCGATCACGAGGGCTGGCCCGCACCGCCTCTTAGCTCCGCCTCTCTACCTCTCTGAGCGCCGCGGAGACAGCATTTGGCTCCCCACTTGTGCCGGGGTGCAGACATGGGGGGACCAGGACGCCGTTAACACCCCCTGACTGCCACGTGGAAAAGGGCTGACTTGATCAGGCAGGGACAGAGGGTGCCCTGATGGGACAAAAGCCCCGGCGTCCTGGTGCCTCTGAGTAAGGCCCAGCCACGGTGCCCTCGGGCTCACAAAAAGCCCAGTGTCTAAATTTATTGGCCCCTCTGCTGGCCTGAGCTAAGCTACGTCTCGCGTGCTTCTGCTTTGGAGGAGTGTGAGAGAAGCCAGTGGCTAAGGGGCGACTCCTGAGGAAAGCCACTGAGTGGCTATCCGTGGGGCAGGACAGCGAGTGACCTCTGAGGGCAGGAGGCCAAAAGGGGCCAGCAAGACAGGGATCATGCAGAGGAAGGGCCACGATGAGGCCCGAGCGAGGAAGGGCTGAAACGGGCAATTGTGTGACAGGCCGGGGATATGACCCAGCCCTGGGGTTGCTGCAAATGAGGGGAGTGGCTTCGACCTCTGTCTGAAATCAAGACGAAAGCGTTCCCCTGACCCTGAGAGCCAGGGTGGGTGGGACCCACAGACAGGAGAGGAGACGAGCCCAAAGGGAGCTGAACCGGCCAGGAAAGTGAGCAGGGCCCCAGTCTAACTCAGCAAACCCATGTCGGCCAGAACAAGGTCTTAACCTTGAACTTAACTCTGGTGTCTATAACACCTCGGTTGTCACACCTTGGACTGTGAACACATGGTCAATGCCATTCACTGTGCCCTAGCAGGCACTGGGGCCAAGAAGGGGTACTGGAGGGGCGCCTGGGTGGCTCTGTCGGTTAAGCATCCAACTTCAGCTCAGGCCATCATCTCATGGTTCATGAGTTCTGAGTTCAAGCCCCACATCAGGATCCATGTTGACAGCCTGGAGCCTGCTTCGGATTCTGTGTCTCTCTCCCTGCCTGCTCCTCCCCCACTTGTGCTTTGTCTCTCAAAAAAATAAGTAAACATGGAAGGAAAAAAAAAAAAAAAGAAGGGTTACTGGAAGGCCAGGGGCTCAAACTTGGGCAGAGAAGTCCCAAGATGGGATGATGGGGACAGGAGGTGGGTGAGGAGAGGAATGGCCAACAGCTTCATGCTCAGGCCGTCTTCTCGCCCGGCCACGTCCCGTCTGACCTAAGCTGTCTGCCACCTTTGCTTTCACATTTACTTCCTCAGCCAGCCTGTTGCCAGCACTCAAGGGGTCGGGCAAGCAGCTGTTGGAGGGCCCTCAGGAACAGCGGCACACAAGCCACCGGCAGGACCCGCCACCTCGGGGTGTGTTTGCAGGGAGCTGAGGGTGGGGGAGAGGCTGGGTCAGGCCTGCACTGCCCCTTTCTTTAGAGATGATGATGGGCAGCCATGCTCGGCTCTGGTCAGCTTGGCATATGGTATTCACTACCTTGTGTCAGGCCCACTGACTAAGGGGACCCGAAGGTGGGTCCCCATCTCCTTTGTCCATCCAAGACTCACTCTTAGTAAACTGCCAGCCCCCAGGCCCTTCCAGTCAACTGTCTGCTCCTGATGTTCTCCTTTACTGCCCATGCCAAGCCTCTTACCTTCCTGCATCCCACATAGTAGGCTGTTCGCCTCGCCCCAACTAACCCCCCGAATCTCTGTGTCCTCAGGTCCTCCGTGACTTGGAACCAGGCCGCCTTGGCCCTCCATGGCGGTGACCCACAGAGGGGAGCAGCCCGTGGAGACCTCTCCACCATTGGTTTGTTTTCTCCTTTGGCTGGTGCTTTACCTCTGGGTGCAGAAGAGGCACTTGGGCTTCCTTCGGGACCCGGGAGACGAGTAGAGCTGGGCTCCCAAATGCGCACACAGGACCTCCGGCCTCTGGGCTTCCTGCTCATTTCTCTGCTGTTGATTTTCAGAGCCTGCAGCTTGCTTCCTGAGCTTCCAGGAACCCACGGGGCCTTCTGTGCCTGTCCAGGTAGGGAAGGCGGACAAGCAGGAATAGGCCTCGGGCCTGAGGGCCAGGGGCCACGGCCGCCTGCCGGGAGTCGTGTGGCAGGACATTGGACGGCTCACCGGCCACCCCCCCCTCCCGCTAGCACTTCCCTCAGCTTCTAGCCTTGCCGCTCTCAGGCAGAGTTGGGCGCTAATTTTCCAGCTCAGGGAGGGAACTAGAGATGGCACCCAGGCAGGGGCAGCTGGGAATCCTCCGGTCAGAGGGCAGGGCATCAGGTGTCCCATTGCTCTGTCTAGAAAGCCCCCTCCCTACCTCCTGTCCTCCCGCTGCCGCTCCACCTGTTTCCCAGGTGTGGACGCAGCCGCTTCTGAGCCCGGCCACGGGGGCACAGACGCATGTCTCCGGTAAACCAGAAGCACCTTTGGAGGGTGGCGGTGGGCCACCCGCAGGAAGCAGGGTAGCGGCCAGCATTTGGACTCGGGGCCCCAGAGGGTGCCAGGGCCGGGAGCCTTTGTCACAGCTCAGATGCTGCAGGGCTCTCCTGGCCATCGAGGAATCTGGAACATCTGCTGGCAGGCTGTTGTTTGGAGCGACGAGGGAGACCCATTCTAACCAGACCCAGTGGGGAGATGCAGTGACTGCACGACTCCAGGGCCTCGCCCTTGGCCTCTTGGTGCCATGTCTCTGTCCCCGTCTGCAGCCACAGATCAGCCACAGGGCCCGGGAGGCCTAGCGAGCTGACGGCCAGGGGTAGCCGAGCTCAGCTGAGTCCCTGTCCCCTGCCTCCCACCCTTTCCTACAGTCCCTGCTGCCAGAGTCTCTGGCGCGCAGCCTGGCTCTGGGCACAGAATACCAGAGGCAGCTCCTGGCCGCACAGGTGCAGCTGCAGGGTGGCACTGCTGAGCTCCAGGCTGCCCTCCTGCAAAGTCAGGCCCGGATGGCGGAGCTGGAGGCCCAGGTAAAGGGCAGAGGGGCCACGGGCTGGGGTGCGAGGCCGTGACTGGAGGGTGTCCCTCTGAGGGCTGGAAGGCTTCCCCGGGTGGCCCAGGGAGCCCACCGCCCTCCCGCCCTCTGTCTCCAGGTGCGGAAGCTGGAGCTGGAGCGGACCCAGCAGCAGCTGCTCCTGGAGAGCTTGCAGCAGCGGCACCAGGCCGACCTGGAGCTCCTCGAGAGCGCGCACAGGTACCCACGCTCCTCCCGCCTGGGCGTCCCGAGGCTTGGGGCCCGCCTGAGCTGATGCGCTCAGAGAGGTCTGTGGGCGTCTGCCCTTGCCCTCTGAGCCCCACAGCTGTGTGCTTTGTTGGCAGAAGCCGTGTAAAGATGCTGGAAGCCTCGTACCAGCAGCGGGAAGAGCGGCTGCGGAGGGAGCACGAGGAGCTGTCAGCCCGGTGCCTGTCGCAGTGCCAGGAGGCCGAGCAGGCCCGGGCCGAACTCACGGCCCAGCACCAGCGGCGCTTGGCGGCTGCCGCGCAAGAGAAGGACCAGGAGATGGAGCGACTCCGGGAGCTGCAGCGGTGAGGGCGAGGCCTGGGGCAGGCGGGGGCGAGGGGGGAGGTAGAGAGCCGCTCCAAGGACCCCCGGAGGAAGTTGATTCCCAGGAGACCCCAAGCAGAGGCACAGCAGCTCGGGCTTGATCCCTTCCCTCCCATGTGAGGACCAAGGCCAAGCACGGTGAGCCCTCGCCTTTTCAGGGGAGGCCCCACCACTCCTACAGCAATGGGGCGGGTGCCCCTGCAGGGCCCCAGGGGTCGCTGGCTGTGCCGGTAAATCCTGGCAGCAGCAAGAGCCCAAGGCCCTAACTCAGCACCAGTCAGGCCCCTCACCTGCCGGAGCCCTCGAGTCTAGGAGAGGTTCGCAGTGTTGTGCGGGCCGTGTCCATCCGGCTGATGAGACTGATGAGATGTCCATTCTCCATGAAAGCAAACTAAGAAAGGGTCCTTTAGGGGAGCCAGTCAATGCAGGCAGCGCAGGCCCCTTAACATGTCTCAGATTGGCCAGACAAGAAGGGGCTGTCCACACACCTGTCTTCTCTTCTGTGGAAAGTGTCCTTTGCTGAATAGCGGAAGGAATCTCCCCATTGGAGTGGATGTGGCATTGAGGTCCCAGGACAGATAAGGATGCCAGGGAAGCAGAGGCAGTGCCTAGAGTCGCAGAGGAGGAGGAGGAAAGAGCCCAGGAGCACCGATAGCCTAGCCCCCCTCACACGGAGCTCCCCACGCTCACTGTGCCGCCCCCCATGGTCCCCTCAGGGTCTCCATCCTGGAGATGCGCAAGGACCACGAGGAGCAGCTGCAGCGGCTGAAGCAGCTGAAGGACCGGGAGATTGACGCCGTCACCAGCGCCACCTCCCACACGCGGTACGTGCGCCATCCGGGCCCGGCCCAGCTAAGGGGCAGTGCTGGGGCCCCGCGCCGGGCTGACCCAGGGCTCCCGCAGGTCCCTGAATGGCGTCATCGAGCAGATGGAGAAGTTCTCCAGCAGCCTGCACGAGCTGTCCTCCCGCGTGGAGGCCTCGCACCTCAGCAGCGCCCAGGAGCGGGAGCTGGGGCTCCGGCAGCGCGACGAGCAGCTCCGAGGTACTGGGTGGGCCGTGGGTCCCCCCCCACCCCCTGCCACCCGGCGGGCGGGCGCTGAGCACCCCGTGGCCCCCCAGTGCTGCAGGAGAGGCTGGGCCGCCAGCAGCAGGACATGGAGGAGGAGCGGAGCCGGCTCCAGGAGGTCATCGGGAAGATGGAGGCGCGTCTGAACGAGCAGAGCCGGCTGCTGGAGCAGGTGGGCCGCCCTCCCGCTGCCAGGGCCTGTGTCCCCGGCACCCCAGCGTGTCGGCAGTGCCTCCCTTCCTGCCCACCTCGCCGGCCTCTGTCACAGTCGTCAGGCCACTCAAGCCTGTGCCTTCTGAGCCGTAACAGATGCATTTTCGAACTCCTGCGTATCTTTCGTATAGAAGAGCAAGCTTTATTCTCTAAAACATAATACCTCCTCTTTTCTTTGCACCAGCTTATAACATGATAACGTTAAACCGAAAAAACTAAAGTCCAGTTAGCAGGGGCAGCTGGTAGCTCAATAGGTTGAGCATCCTATTTCGGTTCAGGTCACAATCTCACAGTCCGTGAGTTCGACCCCACATCGGGCTCACTGCTGTCAGCCTGTCAGCACAGAGCCCGCTTCAGATCCTCTGGCCTCCTCTCTCTGCCCCTTCCCTGCTTGCGTGCTCTCAAAATATAAATATTTTTTTTTAAAATGTCCTGTTAGCAATAAAGGAGAAAATGTAAATTACCCTCCAGCCAGAGATGGCCATTCTCTAGACGCCTCAACACGCGGATACAGGTGCTCTTGTATCGTGAACCATATGTATTCAGTTCTCCTTTGGTGACTTGATTAAGCCCCTACCTCCGGCCAGGTACAGTCAAGCCTCTGAGCTCATGCCTGTGTGGCCCCTAGTCCCCCAGAGATGCCGTGTCACACCCGCCCTGGCACACTGGCCTGTGTGGTGGATGGGAGACGGGCAGGCAGTATGAGTAGCTGGCATTTCGGGGAGTGGGGTCGTGGCTGTTCTCGGGCCCTGTGGAGCGTCCCAGTGCTTCTCAGCAGCAGTTCCTGGGCCACTAGGCCTCAGTGTAGTTCATCCCAGCGGCTGGGCCCTGGCAGCCCCACTCGGCACCCCTCCTTCTGTCCCTCTCCAGAAAGGAGGTGTTTGTGGCATAGTGTGGGAGGGGCAGGTGTATTTGCATAGCTCCCGGGGTTCGCAGTCAAGCCAGACGTTGGGGCAGGCGGAGTGTCGAGGGGGCACGTGTCCTCAGCGCTCACCCACCCCCAGGAGCGATGGCGGGTGACCGCCGAGCAGTCCAAGGCTGAGTCTGCGCAGCGCGCTCTGGAGGAGCAGAGGAAGGTCATGGTCCAGCAGATCGCCATGGAGCGGGAGGAGCTGGAGAAGGCCAAGGTGAGTGCGGCCACGGCACGCTCAGCTGTGATCCCTGCCGTTCGCCCAAGGACCCTCACCCCGTGCCCTTGCCCCCTCATCCCAGAGCGCCTTGCTGGAGGAGCAGAAGTCCGTCATGCTCAAGTGTGGGGAGGAGCGGCGGCGCCTAGCGGCCGAGTGGGCCGACTTCTCGGCACAGCAGAAGCTGAGTAAGGAGCGGGCTGAGCGTGAGGCAGAGAGGGCGCTGCAGGTGGACACCCAGCGGGAGGGCACCCTCGTCAGCCTGGTCAAGGTAGGGCCCAGAGCCTCCAGGACAGTGGGCGCTCGGCAGCCCTGCCCTTTCCTTCCCGGGGCCTCCCTGCTTCTCTGTCGGGATACATGCGCTTAGCAAAGTGCCTAGAGTGTAGGAATTAAAACAGTAATCATATAATAATAACTTTCTGTGATGGTCCTAGGTGCTTTAGACACATTCCCTTATGCAGTCCTCACTGCGTTCCCAAGACTTAGATATTCTAAATTTTTTTTTACGTCTATTTACTTTTGAGAGAGTGTGGACAAGGCAGAGAGAGAGAGGGAGACATAGAAGCCGAAGCAGGCTCCAAGCTGTCTACGTGGAGCCTGGAGCCTGATACGGGCCTCGAACTCATGAACTGTGAGATCATACCCTGAGCCAAAGTGGAACGTTTAACCGACTGAGCCACCCAGGCACCCCATGACTTAAATATTCTAGAAATGAGGAAGCTGGGGTTCTGAGAAGTTGGGCCCCAGGGTGAGAGGCAGCCCCAAGGCTTGACCCCGAGCCTCTCAGACCCCTTGCCCCACCACCTCCTCCAGAATCAGGGTGGATCCGAGGTGCGGAAACAACACAGGGCGGGCCAGGGGTTCAGCTCCCGAGAGGAGACGGCAGCGAAGGCTTTGTTGTCTCCAGGAACAAGCCGAGCTAAAGATCAGAGCCAGTGAGCTCCGAGCCAAGGAGGAGCAGCTGGCGGCCGAGCGGGAGGCCCTGGAGCGGGAGCGGCAGGAGCTGCGGCGGGAGAAGGAGAGGGTCAGCGCCGCTGCCCTGCGCACCCGGCTCCGCGCGGAGGAGGTGGAGAGCATGAGCCAGGTGCCGAGCGGCCGGGCTCCGGGGGCACGGCCGGGGCACCCACCCCGCCCCCGCCAGCCCAGCTGAGCCCGCCGCCGTCTCCCGGCAGGTAGCCTCGGAGAAGTTCGAGGAGGGGCAGCGGGCGCTGCGCGAGGCCCGGCAGGTGCAGCAGGAGCAGCAGGCCCGGCTGCAGCTGGTGCAGCGGCAGCAGGAGCAGCTGCGGCAGCAGGAGCAGCACATGCACCAGGCAAGGCCCCTCCCCGCTCCGGCCGCCCCACCACGACCCCCTCTGGGTCCCCACCCTCACAGCCTCGTCCTTCTCTCCGGGGCCGGGGACAGGAGCATCTGAGTCTGGCCCAGCAGAGGCTGCGGCTGGACCGCATCCGTCAGGACCTGCCCTCTGGCCCCGTGGCGCTGCTCCCCGGGACCCAGGGCCCCGCAGCGTCCTGCCTGAGCGGTGAGTAGCTCCCAGAAGACGAGGACGGAGGTGGGCTGGGCTGGGCCGCAGGGGGCGTCGGGGTGGGGGGGTGCCAGGAGCCGCCTCCCTCCACTGGGGTTAGGGGGCCCGTGGGAGTCTGCCCGCTGGTCCCTTGTTACACAAGTAACGCACGTCTGTTAGAGAAAATGAGGTAAGAGATAAGAGAGAGGGAAGCTGTTTTGTAAAATGTCACTCTCTAGAGAAAACCCATTTTAACATTTGGTGTGTGGTGTTCTACACTGTGTATGTGAAAAAATTTGAGATCCTATGTTTTGTCCCTTGATTTTTTTATTCAGAAATATACATGTAGAACATGTTTTCCTATCAGTAATTAAATGCTTAACCATAATTCTTTTTTTAAATGTTTATGTATTTATTATGAGAGGGAGGGAGAGGCAGAGAGGGAGAGACGGGGGGTGGGGGGCAGGGAGGCAGAGAAGGAGAGAGAAAGAATCTCAAGCTGGCTCTGCAGTCAGTGTGGAGCTCAATTCAGGACTCGATTTCACAAACTGTGAGATCATGACCTGAACCAAAATCAAGAGTCGGACGCTCAACCAGCTGAGCCGTCCAGACGCCCCGATCATAATTCTTGCTCAGCATAATTGTCCATTAAATTCCATGTTTTTACTGATTCTCTAATGAGCAGACTTTTGTCACTAAGATAAACACCTCATTGGAGATGTTTGTACGTACATCTCTGCACCTCTGCCTTGATTTATTTCCCTTGAATAAATTCCTAGGATTGGACTTGCCAGGTAAGATAACCATGAGCATTTTCAAAGGCTTTGGAGAGGTGGAAGAAGTGCCCAGAAGGTTGGCCGGGTTGCAGCCTGCCACGGTGGTGAGAGGCCCCCAGAAACCCAGCCGTGGCCGTTCTGTCCCCCCACGTATGCTGCAGCCCCTGACCTCCTCCTCCACCTTTTCAGCCACTGTGGCTCCTGTCCCCACCACCCACGGGTGCAGCCGGCCACTCACCGGCCTGGGCCCCTCGCACCTTCACGCCAGGCTGGTGCTGATGAAACACACAGCTGAGCAGGTGAGCGTCCTGAGCCGCCCACCCTCCCTGGGCCCAGGGCTCCTTTGTTCACACTGGTGGGAGGCAGGAAGGAGCACACCTTGGCCCCGGGGGGTGCTGAGCCCCCACCCCACCCCAAAATAATAGTGCAGATTGCCTAGTGAGCATCTCTGCGACCCGTCCTCCAAGCCCAGTTCTGTGGGACATAACTTGCATCCATCATCTCGGTTGAACCTCACAGTAACCTTGTGATCAGAATGATAGCAACTGTCACTTACGGGGCATTTTCTGCGAGCCAGGCTCCGTGTGAAAGCTCTATGTGCAGGTGAGCCTCTGCCCTCCCCCAGCCCTATGGGCAGGTGACATGATTATCTCCCGTTTCTAGACAGGCTGAGAGAGGTGAAGCCATGTGCTGAGGAAGGGCCTCGCCAGGACTGAGACCTGGTCTGTCTCACTCACTTCCGTGGCCCCAGCCCCCTGCTGCATCCCAGAGCCAGAGAGTGCATGGGGAGAGGGCCCCTGGTAGGGGCTGGCTCCACTGTGCTCTCGGTTCTGCAAGCCAGCGTGTTCCTGCTCACAGAAGTGGGTACAGGAGGGAGCCAGAGGGGGACTGCTCAGCCGGCTCTGCCTTTCAGGACCGTGACTTCTTGGAGAATGAGCAGTTCTTCCTGGAGACCCTGAAGAAAGCCGCCTACAATATGACATCCCACTCATCCTGAAGGCCCCTGGAAGTCTCTCCCACCACCCACCGGCTGCCAGCCCCGAGGAGGGGGTGCCCGGGCCTGATTACAGCTCTTCCCGGGGACAGGGTGTAAGTGCATTCTCTCTGGGCATGCCAGCCGATGCCTGGAGCGTCTAGGGCTCGAGGGGCAACGGCCTCTGGGAGGTGTGGGGCCGACAGCGGCCCTGCGACACAGCCAGCCACGGGGTCTCCACCCCTGACTTCTGGCTCAGATCCGAGGACCTCTCCCCTCCTCACCGGGCAGGATGCCTTCACCTGGGCCTCTTCTGAGCCAGAGGGTCTTCGCGAGAGATGCCACGAGCAGCCTCCTGCCCTCTCAGAGGCCCGTGGAGACGGCACGGGCTCTCCTCCCGAACTGGGATGTAGGGTCAGAGCCCATGTTTTGAAGGGCCTTCTATCCTCCTGGCAAGGAGGCGGGCGGTGCTGTGGGGGGCAGACAGGGGGCAGGGAGGGCACTTTGCCCAGCCAGGCCTTACCTTGCAGTACAACAGGCTCTCAGCCTCAGCCTCGTTCCCAGCGGCCCGAGGAGCTGGCTGGCCCTGTGAGGACACCAGCCTGTCAGCTTCTAATAGGGCTTTCCAGAGGCAGAACCCGGGTGACGGTGGGGTGGGGCGTGGGGAGGGAACAGTAGAGAGGCTTCTCTGTCCTGTTCACCTGCTATGGAGCCCTAGCAGATGGGAAAGAAGACAAGGGAGCGAGGGCCTCTACCCTGGGAGGGGAGAGAGAACTGGGGAACTGTGTGGGGCTGGACCGGACCCAAGCTGCCGCCCCGGGGAGGGTGCCTTTGCACATCTCCCTGCAGGGGCGTCAGGAGAGGGGCAGAGGCTTGATAGCTGTCCCAGCAAACCCGAGGATGGATGGACTCACTGACATGACCGCAGTTATCCTGAAGTGGCTTCCTGAAGTGACTGGTTACCTTCCATTAGAGGACAAAGGGCTGAGGGGGTAACGAGCAGGTACAGTTTCTCTCTCTGCTCCTTCAGGACAGCTTTGAGAAGAATCTTCTCATGTCCCAGCAATTTACAGCCTTCATCTTGGACCCATTAAATTGCTATATTCTTTTTAAAAATTCTTTTAACGATGTTATTCAAATTTGAGAGACAGAGTGCAAGCAGGGGAGGGGCAGAGAGGGAGACACAGAATCCAAAGCAGGCTCCAGGCTCCAAGCTGTCAGCACAGAGCCTGACGCGGGGCTCGAACTCACGAACCTTGAGATCATGACCTGAGCCGAAGTTGGACGCTTAACCGACTGGGCCACCCAGGCGACCCTGAATTGCTATATTCTTAACTATGAGATTGTTACAATTTGCCGTGTCTCCTGAGTTGGTTTTCGAGAGTCGGTGTTTGAGAGGTTTTGGCTCTGAAGCGCTGTTACTTGCTGGGAAGCTGGCGGGCTGGCGCTGGGACCCTGAATCCACACACCGGCCGGCTGTATCATGACCAGCAAAAGGGCATTTTGATCATCTCTAACTCACACACGAAGGCACAGAGGCTCAAGGAGATTAAAGAGTCTGCCCCCAGTGACAGAAAATAGCACCTTTTGTTTGGACACATTCCAAAGCCTCAGGCTGTCAGCCACCTCACTCTGCTGCCTCCTTCTAGAAGAGCACATCGTATACAGTGCTGTCGTGAGGTAGGGAGACCTCCAAGCTGCCTGCCCCGAGGAGGGAAGCGTCGGTGTCCCCTTTAGAAACCTCCATGAAGCTTGGAATTGAGTCCTTCTCTCAACAGGCAGCTAAATAAGTTGCCACCTATGTGAGCACCTGCAGAGTGAGCATGGGCTCAGCCTGGAAGCGGCTGGCATTTCCTTAGCCCCCCGACAGACAGGATCATACATCAAGGGGACCCCAGGGATGAGCTTGGCCTTTCAAGCCCAAGAGAAATGAGTTTAGAATTAGGAAACAGGTCTGTATGACCTTGTCTATATCTTCAGGGCAGCGGGTATGCACTCAACTGTTGTAAACAAAGTGGGACTATATTTGTATTTTAGAAGATGCACTGTAGCTGTGGGGTGAACTCACTGGAGGGGGCGGGTCAGAAGGCTGCTGGCATGGTGCTGGGGAGACTGAGGACAGCACTACCGGGCATGGCAGTGAGGGGGTCATAGAAAAGAGACCCCACAGGACCTGATGCCATACATGGAGGGTCTTCACATGCCAAGGAGGACCCCAGGTCTAGGCAGCTGGGTGGTGTTGCTCAGATGACACCAGTGCATGGAACAGCCAAGTAGAGATGAGATGTTCCACAGACGTTGGGTTATAATGATACTTTCCTCGGTCCCTGTACATGGTCTGTATCACCGTCTCTGGCATTAAGGTGTGACAGGTAGCTTATTACCTAACATCAACTTGTCCCCTGCCCCACAGGTCACAGACAATAGAGGACTGCACTGCTGTATATCTGCTGGCCTTTTTCCCTTCAAATTTATAAGCAACTCCTCAAGGTCATAACCCAGATGCTTAATTCCGTTCCCTGTAGAGAGAGAAATGCGGGGGGAAAGGGACAATGAGAAAAGACACTGGTGGGGCCATTACCATCGGTGTTTACTATCTGCTTGCAGTTGATACATGTGGGAATCCGTGCTAGGCCTTTCAGTTGATTTCCAAGTGACCCCATTCTTAGTGGGTTCTAGGGCAGTGAGAGAACACGCATGTTTCTCAAAAGTAAGGCCTGATGGAGAAATCCGAGCCGCCTGATGAGCACGCCCAGTAAGCCCCAAGCCTCAGTGCCTCGAGGCCCTCGGTGTCTCCATTCGCAGAGGGGCAGGCTGTGGTGTGTGCCGCCCCCTGGTGGCTGGCCGCGGGCAGGGGCCCGGACCCCGCGCAGCTCCGTCCGCCCCGCCGGCCACCCGGCACTTCCGGAGCCAGGCACCCGGAGCCCGCCTCCACCTCCGGACGGGAGGAGGGAGCTCTTGCCTCCGGGGAGAAGGAGTCTGAGGCCGGGAGGGGGCGTGGCTTCCAGGACCCGAGCCCAGGGGCGGGGCCTCCGCGGCGCGCTCAGGCACTGCCCGGGCCACCTCTGCCGGGTCCTAGGGAAGATGGCGGCGCCCTGGTGGCGGTCCGTGCTGTGTGGAAGTCGGTGGTGGCGGAGCTTCAGCACCTCGGGTGAGGGGTCTGAGGTGCGGGGGGGCTCTCGGAGGTCCCCGTAAAGACCAAACCCCGGGGCTCGAGCCAGCGTCCGCCCTTGGCCTCACGTCCCGCTCCCTTCCCGCAGCCGCCCTGAGTCGCCGGACCGCCCCTCTGGGGCCGATGCCCAACGAGGACATCGACGTGAGCAACCTGGAGCGGCTGGAGAAGTACCGAAGCTTCGAGCGTTACCGGCGCCGGGCGGAGCAGGAGGCGCGGAGCCCGCACTGGTGGCGGACGTACCGGGAATACTTCTGCCAGGACTCAGGTGCGCGGCGGCCGGAACAAAGATGAGGACCCAAGTGTTACTGCTCGGAGCCAGGGGGTCTTGGCTTCAGGGTGCCTCGGGATGGTGGTCTGGGATACACATGTGTGATGGATGTATCTCGTCATTTCCACCGGGTCCTTCCTTAGATGTTATATAATCTAAAGAAACGTCTCTTACTAGGGACATCAAAAGGCATCTGTAAGGTGGAGGTGCAGGTCCTAGCAAAAGTAGAAGCAAGAAGGGGCGCCTGGCTGGCCCAGTTGATGGAACATGCTATTCTTCATCTCAGGGTCTAGAGTTCAAGCTTTGCGCTGGCTTAGAGTTTCCATTAAAAAGTGGGAGGGGGCAGGGGCGCCTGGGTTCAGGTGGTTAAGCGTCCAACTCCTGATTTTGGCTGAGGTCACAGTCTCCCGGTTCATGGGTTGGAGCCCCAGGTCGGGCTCTCCACTGGCAGCTTGGAGCCTGCTTGGGATTCTCACTCCCTCTCTCTCTGCCTCTCCTCTGCTCACACTCTCTGTCTCTATCTCAAAATAAATAAACTTTTTTATTTTAATTTTTTTATAGTTTATTTTTGAGACATAGAGAGAGCATGAGCAGGGGAGGGGCAGAGAGAGAGGGAGACACAGAATCTGAAACAGGCTCCAGGCTCTGAGCTGCCAGCGCAGAGCCCGGCGCTGGGCTCAAACCCATGAACCATGAGATCATGACCTGAGCCGAAGTTGGACACTTAACCGACTGAGCCACCCAAGCACCCCAAATAAACTTTTTTAAAAGGGGGGGAAAAGGCAGGAAAAGGAGCAAAAAGCAGGTTTTTTTGGAGCCTTTCATTTTCCCAATCTCAGAGTGACTTGCCTGAGCTTCACTTTCCTCGGTGCAAAATAAAAGTTGGTTTTTGTGTCACAAAATTGCTGTATTAAAAGATGCAGTCCAGGGGCACCTGGGTGGCTCAGTCGGTTAAGCGTCCGACTTCGGCTCAGGCCATGATCGCGCGGTTTATGAGTTCAAGCCCTGCCTGGGGCTCTGTGCTGACAGCTTGAAACCTGGAGCCTGCTTCAGACTCTGTGTCTCCCTCTCTCTCTGCCATTCCCCCACTCATGCTCTGTCTCTGTCTCAGAAACAAATACAACGTTTTTAAAAAATTTTTTTTAATAAAAAATAAATAAAAGATGCAGTCCAGGGGCTCCCAGGTGGTTCAGTCGGTTAAGTGTCCAACTTCGGCTCAGGTCATGATCTCGCGGTTTTTTAGTTCGAGCCCCACCCTGGGCTCTGTGCTGACAGCTCAGAGCCTGGAACCTCCTCCAGATTCTGTGTCTCCCCCTCTGCCCTTTCCATGCTCATGCTCTGTCTGTCTCTGTCTCTCAGTAATAAATAAAAACGTTAAAAAGAAATTTTTTTTTAAGATTCTGTCCATTGGACTTTTTTAGAGAAATGCCATCTCTGATGAGGATTCAATGCATCTTACTTTAGTTACTGTCTAATGTAAATGGAAAAAGGTATTGAGAGTCGTTTCAGGCCTTGTTATTCAAAGTGTGTTCTGAGACGGGCAGCACAGGCATTGCCTAGGAGCTTGTTAGGAAAGCAGAATCTTGGGCCTCACACTGACCTGCTGATTCAGAATCTGAATTTTAATAGACTTCCCACGTGACTTATATGGTGTGTCCCTTAGTGTAAGAAGTGTGCTTCTTTGGGGCTTTATCTAGTTTCAGCGAATTATTCTACCAAGAACTCAAGTGCATGTCCACGTCCAGGTGTGAACAGGCTTAAAGGTCATCCCAACCATAATTGGGATGATCATCCACCTGTATTTCCCATGACCTAGGCAGTGTGTCCTGGTTTAGGGATCTCAAGTTGAACCCAGTTTGCTTAGCACCTGGACTCTGTTCAGGTCTGTGAAGCCGACTGTAGAGTATTGATTGAGTTTTGTGAATTAAAGGGCAAGCTGGGGCGAGTTGGAAGACTAGGTGGGGACAGGCAGCTTCCCTGAGACTTTTTTTATTTTTTAATGTTTTATTTATTTCTGAGAGAGAGAGAAAGAGGCAGCATGAATAGGGGAGGGTCAGAGAGAGAGGGAGACACAGAATCTGAAGCAGGCCCCAGGCTCCGAACTGGCTGTCAGCACAGAGCCCGATGTGGGGCTCGAACCTACGAACTATGAGATCATGACCTAAGCTGAAGTCGGACGCTTAGACTGAGCCACCCAGGTGCCCCAGCTTCACTGAGACTTGATCCCACTTTCTCCAAAATATCTTCCCACCCCAGATCCCAAAGACAGGATTGACATCGGGCTACCCCCACCCAAGGTCAGCCGGACCCAACAGCTGCTGGAGCGGAAGCGGGTCCTCCGGGAGCTGCGGGCCAACCCAGAGGAGGAGCGAGCTGCCCGCCTCCGCACAGGTAAGCCCCCCGCTCCAGGGTAGGGAGCCCCCGAGCCCCTGCCCCCTCCCTGCATCCTAAGCAGCATCATTCCTTACCAGCGCGCATCCCACTGGAGGCTGTGCGGGCCGAGTGGGAGAAGACCTGTGGCCCGTACCACAAGCAGCGGCTGGCCGAGTACTGTGGCCTCTATCGAGACCTGTTCCACGGTGCCACCTTCGTGCCCCGCGTCCCCCTGCACGTGGCCTACGCTGTGGGGGAGGACGACTTGATGCCTGTATACCACGGCAACGAGATTACTCCCACGGAGGTAACTGCTTATTTGTGCTCCTCCCCGCACCCTGTGGACAGACACAGCCCACCCGCCGCAGGACCACAGACAGCTCCCTGCTGCAGGCACTTGCAGAGTTGGTTTCTGTGGCAGCGGTAAAGGGCACAAGCATGGCATCTGTGTAGGCTGATTTGGGGCTTTGTTCTTTTCCCCATTTTGATTCCCTGGTAAACACACCACACCAATTACCAGAGAAGGGATCTAAAATGAAAAAAAAGAAGCTCCGTCTGGACAGACTCCTAGCCCGCTGTCTTCAGAGTGCCCTCCGAGCCCCTGTCCGGTGACGTGAGGGCCGCCTTGTGGTTCAGATAGAGAGCCGGACGGGCAACTCTGCAGGGTTCCTTCTACAAGCTTCTCTTTGCTGACCTGCCTCTCAAGGGACCATCAGCTCAGGGGTGTTTGAATCAGAGCGGGCTCTCCCTTCCCCCAAGCTCCCTCAGGCTCCTGTCCTCCAGAAAGGTCTGTTTACAGCAGCTGGTCTGTCCCTGATGGGGGTGACACCTTCCCTGTTGTCTCCCCGCTAGGCTGCCCAGGCCCCGGAGGTGACCTACGAGGCAGACAAGGGCTCCATATGGACACTGCTGCTCACCAATTTGGGTAGGTGTCTGGGGCTCACCAGGCTTCCTGCCTCCCTCCCCTCCCGTGGGCCAGGGCTCTGGGGTGGCTGGGGGCGGGGCCAGGTGTGAGGGGGGGCCCCTCAGCCAGTGGGCTCTGTTTGTGTACAGATGGCCACCTGCTGGAGCCGGATGCTGAATACCTCCACTGGCTGGTGTGAGTACTGGGGGTAGGGGGTGGGTCAGGGGCTTGTGAGGGGGCCCTGAATCCTGGAAAGAGCTGTGCCTGCATTTTAGTCTTGGCTCCACCGCGGATTCACTGTGGAATTTTGGATTAGCCTCCCGCCCCAGGTGGCGGACCCCATCTGCCTCCTGATGCCGTCAAGAACCCTGTGATCTACTGGGCTGAAGACAGAAGAAAAAAGCAGGCACTAGGCCTTGGCTGTTCCCACCGGCCTTTTGGTCTCCCCGAACGCATTTGCTCCCCTGTAAAACCAGGGCAATGCCACCCCACGTGTCAGCCGCCCTGCGGGGTTCTGTGACAGTCAGCTGCAAAAAGGACAGCAAGAGGCCTCTGGCAGCTGGTGCTGCCCAAGCTGGGCTGCCTTTTGTTTTCACAGTGGCCTTTGGCTCTGGAGCCAGGGGGGCAGAGGTCAGACGGTTGACCCCAGCTTTGGGACTTCTGGGCAATTGGGTCCAGTGACCGGGAGGCTCATTTCTACCATTTTTATTCAGCTGCAGTTAGCAACGTGTGCAGCAGGGCCTGCCGGGGAGTTCTCTCGAGGGGAGGCACAGTAGCTGTCGTGGTGCCAGGCGGGCTCACGCTGCCCAACACACCCCAGAGCCTTCGGGAAGCCCAGGGGCGGCCCAGGGGTAGTGTGGTTGTCCAACCCAAAAGGCCGTGGTGCCCCACCAGTCCCCACGGCCTAATAAATGGGCTGCTAGACCTCATTCTCTTCTAGACCATCTCTAGGACTCTGGTCTTCAGCCTCTGAACCTCTACTGTTCCCTTCCCAAGTGTGCGGTCCATCCGAGGGTTCACAGAACTATGCCTCCCGCCTCACTATTCGATGAAGGTCATGTTAGGGTTTGTTCTCCTAGGGAGTGATCGCACCTCTAGGGAGCACTCCTGCCGCCGCCTTCCTTGAGTGTCAGTTAATGGGTACTTTTCCTCCCACCAGAACCAACATCCCAGGCGACAGGGTGGCTGAAGGACAGGAGACGTGTCCCTACCTGCCCCCCTTCCCTGCCCGAGGCTCCGGCTTCCACCGCTTTGCTTTCCTGCTCTTCAAGCAGGACAAGCCAATTGACTTCTCTGGGGACACCCGGCCCTCACCATGGTAATCTACACCCCCCCCACCCCCCCGGCCCCATTCCCTCTCCCCTCCCCAGGCCTCAGGCCACCTTCCCAGGAATGACCTGTCCTGCTCAGTTCTCCTGTCTCTCTTACACTTGAGATGGGCAGAAGGGTAGCTGTGCTAAGCAGACCATAAGGGGCTTTCTCAGGATTGTGGGTGGGGCTGGAGGTGGGGTGTGGGGTTCTGGTGCCTCATTCCCTGCTCTTAAATGCTCCCCATCTTACAGCTACCAGCTTGCCCAGAGGACCTTCCGCACTTTTGATTTCTACAAGAAACACCAGGAAGCCATGACACCAGCCGGCCTGGCCTTTTTCCAGTGCCGCTGGGATGATTCGGTCACCCACATCTTCCACCAGCTTCTGGGTAAGGCCAGAGTGGGTTGGGGGTGGGAGTTGAGGGGGTGGCCTGAGCTCACAGACCTCTCCCGACCTGCCAGGGAGAGGTGCCTATCAGGAGGGCCACCTTGGGTGGGCTGGCTGGGCAGTCCTGGGCTGGCAGACAAGGGGAGGGGCTCAGGCCAGCCTCAGCCCACACCCACACCCCCCCCTTCCTGCAGACATGCGGGAGCCCGTGTTCGAGTTTGTGCGACCACCCCCTTACCACCCCAAGCAGAAGCACTTTCCCCACCGGCAGCCCCTGCGCTACCTGGACCGGTACAGGGACAGTCACGAACCCACCTATGGTATCTACTAAGTGGCCAGAGTGCCACCCACCCAGAAGGTGTACTGGGCCCCTCAGGCTCCACCAGCAGGAACAATAAAGACACGGCTCCACAGGGAGCTTCCGGGTCCTGCTTGAGGCCACTCTTCTGTGGCCCTCCCAGCAGGCCCAGGGCTTGAGAGTGAAGAGAGCTCTCCGAGGATGGTGGCAGGGGTGGGACATGTGAATAAAGATGATTTTTTAAAGTTTATTTATTTAATTGGGGGGGGGGGTGGACACAGAACAAGGGAGAAAGAATCCCAAGCAGGTTCCGCATAGAGCCCAATGTTGCCATTGTACTCAAGACTGTGACATCATGACCTGAGCTGAAATCCAGAGTTGGGCAGTTAACCAGCTGAGCCCTCCGGGTGCCCCAAAGATGATTTTTGCCATAGCTGGTCTGAGTCTGTGTTCAGGAGCAGCCAGAGCCCCCTCCTCCAACCCCATAATGGATCTGTGGTGGTACACGAGTGGAAAGAGAACCGCCAACCGTCTCAGGAGGTGGCCCCTCACCTCTGCCTCTGGAGGGTGTTGGGCCCTGAGATCAAGCGGCCGGAGGCAGGGACGGAAGGCAGTGGGGCTTGGCTGCTCTCTTAAAGAGCTTTGCCAGCCCTGAGCCTTGTGCCCTGGTCATTGCATTCCCAGTTCGGTGGCAGACCCTGGCATCCACTGGGATGCTGAATGAGCAGGTCTGACCTCTGGGCACACCCCCTGTTCCGAGCCCAGAAAGCCCCTGCACCCTGGGGCACTCTAGCTGGCTGGCTAGAGTATTATTTCTCTTCTCTCTAAGTAGCCAGTCAGGAGGACACCAGTGAACCTTTTCCCGGAAGAGGAGCCTCAGGTATCACAACACAGACGACCTAATGCTGCGTTGCAGTAAGCGGGCCTCCTGCCTCAAAATTAAGCCATGTCCGGTAGGAAATCAAGAAGTAATCCTCCATCAGCTCTCGCTGGGCCAGCACACTTCCCCAGGGCAGGTGGGTTAGAGCCAGACCCCCTCTCCTGTGCTCTGCTGCAGGGGCACCTCTATAAAAAGTCAGGTTCCAGAAGAGCTTGCACCTGCAAACAAGGAACTCCCCAGCAGGGGGCCCACGCGCAGAGTGGATTCCAAGGGCAGCTGAAGGTTGCTTTGGGTTTCCACTCAAAGGGGGTATGAAAAAAACACTGTTGTTGGTCTCTGTGTTGGTGACCAGAAATTTCCACCTCACTTACTTTAAGAGAACCAAAATTTGTTGTAGCCTAGAGAAAGGAGATACCCCAATCTGGCAAATGCCTGAAACCACGCTCAAGGAAAAGGGCAGCAGAGCACCTCCCATCAGGAGAGCCTGTGAGTGCCCAGCGCCCTTACTGCCAGGCACGGGCCCTCGCAGTCTCCCGTGATCGCCAAAGCTGCTGGGAAGTAGCTGCTGTTCAGGTGTCCAGATGAGGGGCCCGGATGGGGTTCCGTGGTGACCCTCGGCCAGGAGGAGGCTTCGAGGCCCAACGGGGTTCCAAAAGTCCTTGTTTCTGTAGGTGGCGGCCGCTTCCCCCCCCCCCCCACAAACACGAGCCGCTTCACGAGGGTTTGGGGCAACGGGATGGAGTTCCCAGGGTGGGACCGCCGAAAGCCAGACCCCAACTCCCACCTGAGGTGACTCGGTGGCTCGACAGAGGGGAGCAGGCGGCCGAGGCGCGAGTGGTGCGGGAGGCACCTGTCGCACCGCTCCCCCAAGGCGGGCCCCCGCTCCTCCCCGCCGCACCCGCGCCCTGCGCCGCCCATCCCGCCCCTACCTGCTCTGCGAAGCCCCGCCCCCCCGCTCTCCGAGACCTCGCCCCGCCCCTCCCGCTCTCCGAGACCTCGCCCCGCCCCTGCCCGCTCTGCGAAGCCCCGCCCCTCCCGCTCTCCGAGGCCGCGCCCCGCCCCTACCCGCTCTCCGAGGCGCAGCCGCCGCCATGGACGCGCTAAAGGACAAGCTGACCTGTGCCATCTGCCTGGAGCTCTACCTGGAGCCGGTGACGCTTCCCTGCGGCCACAACTTCTGCGGGGACTGCATCCGGGATTGGTGGGGCTGCCGCGACAAGGCGTGCCCCGAGTGCCGGGAGCACTTCCCCGACGGCGCCGAGCTGCGTCGCAATGTGACCCTCAGCGGCGTGCTCGAGTTGATGCGCGCCGGGCCTGCCCCGGCCCCCGGCTCCGACCCCGCCCCGGTTCCCGGCTCCGACCCCGACCCGGTTCCCGGCTCCGACCCCGACCCGGCCCCGGCCCCGGCTCCCGGCCCCGACCCCGCCCCGGCCCCCGGCTCCGGCCTGGGCGCGCGCTGTCCCCGGCACCGGCAGCCCCTGGAGCTCTTCTGTCGCACCGAGGGTCGCTGCGTGTGCAGCGCGTGCACCGTGTACGAGTGTCGCCTCCACGAGCGGGCGCTGCTGGACGCGGAGCGTCGGGAGCGCGAGGTGACACCGGGGTGCCCCGCCCTGTCTCTAGGCACCTAGGCTGGGGCGGGCAGCTTAAGCAGGAGGCGGCTTTGGGATGTTTGTGGTCCCGGATAGAAGGAGAAAACACGTGTTCGGAATAGAGATTTCGGATCCGATGACAGGCCCAGGGTGAGGCCCCAGGACTCAGTGGCAGAAATGGGTTGAAGGAAGGGGTGAGGAGGCCAAGGGTCCGAAGACCCGGAATGTCGGAGGATAACCCCTGTGGCTGCCGAAGCCACACAGAATAGAATGCTCATGCTGAGGCTCTGAGCCGGAAGTTTGTAGCGGAGGCCAGCAGTTGACAAGGAGGGAGTGGCAGGTGTACTTGCCTAAGGAGCTGTGTTTTGCTAGAGGGAGGGGAAGTGATGTGGGGTGTGAGAAGGACAGATGCCCGTCCCAGGGGGAGACTCAGGTGGAACCAGGAGAGCCTCCCCTCCCCACTTGCTGCATGCCGCATGTTAGGGAACGCTGGAGGCCGAGGGACATGGGGATTGGGCTTAGGAACTCTGATGCCTTTGGCCAAATGATCCGTTTCTCTGTCTCATTTCCTCATCTCTGAAGTGGGGATTGTGATGGTTCCCGCCTCATAAAGTGTGGCCGAGAGAAGCAGAAACAAGACAGGCTCCTGAGGAGGGGCAGGGGATGGTGCTTTGTCTCGTTCCCATGAAAGCACGATGTTCTACCCTCAAGGGTGGCAAAGGAGTCTCAAATAGGGGTGCCCTCTTCCCCTCATGCCCAGAGCTGGGGCTGAGGCCTGGCCGGCATTTGGGAGAACTGGCCTTGTACATTCACCACACCGCCCACTTCCCCAATGGCTTTGGCGCTTTGAGTCCTCACCCCTTCCCCGCAAGGCTGCCAAAGCCAGAAGTGCTGCTCCCGCCATTTATTGCCCGGGGGTAGCGCGAGGCAGGCTTACAGCCCAGAGATGGTGGGTGCTCTGCCCCCAGGCTGCCCAGCTCGCAAGAGGGACTGGAGGTCAGGTGTGAAGCCCAAGGCCTCTGCTCCGCCTGTGTACCTCCCTGCTCCAGGGTGGGAACGGGCTTCGTCCGGGCCTCCCTGAGATGCTAACCCAGTTCACCCGGAGATCAGACCAAGGCTGATGCTGTGTGCCGGCCCACTGGTCGCGATGCGGGGGTGGCACCGGGAGGGGACGCCCCCACATCTGCAGACGTTTGTTGATTAACTGAGAGGAGACTTCACAGCCATTCCTGACTTCCTCTTGTGACTTGTTTCCCTGGTGGGCACCACAGGCCCAGCTGAGAGCCATGCTGGAGGTCAGCCGGCAGCAGGCCGCCCAGGCGGAGAGCCAGCTAAAGGAACTGCAGGAGCAAAGCAACCAGATCCAGGTACAAGGCCTGTCCGTTCTAGCTCACTCCACCCTCCTGCTGTGCCCTTCAGGCAGCCACCAATGGGTCCCTGGGACACTGGGTCGCTGGCGTGAGCTACCTTGAAAATGCCTCCTGGCAGCAGGGAGGGAAGGTCTGAGCGGGGCGGGGGGGGGGGTCGGCTTCAGGGACCCAGGCTCCCCACACCACCCCTCAGCCTGGTGGGCAGCATTGGCCTGGCCACCCTCGGCATTTCCGTCACCCACTCAGAGCTCAGCCTGCACCCTGGCCTCCGCGGTCTCCAGCAAGTTCAGCTGCCTGCTGCAGATCCTGGAGACGCGGCGGACCTTGGCGCTGACGGACATCGAGGTGGCCAAGACACAGGCCCTGGCACAGGCTCGGGATGGAGAACAGCGACTGCGGGGCCACCTGGAAGTCCTGGCCTGCCATGACCGCAGGATCCGGGACCTCCTGGAGCAGCCGGATGACCAGACCTTCCTCCAGGTACCGGGTCTCAGGGCGGCGGGTGGGGGGACCAGCGACCCTGCACCTGGTGCTCAGGCTTACTGTAACTGTCCCTGGGGCTCAGGAGTCACAGCTCCTGGCCCCTCCAGGCCGTCTTGGGCCCCTGACTCCTCTGCAGTGGGACGAAGAGCAGCAGCTGGCTGGCGTGGAGTCACTGAGCCGGCTGTGTGGCCTCCTCCTGGATGAGGGGAGCCACCCCAGGGCACCTGCTGAGCCTGCTGATTTGGGCCCCGTGGGTAAGGCTGACCTCAGATCTCTCTCTACCCCTCTGGGCCCAAGCTGGCCCTCCCACGGTGGGTGGGAGTGAGGTCAGGACCCTGCCCCCCCCACCGCGAGCTCTCTCCTCGTCATTGCCCTAACACTTCTTTGTCTCCTAGAGGCCCCAGGTCCCCTGGCACCAGTCCCAAGCCCGGTTTGTCCACTGAGGAGGAAGCTCTGGCAGAGTAAGGAGCCCGGCACGTGTGTGTATGCAGAGGCGTGTGTGTGTTGTGCAATCGTGTGTACACTGTGAGTACACGTGAGCACATGTGCATGTCTGTGTGTGTGTGTGAGTACCTGGAGGGGCCGCGTGCTGTGACTGCCCTGCCCAGGGTATCTGTCCTATGCCCTTCCCTGGGTCCATCCCTCCCCACCCCCCCCACACCTGTTGTAGGATGTTAACTTGTTACATGTGGGGCCAATACAGTGATGAGGAGCCGCTGGGCAGGCAAACCTGGGGTCAGTTATGATTCTTCCACTTGTTACCAAGTTAGGTCACGTCTGGGAGCCTCGGTTTTCTCATCTTTGAAATGAGGCGGATAGAAGGGTCCAGCCAGGGCTGTGGCCAGAACGGGCTCCCGCACTGGTGCCCACTGCTTGCCTCGCTGGCTGTGTGCCTGGCAGATGCTTGGTGTGCATTGGCGGACCTTCAGCTGCCATTTCTCCCTCCGGGGACAGGATGGCGGACAGACACCTGCCCGCTTACCTCCCATCCATCTGTCCCTGACAGATTATCGCAATCTGACCTTCGACCCAGACAGCGCCAATTGCCACCTCTACCTGTCTCGGCAGGACCAACAGGTAAAGCACTGTCACAAGCCCCGGGACGTGGCCGGGCCACGCAGGTTCCAGCTCTGGCAGGTGCAGTGTGCCCAGAGCTTCCAGAACGGTCGACACTACTGGGAGGTGCGCACGTCTAACCACTCGGTGACGCTGGGCGTCGCCTATCCAGAACTTTCACGGCACAAGCAGGGGCCCCACACGGACAACATTGGGCGCGGGCCGAGCTCCTGGGGCCTCTGTGTTCAGGAGGACAGGGCCCAGGCCTGGCACAACGGGAAGGCCCAGCGGCTCCCCCGGGTGTCGGGGCGGCTCCTGGGCATGGATCTGGACCTGGCCTCTGGCCACCTCACCTTCTACAGCCTGGAGCCCAAGGCCCAGCCCCTGCATACCTTCCACGCCATGTTCACCCAGCCCCTCTGCCCCATCTTCTGGCTCCTGGAGGGTAGGACTTTGACCCTGTGCCATCGGCCTGAGGCCAAGCTCGCCCCCGGGCTCCAGGAAGAGGCCGCTGGGCCCAGCTGAGGTGCTGCCTGGGCCCCCGAGGCTAGGGGGCGCCCACGGGCCCCTGGTCCTGCCAGAGAGTGTGCAATTCGGGCCTCACCACACATAAAATTTAGCCTTTATGTAGGCTAAATTCTCAGTGGAGTTCCTCATCAGAAAAATAACGAGCCTTTGGGGCGCCAACAACACGCTTCTCCACTGCAGCTTACTTCCTTTGCATTGTGATGTAGACCAAAGGGACAGGGCCTGGGGGCCAAAGCACAAACAATTCCTGGAGAAAACCTAGAGAAAAGCGATTTTTTATCCCCTTTCTCCCTCTCTCTCTTTTCATAGCATTTCGGTATATCTTAGTCTCTTTTGTACATCCTTGTGATTGCATTTTATAAACTATTGGGGGTTTTTTGCATTTTTTACGTAGCATAAACATTTTTCGCGGTATTAAAATTTTTCCCTGAATGATTACCACATAAACAGTCTTTGTCATTTTTGTATTTTATTTTATTTTTTGATTTTAAAAAGAGAGAGCACCTGAGCTGGGAAGAGGAGCAAAGCCCAGACGCAGGCTCGATGCCCCAGCCCTGAGATCATGCGCTGAGCCGAAATCAAGAAAAGATGCTCCACCAACTGAGCTACCTAGGCACTCCCCTATAAACAGTCTTTCTGATGACAATCAGAACTTATTTACCGTTACAGGTGTTCTCCACTTTGAACTTGGCCAGCCAAGTTCACATTCTGCCACTTCACTTTTTTTTTTAATGTTTATTTATATTTTGAGAGAGAGAGAGAGAGAGAGAGAGAGCCTGAGCAGGGGAGGGGCAGAGAAAGAGACCAAATCTGAAACAGGCTCCAGGCTCTGAGCTGTCAGCACAGAGCCCTAAATGGGGCTCAAACTCGTGATCTGCAAAATCACCACCTGAGCTGAAGTCGGACGCCTAACCAACTGAGGCACCCAGGTGCCCCTCTACTTCACTTTTATAGAAGACCTATATTAGCATGGTTTCAGATTTCTTCACTTAGTGGAAACAGGTACTAAAGTAGGCTTTTCATAAAGCAAAGTGGCAGAACCTCAAACTTGTGAAAGCCAAGGGACACTCTGCTGTGTGCCATTTCTGCTTATGAAAGATGTTATAAGAACACTCTGCTTTTAGGGGCTCCTGGGTGGCTCAGTTGGTTAAGCATCCAACTTTGGCTCAGGTCATGATCTCACAGTTCATGAGTTTGAGCCCCGCGTCGGGCTCTGTGCTAACAGCTTGGAGCCTGGATCCTGCTTCGAATTCTGTGGCTCCCTCTCTCTCCCTCCCCTGCTCACGCTCTGTCTCTCAAAAATAAATATTTTTTTAAAAAATAAACACTCTGCTTTTGGATAGCACAGGGAACCTGTGTCAGATGTTCGTATTCTTTTATTTCGGGCTGTAAAAATTTGGCCGCGATGAATACTTTTGAGCAGGAAGCTTTGGCTATATCCATGGCTACGTATGTAGGCTAAATTCTCAGTGGAGTTCCTCATCAGAAAAATAACAAGCCTTTGCAAGATTTTATTTTTATACAAACGGCCAAAATGAAGCAACCCGGAGTCAGGCCAACTGTTCCTCCCTCGCCCCCACCAGCCAGCTTATCCGGGCGCAGCCTCAGCCCCTGCCCTCCTGACACAGGGTGCGGGGATTAAGTGCAGTGATTAAGGACAGTGCTGGCTTCCTTTGCTTTTGTGTTTTCTTACTTAGAAGATGCTCTCCTGAAGATTCCTGGACATTTATTTGTTTGTGTTTCTGGAAGTAGGGTTGCTGGGACCTAAGGCAACTGTAATTTTATTATTTAAAACATTCTACTTCTTGATCTGGGTGGTGGTTACAAGGATGTTCACTTTATAACTTCTTAAATGCTGTGCGTACATGTCTCATATACACATATTCATGTGTAAATATTTCACATTAAAAATTTTTGAAGGATAACACATGCAAAAACACACACTCCAAAAAAAAAGCAAAATATTTGTGTATTTGTGAAAAATCGACCTCCCTCCTACGTGGTGACCTGGCCCCAGCTGCTGCCAGGGTCGCACAATCCATCCGGCAGCTGCCTCCCCAGCCTGTGGCTCTCTGTTCAAGGGCAGGGCCAGGCTTCTGATGGGTACAACCTAGGCAAAGTGCTTCTAGGAAGACTTCTAAGTTGGGGGCTCCCCACACATGGAGCGGGGACTGACTCTTGCACTGGGCAGCCTGATGGAATGACAGCAGGTGGTCACCTTGCTGGACAGATGGGTTGACAGATGTTAAGAGACCCAGCAGAGGAGGAAGCAGGATTGGGCTGGCCAAGTGGCTGCCATCACCTGCCGCCCCCCGCCCCACACCCCGTACATATTCTAACCATCCCTCTGCCAACCCAAAGCCACAGCACATGTGTCTCACAGGCTGTGTCCACACTGAGAGGGGGACCCCTTCGGTTTCTGTGGGGGGAAGTGTTTGGGGTCTTTATTGGATGACATTACTTTTTATCAGGTTGTTAGTTCTTTCCATGTGGTTCTGTGGATGTGTTCTTTATTGTGACTGTTAACCTTTATTTACATACGACTAGGGGCGCCTGGGTGGCTCAGTTGGTTAAGCAGCCGATTTAGGCTCAGGTCATGATCTCATGCCTGAACCTGCTTCGGATTCTGTGTCTCTCTCTCTGTCCCCCCTCCCTGCCCCACTCATATTCTGTCTGTCAAAAAGTGAATAAACATTTAAAAAAATTACATATGATGAGATGCTTCTGCCCTTTTGGAAGACTATGTTTCCCCAGGAGGTGTGGAGCCAGCATTTATGAATCTGTTGGAAAGCTGCTTCCAATGGAGTTCCCTCAGTCCATCTGATTCTGGCAGAAGTCTGTCTCCTCTCCAGAAAAAAAATGCACTGGGAGAGAGGGGAAAAGAGCACGGACTTTGGGATGTAACGTTTGTAAAGGGGACAGGCCACCAGTTTCTGGGCTCCAGTGAGGCAGAATCAGGAGGATGGACACATAAGCAGAAAGGGGCAGGGCAGGGCAACAGGAGAGATCTTAAAAGACCGGGGCTTTCGGTGTCAGGAGAATTGAGGGAGTCAGATTGGAGGCTGCTCTTCCCCAGGCAGGAAGGGATGAGAGGGAGCAGCATGGTGACTGTAGAAAATGTGGCTTCAAGTAACATGGGGCTGGCAGTTAGAGGACAATCGAGCCAGGTTTTCTGAGGGCAAAGGATTTCCCAGGTTAGAATTCCATACCCAGCCAAACTGTCCATCAGTGATGAAGCCAGAGCAAAGACCTCTGCAGGCACTTTCACATCCGTTCTCAGGAAGCCACCAGAACACATCCTTTCCAAGAGTAAAGAAGTAAATTGATGAAGGGGACAGAAGACCTGGGACCCAAGCAACAAAGAATTCAACACAAAAGAGAAGTGGTGAAGAATTTAAGTCTCCAGAAACTCAAGCACGAACATGCACACAGAGGTTCAAGGCCTGTGACCATGTGCTTTTGGGATGAGGAGGCAAACGCTAAAAAAAACAGGTAAAAGTTGACACTGGTGGCCTATGGGAGCAAGAATCTGGAATAGGTGGGACACAGAAGTCCCAGTTTTTGTTATAAGCTTCAATAAATTGCTTGTTGAATTCTGTCTCTTATTTTGAAATAAATACAAATCAAACATTGTTAAGTACATCAGAACCATTAAGTGCTACCTTGAGACATGACTTGGATCCCATTTCAATTTCATAGATGCAAAGCTAGGCTAGGAATGACTTGCTAATTACTTCCATTTGTAATGACTGCTTTTGGTCATTTGTTTTTGTTTCTGTTTGATCCTGCCTCCTCCAAGGCACTAGTTATGTGACCTCCGGCAAAATGTGTAACCTGTCCGAATTCCATTTCCCGTTCTTCGTGACAGTTCTTGCAAGGGAAGAGTGAGATGCAGGCTTGAACATGCTCCTGCAGACCTCAAAAGTGCCAGTTACCTTTTCCCCTTAAGAGCCAATTCATTTCAAAAAGAATATGTTGGGCAAACTTAAAGCTACTATAATAGAAATGAACTATTAAAACACCACTATCTTGACAAATCACATCTCTACACTTTCCTAGGGAAGCAGATCTTCCTGAACAGGCTCTGGGGTGGGAAGCAGAATGCTAGCTGGGACTTGTCCATAAACACTGCCCAACCCCACTCAACTCCCCTCAGTCCTCCAGAACCAGGCGGGTCTGTGGTTTCAGCAAGCCCAGGCGGCCTGGCCGCCAAGCCTGGAGCAGGGCGGCGCTGATGCCTGCGCCTCTGAACTGTTCCTGGGTCTTGGCAAACAAGCGACAGTCATGACCAAGTAGTGATCCTTGTGGAAACCAATGTATGGAACTCATTACCCGTCTTCCTGCCAAACTAGGCACACCCAGGCCAGTCCCCTCTGCTACTCCTCTGCTGGATGATCTCTTCCCACCCTAGTTGTTGTGCGCCTGAGTCCTAGCAGCCCTGAAAGCCCAGCTCAGAAGCTACTTCCTCCACACGGGCCTCCATGAACCCCGCCTTCCTGGAAGTCCCCCAGGATTTCACCCCTCATTTAATATTTCATAAATCTTTGTTTGTTTGTTTGTTTGTTTGTTTTCTCCTTCCAGGAAAGACGTAAGGAGGCTCTGCATAGCATCTTTCTAAACTAGACAGTCATAAACTGGGGATCTTGGTGAGAAAATTCTCCGTATTTTCACTGTTCTCTAAAATGAAATTTAGCATTTCTCTCTATTCCAAACGGAGAGAACACACCCCGGTGAAACTAACAGTATCTGTGACTTGTCACCAATAGTAACAACATACATTTTCATAGCACATGATGTGGTGGCAGAGAACCTGAAATATCACTTATGTTCATCACTACTTTAAAACTATATTAATTAGGGGGCACCTGGGTGGCTCAGTTGGTTAAGCGTCCAACTTCGGCTCAGGTCATGATCTCCTGGTTTGTGGGTTCAAGCCCCATGTCGGGCTCTGTGCTGACAGCTAGCTCCGAGCCTGGAGCCTGTCTTCAGATTCTGTGTCTCCCTCTCTCTCTGACCCTCCCCTGTTCATGCTGTCTCTCTCTCTCTCTCAAAAATAAATAAAACATTAAAAAAATT